ATATACGCAAATCAACGCAAATACACCGCACCTGTGGCAAATCGACGCAAATAGAGGGGTTAGTTTGAGTTGATTTGCGTTGTTGAGAGCGCTGGTTATGAGTGTGTCCACCCAGCTCAATCTCACGTCAGCTACTCCGGAGACAGACCCTAACCCTAGCTGGCTCCACCGGGGCCACCTGAGCTGACTAACGTTAACAACATTTGCTTCCCAAATCCAAAAAGCATGAAGCGGATTCCTTCAACCTCGAACTCTTTTTTATCGCGAAATTGTCGTTAAGCTCGATGTCTCCGCGACGGATGAGCATATAAACAACACACCGCTTGCAAATGAACTCCCTTCAGTGGCTAGAGACTCAGCCTTGGTATTCTTCACTCATTAGCGAACCGAATCAAGGGCTTCAATGTCCTCCTACGCGTGTTTCGCAAACAGCATTCGGAGCTTCTTCCTTTCCCTCATCTACTATATATAGTAAGTCCGTTCCTCTCTTTCCCCTCTCCTCCCCGATCTTTGCTCTCATTCAGGATACGAGCCTGGGAAAGGAGACAAACAAGCGGAACAGAAGCCAACAACATGATGATCTTCGCAACGCCGGTTGCAACCCTCAATTTTTTCACAATATTAGGAAGAGCCGTCTGAACCGCCCCGGGGTGTTGCTTTTTTCGTTCTGTCTCTTTCCATTCAGGTTTGGGACCGGGCGAAGAGGGTTGCCCCTTCGGCTGACCGGCTGTCTTTTGCCCTCTTCTCCTATCCTTCCCCTTGCTCGCTCCTCTGCGGAGGAAACGTCTGCACCGTCATGTGCTGGCGGAGCTGAGGGTTGGAAAGGGGAGGGAAGGGGCAGTCTGGGCGGTGGGGTTGGTGGTGCTTATAGTTTGGGTTTCTGAAGGGCTTTTCTGTCTGCTACCTTTGTTTGACGTGTGATCGTCCAGACTCTGATAGAGGCACTTGGCTAACTTGTATCAAGAACTTTGTTTGTAGGTTTAAGCGTCGAACGCATTGATTACGGCCACTCGGGTGTGGTCCCAGCGTGACGTTACGTACGTCCCGGATCTCGAAATTCCAACAAGCGTTTAGTTATTTTCGACAACACCATCACGCGAATTGCGAGTAGCAGGAATGGCTACTTTCTGGTTGTTAGGCCGGCAGACAGAGAATTTGATAGAGAAAATACGAGAAGACCTGACTTTGGCACATGAAGTGGTTATTGTTTACCATGGAGATAAACTACCCTCGCCGCTGTGTGGAGGACAAGCTTCACTAATCTTGATTCGCTACCCAAGGCTTTTTGAAACAACACCGCTTACACCTCTCGAATCACTCATACCTCGGGATCGTACATTCTACTCGGTTGCTACGAGAGCAGCCATCCGTTCTCCCATTCTCACGCTTCATTTCGCGAAGTGCAAATCATATCCCAGCCACTTCCTTCTTATCACCTGCTCGACCGTGAGACCGGGGTAGCCGTACGTCAGCGGCAGGAAGAAGTACCAGCAGGCGGCAACAACGACCAGGATGACGGCAGTCGCAATCCAGGCGGCCATCATGCTCTGGCCAGCGAAGCGCTCGCGGGCTGTCAGGTGGCGCTTGGGCGCCGCCGGCTTCTTGCCGGTTTTGACGGCCTGGTAGGCCAGCTCGTGCTCGACGGCGTCCTGGCTGAAGACAAACTCGACCAGGGCGCCCGTCACGAGGGTCGATGCCAGGTGCGCGGGGAGGTAGTGGTGCAAAAACAGCTGGCGGCCCATGACGTAGAAGGGGAAGTAGTGTGTTGCCCAGGCGAGGAAGAAAAAGCCCGTCGAGTTGTACAGCCGGGAGCGCGAACCTAGCCTATGGTTAGCTTGTGCTGTCCGCTGGGGAGCCGGCTCTTTTAGACACTCACGATGATCCAGGGCATCAATGCCTCGGCGCAGCGAGAACTGATCGGCCAGGACGATACCCGCATAGATTGCGAGGACGCTGCTGGCAATCCACCATCCGATGGGGTTTCCGAGGAAGTAAATCTGCTGGCGAGTGTCGTTCTGCGTCCAGAAGCTGACACCACGGAGCAGGAATGGCCACTGGTAGGGCAAGGACGCGTAAGGGTGGCTGGCCGTCAACTGGTTGTTGTGCCAGAACATGGACCGCTGCAGCTCGAACCACTTGCGCAGGAATGGCAGCGTCTTGACCTTCCTCTCGGGCTTCTCACGGCGCTTGTGATCAGCCGGGAGGGACGGAATGTCCTCAACATACCAGACATTGGAGCTGGGAGCAATTTGCTTGTTTCCGTTGATCTCCTGCTGTTTGTGGCCCCATTCTGGAAGAGGCGTGGTGTGAGTCCACATGGCAACTTTGCTGGGGTTGTGGATGAGCTTGAAGTGGCTGGAGATACTCTTAAACTCCTGACCAGACTTGCCATGTTCAATCCGGACCTCGAACAGAGTGTCGGCGGCCCGGTCGCCATATGCGTCGGCAATGGAGACGGTGGTGAACTCCTGGTTGGTAGGGTAGTACGGCGAGGCGACGTCGTGGGACAGCAGGATGGTGTCGGTGACCAGGTGGCGAAGTCTCACCAGGTCGTGGTTCTTGACATGGCGGCCAAGTTGCTGATCGTCGGCGCCGGCAGGCAGAATCTGCCAGTAGTTGTTGGTGTCGTTGAAGGGGTAGCCGGTGACTTGCTGACCCTGGCTGGAAACACGGCCGTCGTCGTACCTTAGGGGGTAGCGATCCGGGTGGCTGTGGAGATAGGCCTTTGTCTCTTTGTGCCTGAGGGTGATGGTGTCGTAATAGTCGATGGTGACGGCGTTGGCGAGCATGATGTTGTCGCTGAGCGTCTCTTGAAACTCGGGGGTCATGAAGTCATCGCCGGGCCCCGAGCGGGTGAGGATGGAGAAGTGCACCTGGAACCAGAAAAGATAGAAGAGGAAGGGCAGGATAATCAGGCCAATTGCACGAGCGGCGAAATGTTTGCTAAACTCCCGCAGGCTCAGAGCTCCCCCGGGTCTCTTAATATCCAACAGGTCCCAGAGGTCGATGGTGACGGCGGAGCCGATGGTGATGAAGGCGAACAGGCCGACGTACTTGGTGGAGATGTCGCAGGACAGGGCAAAGCCGGTCAGGATAAGCCACTTCCACCACTTTCTCGAGAAGGGCTCATGACGCAGCTTGTAGAACTTGATGTAGAAGAGCAAGCTGCAGGCCATGGCGAAGACAAGAGTGGCGTCCAGCAAAATCAGGCGCGTCTGGCCAATGTGTGCGTTGTCGAGAAGGACCAGGCCGGCGGCGACAATGCAGGCTGGCAGGCTGTATCCGGACTCCCACATGATCAAGTACACCACCGACACAGTCAGGGCGCCGAGGATGGCGGGCAAAGAGCGGAAAGCTACGTATGGGACCTTGTTGACGATGTACGAGTCGCCGATGTTGTCGAAGTGGAAGTGGCCGTCGAATCCAACCAACCAGCCCATGAAGGCGAAGAGGAGCTTGCCGAACGGGGGGTGTACGTCGAAGAAGTAGGTCCTGTTGATGTAGTAGGAGGCGAACTGTAGAATACGGGCGTTAGCAGCGCTGCCAATTGGGAGGCCATGTACAAGAGCAGGGATATGTATGAAGGCATACCTTGCCGAAGTGAACTTCATCGAAGACAACTTCGTTCGGGTGGGTGATCCCCCAGAACCTCGTGAGGAAGGCCAAGCCGGTGATGACAACGAAGACGGCCTTGTAGTCGCGCTCCGAGCCGGCCGGAACCTTGGCGGCAGCCGCTTTCACGAGCTTGTCGAGCTCGACATCTGAGGAAGCGCCATCCTTGGCGGATTTCTTGGTCGTGGGACCAACATTGCGCTGGCGCAAGGCGCCTTGGGGCGTGGTCACGGCGGCCATGGCGGGTGCACTGGGGAGTAGACGAAACATCAGTCAAAGTACGGTATCAAGGAGCAATGGACACAGAAGTAGCAAGCCAACAAGCCAGATTAGCGAGCGGCGCAACGCGAAAATCAGGTGCTTGAGGTGTCAGATCAAGCGTAGCTTGACAGCAACTTACCTCGCCAATTGCGCAGCAATGACGGCAAGACTGGAGAGGAACTCGGCCGAAAATGGAAAGCAGGGACAGAAAAAGAAAATTAAAGATAGTCGAGAAGGCGAAGATGGGTTGTGAATGAAGAATTGGGGATATATTAGATTGCGTTGCAACCCCGAAGCCTCCCTTTCACGGCAGGGCTGAATAGATGGAGGTCCATTCAGCTCCTTTTTTGGGCCGTTTGATCACGCCGCGATTTTCTGGACACCTGGCGTAACCCAGATCCGACCAGGGGGCCCAGCCGCCCCACTGCAGCAGCCAACGGTCAAAAACTCGAAATCAAGGCAAAGGTAGAGATGGTCCAAGCTCCTCCTCGTGTAGGCTGCCACGGCTGCCTTCGAGTGTCTTCGAAATACATCTCATGATAGTACGATTCAAATAGACCTGGACTGCATGAACGTCTGCATAGAATTATGTATTACACGTGTTCATTTGCTCAACGCCACCGTTCGTTACTTTTTTGGAGATGTGACTCGGCGGTCTTGCCAAGCTCGGGCCCGGGCCGGGAATTGCGGGGTTGGCCCGCCTCTAACCCCTCCTCGCCGTGGTCCGAAGAACGGAGCGGGACGGTGAAATTAACTCTCCAAAATCGCGCCGTGGAGACGTCTCCCTGTTATGATTTCCACTGCAGCCAGACGAGCTCTTTCGGTTCATTTCCTTCCGCTATCGACCAATAACAAAAAAAGAAGTTGTATACTTCGTAACATCCACACCATGTCTGCTACTCCCGTCTTCACCAAGAACGCAGCGCCGCGTAAGTAACCGACCGCAAATCAGCAGACAGCAAGTGAATCAGTTACTGACACGAGTGTAGCTGCTGGCCCCTACGTACGATTCCTTGTTCAGTTTCATGTGTCAAGGAGTCTAAGTTACAGGTCTGACCGAACCCGCAGTCCCAGGCCATCAAGACCCCCACCGCCATCTATTGCTCCGGCCAGATTCCCTGCGATGTCGAGGGCAACTTGGTAGAGGGCACCATCCAGCAGAAGACTGCGGCCTGCATTGCCAACCTCAAGGCCGTGCTCGAGGAAGCTGGCTCGTCTATCGAGAAGGTGGTCAAGGTCAATGCCTTCCTGACCGACATGGACAACTTTGCTGTGAGTGCCTTTAGGCTGCTCTCCGGCTTGCAGCGACCTCGTGGCTTGCTGACGAGATATGATACAGAGCATGAATGAGGAGTATGCAAAGTGGTTCGTCCACAAGCCCGCCCGCAGCTGTGTCGCCGTGAAGCAGCTGCCCAAGGGGGTCGACGTCGAGATCGAGTGCATTGCCCTTCCTTGAGACCCCAAAGAGGCGTCACCTTAGTGCAGAACCATAGACAACCTGGAAACCAAGGTGGAAAAGTTTGTTGCCTTTCCATGACAAGACCCTGAACACTTGGCCTCGTTACAGCTTTGTTGCCGGCTAGGTTACCCGAAGCGACCCGTGGGTAGTGGGGCCATCCGACGGTGATGACGAACGGCTCATAATCCGAACCCGCATCCAACTGATTTGCGGAAGTCCAGGCACCGGAATTGACGGCCTTGCCTTGTTATTCCCCAAGCTCAGACCCATTGCAGATGTTTCCTATCGTTTTTATTGGATTCACCAGGATATTCTAACTGTTCTTGAAATAATGTAGCCGAAATTCACGCTACATCGGTATGTTCGTTTGTTGACTGATCAGGCCGATAAAATCCATACAGCTCTGAATGCTTTCATTGGCCTACTGGGACGGAGACCTCAATCCATTGAAGACGGGCCGCGTCACCCACTTGTTTCCAGGACATCGAACGACTCGATTTCAGCCTTACACTACATCTCCGGCTAGTAACTCGCACAACTAGTTCAGGGGTCTGGCAGTTTCCAACCAGCAGCTAGCTGATCACGACACTGCGCCCATATACACAAGTTTAGCTGGCATCACACTCACGCACGCCATGCCCCCGCCAGTCCCTGTCAGTGCCAATCAGGGAGACGCCCGGCGTCCCCGGGAACCGCCCGCCCTTTACAAGGTACGCTCATCTTGCCCGAGACAGTTCAGAGTGAAGCCCCCTTGTCACCACCCATCGCCTCAAGATCACTTACATCACTCAACTCTCCCACCTCCACTCCACCTGCCTACCTCCCCACCCCATCCACCCACAGACTAGAAACTCTAACTAACGCACCGTCCTGACCAGTTGATAATGACCCCTCTGATGTTCATCTCCTTCCTTGTCTCCCTTGCCCTCGTCGACCTCCGCTACTCGGCCCTGCGGGCGCACTACCACGCCGGCCCCAGTCAATCTAGCCGCCTACCTCGCTGGCTGCACCGTCTCGTATATCGCTACCAGCCGTACCGCTATGTGACTGTGGCTGTGGACGGGCACGGCCAGCCGGTTCAGAGGGCGGCGGCGGCGGCTGGCGTTGAGGATCCCCTCGGAAGCCCTGGGAGGAGCCCCGCCAGTCCAGGCAGTCCTGGGTCGCCGGGGATCGAAGGGGAGGACTACTATCATAGCAAGCAGAGGAAGCTGATGAAGATGGAGGCTGCCGAGGCGTTTGAGATTCGGGGGTGGGTGGTGACGGTGATGGGGTTGGTGAGTATGGGTGTGTTTTGGGCGGGTTTGAAACTGGTCTGCTGGGGGTTAGGCGCTGTGAGGGTGTGGATTTATTAGGATGGATTTGGGTTGCTTCATGGTGATACCAGTTTGGAGACTGTTGAATTTGGTATATAGCAGGGATTTGGATGGTCTCTGTTTGGTACTCTAGACTGGATGCTGTTAGTTCTAAAGGGAATAGCTGGAGTGATGTGTTTGGCAGGCAGGCAGGCAGGGTATTGTTCCTACTGAAGATGACGTTCAGGTCTTGCAAACTCAAGTGTTCCATACATATACAGAGCGATTCATTCAGGTTCTTGAAGTACGTCAGATGTCCAGTGTTCAAGCCTGCTTAGGCTCATCTGAGCGACGCCAGATGTAATTCATTTGCCAATGCCCCTTTCCAAGCCCCTCGACCCAATTCTCACCGGCCTCCTTGAACCCTGCCGCCTCATACAATCTCCTAGCCACGGTCAGGTCACTCAGTGTTGACAACTGGCACTCATGGAAGTTGGTCTCCCTCACGAACTCCATCGCAGTTTCGAAGAGCTTCTTGCCGACACCCAAGCCCCTGGTTGACTCATCGACAATGAAGAAACGTAGGCGAGCCACGCCATCCATCTTGGAGCATTCGCCGTCAATGTACACCGCTCCGACTATCCGCTCCGTGACAGTGCCCTGAGAATCCCGCGTGGGTGTCGTGGAAACGGCCGACCAGACCTGGTTCATTGGCTTGTTGAGTCGCGCCAGCAGGTCACCCAGCGCCTGGGAGAAGACGGCCTCGCATTCTCGGCCCCATCCGTATCTCGGGTAATAACAGTCCATGTGCATCTCGAGAGTGCGGGCGAGGATGCTAGGGCGGTAGCCAGGGACAATGGTGATGACGGCAGGCTGTGCTGGGGCCTCTGGGTTCTCCGATAGAGTCATGGCAGAGGTGACTCGAACGGGCCGCACCGCATCCTTAACTGGCCCTGCCTCAGCGAGAGGATCCGTAGAAGGAGGAAACACGTTTGAGGTGGACATGCTCGGGTGCGAGTCTCGGTGTCAGTGGTCCGGTTCTTTCAGGCGAGAAGTCCCGTTGTTAGGGGGGTTGTGGTTTCGAGGATGTAGGTGGGAAATCATTTGGGCGGTTGCAGTTTCGAGAACTCATCCTTATCAGGGGCCATTAATTTAATGTTGCTTGAATGTCTGCAACAAACGTTCGATATGACTCACCCGATTCTCAAGGTGGCTTCCGTCCTGCATCCTCTTTCGGGAACTGCTCGGCAAATGCGATCAAAAAATCGAGCCATGTCTGAGCAGCTTGTGAAAGACTTGACTGTCATCGCCCCAAAAACCAGCCTATAGGCCAGCATAAGAATACGGCGACGTATCTGCCAATCCAATATTTCTTCGCCTTATCTGAAAGGGTGTGAGAACAACTTGCCTTCCAGCAACCTGACGCAGCCTCCAAGCAGAAACAGGGCAGTTTGAGAAACAATGACACTTCATTGTCCTGGCTGCAAGGTGGAAAGACTTGTTCGACTTGGCTCGTGGAGGAGGAAGAGAAGCAGAACAAGAAACGAAGGAAGAAGAATGGGGGCTTTATACGATTTCGTACCTTCCTTCTTTGCACGCATGAGCCACTGCTCCTTCCTATCAGATTTATTGATAGTTACCTTAATATCACCTCCCAGAGTGCAGGAAGTCGCGACGGGAGTCGCTTCTAATACTTCGCAATGCGCACACCGGTCACTCACTGCAATGGATTCTTGGCTGCCGATTTTAGTCCGGTCGATGTGATTCATCAACGAACCGCAATGACCTCGGCCTCCTTCAACGCAGCGCCGGAGCGAATACGGGTAGCGCTGAGGCAGGTTTGAAGTTGAGAAACAGCATCTCGTCCATGATCGGGCCGGGACCTGTGCAGTCGATTCAAGACACTCGGCTCTGGCTGACTACACCTCTCAGCATGGTCACCGCAGAGCACTGCTCCCGGACCAATTCCCTTCGTACAGGCGGCTGATCCAAACCAGGTCGCACCACTCTCGGATCTCGAATCTTGAGGCGGAGGGCGGATGGAATGGAGCAATGGTTCAGCCGGGCAGATCATGAGATGCTCCCGGGAGGTCCACCCTCGGCGTTGGTCCTACCCGAGCCCGCTCATCGCTCATTGGTCAAATCTCACGGGGCCGGAGCGTCAGGATTGCTCCGCTTGCGACCGCAATATACCACCCTTCCAGGGGCTCATGTCCGCGGGCCCAGAGGTCATGAACCTCTCTCTTCTCTGCAGAGATGACCGTGGTGAAGCACGAAAGCAGATCAAGCCGCCTGACAACGCAGTTCTTTAGTTAATCCAACCAGAAGAAGTCTCATAGGCTTCCTGAAGGTGTTGCAAAGCTCATTCTCCTAATCCCGTTTCCTTGTATTATTTATCCTTCTGCGCTGTGCCACCGACGCTGGCGTCGGCTATGGTGTCATCAGCGACACCGACCGACCGCAAGTTCGACTTGTAGCTCCGCTATACCAAAGGAAGGTCTTGTCTCAGCACAAGATCATCCCGTCAGAGCCCTCTCCCCGCCCACGCCTTATTCACCCGTTCGTCATGTTTCGATTTCGCCTCGCATTAGCCGTCTCCCTTGGTGGCGCATACATGGTGTCTTCAAGTCGAATCCCACAATGGCCGCAGCCCAGCTTTCTGGCTGCCTTCGCAGCTCTGATGGGCCTCCAGTTCTTCGCATGGGTCTTCTATATCGTTATACTCTGGCCGAAGCTCCTCTCGCCCCTCCGGGTTCTCCCGGAACCGACTGGGAATTCATGGTTCATGGGCCAGTTCAACACCATCATGCGTGATCCCACAGGGTCGCCCATGTTGCGGTGGTATGCATATCTTCACCCTTATTCGCTCGAGTCCGGCCATTCTGTATTCAGTCCGCTGACAATCTGTACAGGATCAACTCCATTCCAAACAATGGCCTTATCCGGTACCTTGGGCCATTCAACCTGGAGAGAATCTTTGTCACTTCTCCCAAGGCCCTTGCCGAGGTCCTTGTCACCAAAAATTACGACTTTGTGAAGCCCGATCAAGTCCGACACTCAATCGGCCGTATTCTAGGAATCGGCATTCTCCTGGCCGAGGGCGATGAGCACAAAGTACAAAGGAAAAACCTCCTCCCGGCCTTTGCCTTCCGCCACATCAAGGATCTCTACCCGGTCTTCTGGGACAAGGCGCGTGAAGGCGTGCAAGCCCTGACGGAGCATATCATGCAGGATGCTGCACAGTCAACTGACTCTGAGAAGCAGACGGCCGTCGTTGAGATTGGCAGCTGGGCCTCGCGCATGACTCTTGACATTATTGGCGTCGCTGGCCTCGGCCGTGACTTTGACGCCATCAAGAACCCAAACAACCGGCTCACTCAAGCCTACGGGCATGTTTTTCGGCCAAGCCGGCAGGCGCGTTTCCTCCAGCTGCTTTCTGTCCTCATGTCTCCCAAAGTTGTCGCATGGCTGCCCGTCAAACGCAACGAAGACATCGGGACCGCGGCCCGCATGATCCGAGCCGAGTGCGCTGAGATCATCAAGGAGAAGAAGCAGAAGCTAGCTCAGAAGGAGTTGAATGACGTGGACATCCTGTCAGTAGCAATCGAGTCGGGCGGCTTCACCGACGAGAACCTCGTCGATCAGCTCATGACGTTCCTCGCGGCGGGCCACGAGACCACGGCCTCGGCCATGACTTGGGCCGTATACCTGCTCTCCAAGCACCCCGAGGTACAGGCCAGGCTGCGCGCCGAGGTCCGCGAGCACCTACCGTCTGTCTCCATCGGATATAGCGGCTCAACGGTATCGAGCGTCGACATTGACCGAATGCCGTACCTCAACGCCGTGTGCAACGAGGTCCTCCGCTACTTCGGCCCCGTGCCCCTGACGCTCCGCAAGGCCGTGTGTGACACGAGCATCCAGGGGCAGTTTGTCCCCAAGGGCACCCAGATCATGATTGTGCCCTGGGCCATCAACCGGTGCGAGGCTTTCTGGGGCGAGGACGCGCAGTCCTTCAATCCGGAGCGCTGGATGCCCAAGTCGGACGCAGACAACAAGCATAATGCTGCCAGTGGAGGCGCCACGAGCAACTACGCCTTCATGACCTTCCTGCACGGGCCCCGCAGCTGCATCGGCCAGTCGTTCGCCAAGGCCGAGTTTGCCTGTCTGCTGGCGGCGTGGGTGGGCCGGTTTGGCATGGAGCTGCACAACAAGGAGGAGATGGACGAGTCCAAGATTGAAATCCGGGGCGGCGTGACGGCAAGGCCTGCGAAGGGCATGTACATTAAGATGACGGTTTTGAATGGGTGGTGAGCTGAAGCGCGGTTATGAGTTGGAAAAGTTTTGGTTAGATTTTCTTGCAATGTGAATCTGCTTTAAAGCTCATAGTGATCGTGCTCTCCAGCGGTGGGTCAAGGAGATGCTCTGCCCCTCCAAAACAGAGGTGGTAACAGTGTTAAGCAAAGGAAAGGCGGAGTGGACGGATTGCAGGACAGAGAAGAAAGCACCAGCCAGACCAGTATTCATCCCTGACTCCGGTCTGTTTGAGATGGGTCGGACAAAGTAAGTAGCGGACCTCCGTTGTTTGTAGGTTTGAGTAGCAACTTAAAAACATTGACTCGGTGATGCTCAGCTAGGACTCAAGTCGTCTTCTGAAACGGGAAACATCCGTGCCCAGGCCTTTCCCTACCCCCGCCCCCACAAACATCCATTTCCCCACCCATCCCGCCGTGGTGGGAGTCAAGTCAAGGACGGGATTGCGATAGGTGCGAGTCCACGCAAGGCCTCACGGACAATGTTTGGTCTCCAGAGTTCCTGTGCACGTGTACGTCCATGGCTGCTCTGGGTTCAGCTGGCCGTTGCGCAACACAAGCAAGGCACGGCCAATCCGTAGTACAGACCTTCTTGGCCCCTCACACGCCTGTTCCTGAATCCAAGGTGTTCTTGACCCCGCCGTCCTTACCTCACCCTGCTCTGCCACGACGGCACCGAATTTGCCCAGTTCCGCTATCCCTGGGTTTGTGAGGTGCCGCGTAGGGGATCGGGATCACATCCCTTGACTGAAGGCTCAGCCGTCCTTCACCGCAAGGTTGAGTGTGTTACACCGAGGGGCTTGAGGTCAAGCAGTGAGGGTGACTTCGGTGAGACGGGTGGGTGAGAAAAACGATGTAGACCAGCTTAAAAGCATGCAAGTGTGGCCGTTAACCATCTACATTGGGAAATCATGCTGTATCAGTGGTACGAAAGGCCGGATGCCAGCCTGCGGGATGGTATCATGACAAAAATGTCGCCAGATCCAGACTCCTCATTCCTCATCCCTTATCCCAAACTCAACGCCCCAGCCTGATTCCATGTCCACCCTCCGGGCCCTTTCCGTGTAACCAGATCATAGAAACGCCAGCCCGTCTCCTGTAGGCAGGTAGGTAGGTAGGTAGGTAGCCACAGGCCCATATTAATAATACAAGTACAATAACACATCAATCACCCAAGAACAATCTACTCCTCTGAGGCACAGAAAGCAAAGAAGAAAATCACCGCCACGTCCCATGTATCCTGGCGCGGCGATGACTGGTCCTTTTGAGCCCGACATCCCCGTTAATCATGAGGCTCTTCCACCGCCTGCCAACGCTACCGCGGTCCTTGCCCAGGCTGCGGGCGCAGTCCTGCCAGTCCGACTTGGTCAGCTTGAGCTTCTCGAGCACCAGCTCGACCAGGATGCGGTCCTCCTCGGTGCTCCACGTCTCGCCGTCCGCCTCCACCACCACCTCGGTGCCTTGCTTGTGCGCGTCCTCGCTGAGGGTCTCGGGAACGCTGTTGCTGTAGTCGGAAGAAAAGGACGAATGTAGGCTGTGGTAATCGGATCGGTCCAGGCCGAGCGGGAGGACTTCGGGCGCGATGCGCGAGCGCTTGGGTGTGTGCAGGGCTAGGCTGTTGTTGTTGTTGTGGGATTCGGTTTCTTGGTTATCGTGCCCCGGGTCCAGGACGCTGTCGGGTACTCGCTCGTGTTGCTCCATGTCGCTGTCGTCTCCGTTCTGGTTGTACCGTCCCATGTCGTCTTCTACCGCGCGCCGGCGCTTATTGGGGCCCCTTGGTGGCTGCTGCGCGACGGCCACGGTGCGTTTCACGATGCGCTTCCTTGCCGGGCCGTAATCGCCCGTTGTGCTTGTTGTGTCGGCCTTGCGCGAGCGCAGGCGTAGTTTAAGCGGGGATGGTGCATGCGCCAGTGGAGGGCTGGGCAATTGGGGGTGCGACGAAGCTGGAGGGGTGACGGGCTCTTGTGCGACGGCTGACGGTGGCGCCGGATTGGCGAGGAGAGATTGTAGGGATCGACAAGTTGAGAAGATGTTGCCGATGGCTGTCTGTGTCGAGAGCTGGGGAGGGCTTCCTGGTGGGGAAGCGAGAAGCGCCGACTGCAGACGAGTCAAGGGCGGCGTCTGCGAGGAGTCGCACGGCAGAGCCGACGGCAGCGCCGACGGCAGCAACATGGCGGGTGTTCGCTCTCGAGTTCGACACGCGAATTATTGTCAGTATGTGATCGTAGAGCAGGCGTTAGGAGGTGACTGTGAGACGCGGCGCGGTTTGGTTGCGGCCAGAATAGGTTGTGCGCCTGGAACTGGGTTGTTTGCGATCAGCCGTGAGTAATGCGCCGTTGGCTGTGGACAAGGTTGGAGAACGGTCGCAGAAGCCAACGATAGAAACAAGTTCGCTGCAGCTGATAGCGATGTCGATCTGATAATCTCGTCAAAAGCAGCGACGATGCGTGCGATCGCAAGACTGCGTGTAGTGCGCAAGTGGTGCGAGGTGTGGGCGCAGACCGTGAAAAGGTGAAGAGGAAATCCTCCACTCGGGGTCCCAGAGAGGCGACCAGAGGAATAATGCGCCTAATAAGAGCAGGTCCTGGCCTAGCCGGTGCGCTAAAAGTGGGCCACATGACGGATGGACAGGGCATCCCAGGTAATGCGCAGACCGGGCTGACCAATGACGATCAACCTGGGCGACGCAGGTGCCCCTCTTTCGGCTCGCCCCACCGTTCCCTCTCATGCAAGCACTTAACGGAGAATTGACAAATATGGGCGCCCTTCTTCTTTCAAGCTCCTCGTTGCTGCGGGAGACGCACAGTATGAGGCATCTCAGCCAATGTCTGCGATGGATGTCTCCCACGTACCTACCCTTGAGCATCAACCCCTGTCCCCGGCAGTCGATCGGGAAGCCGGTGGGGTGATAATGCCACCACAGGCAGATGCCAGAGAAGCACAGATTGTGAAAAAAAGCATGTTTCATGATTCATCTTTCTCTTCTCCCTTTGCAGTTTCTACTCATTGCTTCGCCTAGTCACCGGCAAACGAGTGACATTGCACTTGAAAAGTCAAACCTGCATACGATTGTCTGGGGCCTCCCTCACTTCCTTCTACATAGATTGGTGGGTAGGAGTAAGGTACCTGGTCTGCCGGCTCGCCCGGGTCGTGGGTTATATCCCAGCTTTTTCTACGAGGTGGTCAGCCTGGTTTGCCCTCCCACTTGCGTCACCTTGCATCGTCACAAAGAAGTTAACGAAACTGCTTCTAGGAGTGCTATTCCGAGCGCACATAGAAAGCACTCCTATCTATTTCTGGCTGCCTGTTTGCCCGCCTGGAACACACGAGACATTCAGCTCCTACGTCAGTTCAGTTCTATCTATGCACTGTGCCTTTTGCTCTTTGCTTTTCGCCCGCGAGTCGTCCGGTTGGCGCATATGAAACACGAGGCCAGGGCAGTAAGGCGCAACTGCTGATCATGACGAGGCTCACGTCATGATCTTGAGAAGGGCGGGAGCAGTAGCCCGGCGGGTTGGTTCGCCAGGTCCGTGTCCTGGTGACACAGAACGAGGCTTGCCAAGCGGTTTGGAAATGCAGGAACAGGAAGGATGGCCAGTCACTAACGAATCTATTACTCCCATCTAGTACGTGATCGTCTTGTTCAGGGCATGGTGGGTGTTCTCCGTTTGTCGAGCTTTGGCTTGTACAAAGTAGGTAAAGACCAGTCTTGATGCCGGGTAGCTCGAGAAACTCTTTCCTTGGCTCTCAACGGAGTAATCTAGAGTGACTCGAGAGTGGTCGGGAGCTTGGCTTTGAAGTCAAGCACACCACTGCAGGAATCCCAGAACATTGGAAGTCGTCTGTATTTGGCTTTCTTCAATGTGTGGTGCAGTCATACGTCATGTAACCGGTCCTGACACCACGACGGGCTTTGCGGTGTCCCAACTATCCGCCTCACACCCAGTTGCTTCGCGGGGCAGACTTGGAGAGAGGCGGGCGAGAGGTGGGCGAGAAAAGGCAGTGGGCGGGAAACGCGTCGTCACGAAAGGGACGCGACGCGGACGTGATTAGTGGCGGGCCCAATGGAAGTTCATTGTCCAGTGGCTACGCGAGGCGGGAAGCACGCTGTCAATGATTGGATCGGATAGCGAAACGGCTTGCTGTGACACGAGACCCAGAAGCTCGACAAAGCGCAGGTCACTTCTTGGCGCGCTGCTCCACTTTGGACCCCTATCCAAGCTGGTCAGGAGTCTGTCCCTGTTGCGGCTCCGAAACTCCCTTGATCGACGCGGGCTTTGGAGACGTCCGCCGAGTGCCGACCCGGAGACACCTGGCCGAGCGCATGCCGTCCGAGTGGCCGGTGATGCTCCAGACTTTGTTGAACTAAAATAAGTGTTCAATGGTACGATGTAGAAATATTTTCTATATATCTACATCCACAGCTTCCTCCATATAGTCATACTGGTCCCAGATGCCTGAAGTCGAAGACTCCATGAACTTGACTTGTTAACTCAATTCCCTCACCTTCTTCTCATCCATCACTGACAGACTTGCCAGGAGAAGGGCACATGTCATTTTCTTCACTGCCGATTCAGAGCCCTACAACGACCCGTGTCTCTGCTTGGCCTGTATTTCCATCTCTTCAAACCGAGAGAGTCATCATGGCCATGTCAGAGGTACCACGGTCTATCATCCGCAGTCAACTGGTTTTCGAGAAAACTATGACTCAGCCTTCCTCTGTTCTTTGTTGTTGTAGAGATGGAGAGGGCATCAGGTGCAACCCTTCCGCCGATGTGGCCACGTATTCCAGCCGAAACAACGTCCCCATCCGAACTTGAAGGCTCCGGGCGTGGGGTGAGTATTACACATATCATATCTTGGAGGAGTGGGGGCTGTGTAGGTGGTTGAAGCGCCGCTAGTGCTTCTGGTGATTGTGCCTTGCTGGTGGAAGTCGAACTGCGAGGGCCATTGGCAGGCTTCCTTGCGGTAATGGGCAGTATTCCGACAGAGTGCGGGCGATAATCGCCGAAAAAGACTGACCGTTGACCAGGCATACCTCCGGTATATCGGAGTCAACGAGCAAACTGTCCGAAACTGCGGCGGTGGCTGCCATCTGGAGTGAATCAGAGGGCGAGTCACTCGCAACTCGTCCCATTTACGCGCGGCTAGGTGTGCGCGTGGGGTTGTTCGACTTCGCTGTCATCCCAAGTGTCTTCCTTGTTCGCTCCGTTGTATCCCACGCACTCTGGTTATCAGGGGCAAGCTGTGGTCACGTCAGTTGAGATCGCTGCTCTTCCCTACTGGCCTACTTTAAACCCTCCTCTTTTCCCACAACCGGCCGCCTCTCCCTCTCTCAAACATCTCTCCCACAACACATCAACATCCACCTCTAACCCACTTGATCAGCCTTCTCAAACAATCTACAGCATCTTCTCTTGCTCTCTTCGCTTTCTTGCCCTCTCGATCTTGCCTCAACACTCTCCTGCGCCATCATTCTCGTCAAAAATGACCGACAAAATGAGTGACAACGTCGCTCCGGCGAAAGTCTCGTCCTCGAGAAAGAATACATCGCATGCCGCTGAGTCTGGCGACAACTCTTCCACAAACCAGAACACCACCGACAATTCCACCGTCAACGACGGGCAACAGAACCCTCCAGCGCCGCCCATGGCTTTCCAAGGTCCCCCGCCTCTCGAGGAGCTCGCCAGCCACGCAACTCGCATCCACCGGGACTGGAACCCCAAGTATGGTCGGGTTCAGAAGTGCGACTGGTGCAACGGTCGCTCCGTTGGCACTCTCCAGGTCTGCTCCGCATGCTCCCTCCGCATGTGCGAGGACTGCGCTCGGCAGCGGAAGTGGCACACCAACCGCAGCCACTTCATCGATGCGGACGCCTGTGACTGGTCCCTCAAGAAAGCAGCCAACAACCGTGGCTCCAAGCGTCCTGCTCCGGCCGCCTCCAGCGCTGAGCCATCAACCCCAGCGCCGCGTCGTCGCAAGCTGAACATGGCGACTGAGTCGCGCCAAGACGATGATGATGATGACGCCTCCATTGACGACGCCGCCAGCTTCCTCAATTCTGGCCCCGGCCGCCGTCGGTTTCCCGCGCCTGCCAATGTTCGCCATCAACCTGATGAAGCTCTTCCTAATCCATCAGCTGCCCGCGACGTCCATAGACAGGAGTCTCTCCCTCATCGCCAGGCCCCTCACAACCCCGCTCAGCATGGCACACTAGAGCCGACCACGGCAGCCCCCAGAGCCCGCCCGAGTGTCCGACAGGCAGCTGCTAGGGTCATGCTGAGCCTGAACGGAACTGCTCGGCATTCCTCTCGCGGTCGCTTTGGTGACGATGGTGATGGGTACGATGAAGAGCATGAGGACGAGGAGCAGGACGGTGAAGGCGATGTTTACAAGAAAAAGGGGCACGCCGAGCAAGTAAACGACCCGCTCCTTCGCCGCGGCAACCAACGCGAGCAAGGCACCGCTGGTCGCCCACTTAGCCACGTTCGCACTGGCCGCGAGCACACGTCTTCCCCTTTGGTCGGCGAAGACTTGAGTCGTCAGCCCTTGGCTCACCGGCCTGCCCCTACAGCCGCAGACATCGAGCACGACCGCATCATCCTGAACATCTACGATTGGGTGTACGGGAACCGCCCCAACCTCGACCCTCGGCGTGCGCGCACCCAGATTCCGGACCACTGGGCCGGTAACTGGCAGACCATGGCTCCTCAATATGGCCGGGAGGGAAGCCCTTCTGTGTACAATTCGTACCCTGCACCTCAGTACCCGGCCCCTGGCTATGGCCAGTTCCCTTCGCACGCGCCTGCTCCCCCCGGCTACCCGCCCCATGGCTACCACGAATATCAGGGGGTAAGTTGTTCTTCTCATCCTAGCCCCCCTTAACTATGGCCGCGATCCCATCGTCCACGGCTCGGCGCTCACCTTGGTGTCTTGGCGTCTATCTCCGGGTCTCGGCGTCCGTGACAGCAAACCGCGGCCAGTCTCGCGAGAATTACATCTGAACTAACCCGTCGTATTCCATCCAGTACGCGCACTACCAATGTTACGGCGCCGGAGGCCCCTGTCCCCCCAGAGCACGCTCAAACCCGGCCTACCACCCCTACAACGAACACAACCAGGCCGAGATGGAGCACGCCCGTCAAGACAGCACGACGCTGGACGAGATGATCAACGCCTGGACGTACCACCCCTTGCTGCTGCGTCTGATGAATCACGAGAACCGCCGGGTCTACGCCATCGGCCTGCTGTGGGACGTCCTGGAGGTGCGGCGCACGCGTGTTTTTATCCGGGACGACTCACAGACGGTGCGATGGTTCATCAACGAGCGTGATCGCCAGTTCCGGATTCAGCACTCGGCGGCCTACAACTCCCAGCATGGCCAGTACCAGTTCCGGGCTCCGACTCCGGTCCTGATTAAGGGCCACACGCCTTTTGCTCAATTCCCTACTCCGGCTCCTCAGGGCCAGTGGGATGAGGTGACTGGTCATGGCAACCATGCCATTGATGCTTGTCGTGCGGAGTCTGCTGGTGAGGATGATGCTCGTTCTGAGAACCGCAGCGTCGTGATGGTTGAGGAGGGTGAGGAGGTGGTTGAGGAGTGAATGTTTTCGTGCACTCACTTCGCACCCCCATCGTGTATATTCACCATTCGAGAACAGCCCGGCACAAAGCTTCGCTGGACAGTGACAGCGAGTTGGAGTCTTTCCGAGGATGGAATATCAGGCGAAAGGAATATCGGCATTCGCGAAAGAGATCCTTGATTCAACGTCTTGCGTCCAGCATTGTATCGGCAATGGTCTTTTTTTTTTTTTTTACAGCGATTCTTTCTCTTCGGGCTTTTATTCCTCTGCACCTTCTCGGGTTGGGGACACCTCTTGCTCACTATCAGGAGCATCGGACTTTGGGCTTTCGGCATCGATACTCACCGGCAGGTACTTGCCTATCTGCCCTCTTTTGACGTCGAAAGGCTGACATTTCCACCGGTGCTACTCATTTGGTCTTTACGGAAGGAGAGAAGCCTAGGGGAAAAGAAGGCGGAGTGTTACGGGAGAAAGGCATTGATGCCAGCTGTCGTGTTGCTGGAGACATGTCAGACATTGTTCTGCTTGCAGAGGCTGAGGGAAACAACTGCTGGTCGCCCCGTTCACCTTTCATTTCTTTTCTTTCTGCATGTAGAATAAGCTTCTCGCAGCAGCTGTATTGTATGAACCACCATCAAAAAGCACGCCTCCTGCATGTCATAGTGAAGCCTGTCGTGTCTGGTGCCGCAAGGATCCAAAAAGTCAGCAAAGAACTAGGTGCTCGGAGGGTGTGTCAGGGAGTTGGTCCGCTCTGTGCTTTTTTCTGCTCTTACATTAAGTTAGGAATCAGGGCCACTTGAAATCAATAACCGGAGCATATACCATTCCTTCATTGTAAACAGTTTAAGTGTTTGTCAATTAGACCGGCTTTCCCCGGCAGGGATGGTATTCTACAGATCTATACCTACAAGTAGCAATGCAACACTGGTTCTGTCTATGCCGGAACGCCAGCCCAACAATGAAGTTCAAGCCACTTGCGAGGTACCCTTCCTCTTCTCGTCTTTACCAGAGATGGCTTCCATCAGCATATCCTTTTCCTCGCCCAAAATCATCTCCAGGAGCTTATCCCTTTCGGCGCTCTTCTGCACCAATTCCCAAAAAGCCCCCGTGCCATCAACCTCCGCACCGGTCTCGCTCTGCAATGTGCTCTCATGGCCATCGCGCTCGGGAGAATCCTCATTCGCATTGTTATTCCTGGCGACCCGCTGCGCATCCGCGGCCGCCCGCGTCAGGCCCGCCAGCAGAAGCTCCCTCGGAGTCCCCATCTCGGCGACACGGCCCTTCTCCAGCACGAGCAGCTGATCGAAATCAGCAACTGTCGACAGCCGGTGGGCAATAACCAGCACAGTGCACCCGTTCGCCGCGAATTCTTTGCGCAGCGACTCTTGGATGTTGCTGTCGGTGCCGCGATCCACCGCGCTGGTGGCCTCGTCCAGCACAACAATCTTGGGCCGCTTGAGGAGGGCCCGGGCAAGGCAGACAAGCTGGCGCTGGCCCTGTGACAGGTTGGCGCCTCCCGTGCTGACGGGCGTTGAGAGGTTCGTGAAGATGTTGGAGCTGTCTTGGGCAAGCTGCGGCCCGCGCTCGGCTTCAGTCGATGCCTGTGTGGCTGTCTCCGAGTCCATGATAGGGAGAACAGCTGAGGCCGAGGTGCTTGCGGTAGCATCGTCGGTGTAAAAGGGGACAACCGGAGGCTCAAAGTCCTCAACGGTCTCAATCAGATGGACACGCTTCAGTGACTCCAGCAATTCGCAGTCGTCCATGGTGCCCTCGATATCAAGGTTCGAGCGAAGGGTGCCCCTGCAAACTCGCGTTAGCAAACGGTACGAAGCCTTTAAAGCAAAGGTCTGGAAAAGGAGTCAGTGGTTTGCTTACGAGAAGAGAAAAGGGTCCTGCGGAATAATCGCAAGCCTACTCCGCAGCTGAGACAACTTCAGCGTCGAGATGTCCACGTCGTCTATACGTACGAAACCCTCCACAGGCTCGAGCAAGCGGAAGAAAACCGCGGCCAAAGTTGACTTTCCTGCACCCGTCCGGCCGATGATGCCAATTCGTTCACCAGCCCCCACGTTGAAATTGAGACTCTTCAAAACCGGTGGGAGATCCGCCGCATAGCGGACCGTCAGGTTGCCCACCTCAATCCTCCCTTCTGTCGGCCACGCGGCCGGGGCGTCCTTACCGCCGTCAGGCTCGGTCTCGATCTCGGCATACTCCAGAACTCGTTCGCAAGCGTTGAATCCCAGCTCCACCGACGTCATGGACTGGAGAAGCGATGTCAGGGCGCTGGTATACCGCAAGGCAAAAGCCAAGCTGAAGCCGGCCAAGGCAGCATCGACGCGGCTGAAGGCCACGGCGTTGGCGACCACACTGACGAACAAGGCCCCGAGCACCCCCATTCGGAAAGCCATCCAGCGACTCGACAGCTCCAGCATCCACGACGCCTTGGAGCTGTTGTCGATGAGTCCGTACATGCGATTCATATAGAACCTGGTACGATCAAACGCACGGATGGTGGACAGGCCGGAAAGGACGGAGCTGAACTGGTCGTAGATGGGTGAGTGGGAGACTGAGTTGATCCGCTTGACCTCGCGGGCAGCCCTGATGTATTCACGCGCAACACGCATGTAGAGGACGAAGAGAAATACGCCAAAGAAGATCACGTAGACCGACACAGACAGGCTATGGCCACTGGTTAGCCACGCAAATGCCACGAGACAATTAGGACATGCGGATGTACCTTGAGGATATGATGACAACCAGAAAGATGAGGTTCCGAAGAAAAGAGAAGGTCTGGCTGGACAGGCGCCTGTCGACCGCGAAAGTGTCGGTCGTGAAACGATTGAGGATGCGGCCTGCCGGGACGGTATCTATCCAGCGCAAGGGGGCCCTGAGGATAGCACGCGTCATGCGCTGGAACAGCTCCGTGGAGGCCCTCAAGCCGATGAAGAAAATGGTCAAGACCCGGGTCACCTGAACCAGGAGCATGACAAATTCGATAACAACGTACGCGGTCAACCCTAGGTTAAGAAGTCAGCCAGAGCAAAGACAGAGAGCACATTGGCGGGTGCTGGCAAGGTTAAAGCGGGACATGAACGGCGGGGGCTAGAACTCACAGAAGAAGACGCCGTGCTCGGAGCCTGAAGCTTTGTGCGAAACGAACCCATCTGTATACGCCAGAGAGTTGATGATTCGCGCTGTTTGCGAAGCAAAGTGAGCCGTCTCAGATGCCGCCTGCTGCGACAGCTCCTTCAAGCTCCAGGCTCGGGCAACGGTCAGGGCGTGAGTGACGAGAAGGATCGATATTCCAACGAGCCAAGCGATCACGCCACCGCTGGCCTTGAAATAGGCCTTGTAGACCCTCCATTTGACATGTCCCGACTCTCTTCGCTCCTCGTCTTTTGTGGCTTTGTTCGACGTAACCGGAGCAGAAGGGCCGTCTCTGGTATCTGCTGCGGATTTTGCCGGCGGTCCGGATGATGTATCCTGCTCAGCTTCCTCCACCATGACGGCTTTCGCCCCTATTTGGGGTAAGAGCTCAGCAGACTCAACCTCACCACTGCGGAGGCAGACCAGATAGCTCGCATAAGGCATAACAAGCTCGGCATGATGAGTGGCCAGGATGCGAGTCCTTCCTCGAGCAAGCTCTCCAGTGAGTGCTCTGTCGACTATCAGCCGGCCGACATGCGCGTCCACCGCGCTCAGGACGTCGTCGAGCACAAGAATGCCTGCACGGGAGTACAGAGCCCGAGCGAGGGCTACGCGCCAACGCTGGCCGCCGGAGAGAGTAACGCCCTTAGGTCCGACTTCTGTCTCGTCGCTATCGACCAGAAGCTCAATATCTTTCTCCAAAGCGCAGGCTTCGATGACCTTGCGGTATCGGTCTTCGACGAAAGGAAGACCGAATAAGATGTTCTCCTTCACAGTACCGCCCTCAATCCACGGTGTCTGCGAGACAAACGCAGTCAATTGTGGGATGATCCATTCGGGCTTAGGGATGTACTTGGGGTTGTCATCGAACTCGGGAAGCCGGGGCATGCGAACGGAACCCGCCAGAATCTTAACCTCGCCAAGGAGCGCCGCGAGCAAAAGGCTCTTCCCTGAGCCCGTCTTTCCAGTGATGACGCTAAGCTTGCCGATGGGGAAGTCGAGGGTCGCGTCTCTAAGCATTGAGTGAAATTCCCGCCGTTCTTGTTCTCCATCCCCTTCAGACTTGTCGGTGTCCTGAATCCTTGGCCACGCCACAGTGGCATTGTCAAAGGCGATGGCATCGGCCGGTTCTGCCACGGGCTCCTTGTCCGACTGGTTAAAGTACTTCTCTAGCCTCACGGCGCTGGTCCATGCCTCAAGCAAGTACATTTGCAAAAGGGGCAGGAGTGAGACGGCCTCGTCGAGCTGGTCGAAGAGACCGAGCGACGTGAAAATAATGGAGGCCCGAATGTGCGTGCCGTTTTGCCAGACGTAGATGGAGAAGGTAACGCTCGCGAGCAGCAGTGGGCCAAGATTGACGCAGAAGACCACTAGACACTGCCAGAGAGCAACCTTCCAGTATTGCCTAAGCTCTTCGTTACGAGATGCCAGTATCTTGGTTTCCCAGTGTTGCTCGAGTGCCGAGTATCTGATCTGACGCATGCCTTGCAGCGCCTCTGTCAAGAGATGGGCCTTCCCATCACGGAACTTCATCAGGCCGAAATGCAGCTTGGTGTACCTTCTCGACAGCATCGAACTTATGGGGACCATCAGAGACCCGGCGGCCAGGCCGCACACCACGGGCATCCAGCCCATCAAACTGACGGCAAAGCCGCCTGCAAGTATGAGCTTGAAGATGGCCATGGGAAAATTATTATTGTAGGAGCAAAAAATGGTTACTCGGCCACTGCAGAGGAGTTAAAAACAGAAGAGAGCGGACTATTTGAATGTAAAGCATACCTATCGAGCTTCATGTGGTTGATCACCGACTGCCGGGTCTTGGGTTTCTTGCCTTTCGCACTACCATTCTGCTCTCTGCTTGTTTCCCTGACCGTGTCATTCGGGCCGTCCTGACTGGCTGGATTGCTGCTCTTATCCGCATCCTGGCCAGGAGGAGCCGTCTCGTACTGTTTGAGAGCCTTGGAAAATACGAGGGACTGCAGAAGTGCGTTCACTGGGATCTCAAGCCGGCTGGCAGTGATCCACTTGAGCCAGTTGTTGACCCCAACTTGAAGAACCTGGCTCAGCAGCAAGCCAAAAACCCAAATAAACACGGTCGGGTCTGAGGATTTGCGCTGCTGGCTCCGCTCGATCCTGGACAAGAAGTTGTATAGGACAACCTGTGGAAACAGTGCCAGGAGGGCAATGAAGAGCGTCAATGTCCACTGTAGCGCGAGCTCCCCAGCATGAGCTTTGATGAGCTGTTTCCAGAGGGGGCCCTTGGCGTGCCTCCCGAGGAACTTGGCCTGGAGATTTCTCGATCGGGTGGCAAAGTCGAGATTCGGAATGTCTTGGACTTTCATCTGTCTCTCCTCGGTGATGTTGAAGATACCCCGGTTCCAGGTGAAAGTGAACCTGGACAATAGGGAAAGGGTATGTTGCTGGTCAACGAGCCTGGCATTGTCGTAGACGTCCGGACGGCGGGGAAATGCTGCAAAACCACACGTCGCAGTCATGGCCGAGACAAATTGAAGAAGATAGAGACCTCCCAGCGCCGTTGCCGTCGTGTCTCTTTCCGGGCCGTGGAGTGAAGTGAGGGCTTCGTATCCATGGCGAAGGGCGACAGAAACACCAACCAGCAACGACGACAGGAGGCCAAAGATTGTCAACGGGAACTTTCCTCTGTGTTGATGTTTGGAAGGGAGCACAGCACACTGCAAGCACAAGAAGACCTGTTGACAGGTTAGCCAAGCACCCATATTTCGAGGCGGTGAGAGACAGATGAGATTGTCCTACCCAGCACGCTGGCTCCGTCCAAGCGACCAACTCATTGATGACATTGGTGTCGTGGGCGCCTTTCAGGAGCGAGATCCTAGCAGCAATGGATGCCCCCAGACCGATAATCGTGCAGAGCCACGCAGTGACCCTGGGTCGGGTGTCCGTGTAGGCCCGGATCGAGTCCTCGGTGGCGATTCCATCGCGATCTTCATAGGTGCCTTCGTCTCCGCCAAATTGAATGTACCCTCCTCTGAAGTGCCTGCTCGTCTTCCAGGAATGAACCAGCGTAGGCACCGTGAGCAGGGCCACTGTAGCCACTGCAGTGAGGCCAACAAGTTGATTCAAGAAATCGAAATCTGGCATGTTGGCGGCTGTTGATGAGACTTGTCTTGGCAGTGGTTGTGAGGCGGAGATGAAGTGACAACCCTATTGTTAGGGTCCTGAAAGTGGTGATGGCTTCGACAACCTCTTGTCGTGCATCGCAGTGAATACTTGGTGTTGTGTGAATCAAGTGTTGATGTGAAGCTGAGAAATACATTGGAACACTCATTTCATGGTTTAAAAACAAAAGTCGGTGCAAGAACAGGAGGATGTTGGTGCGAAATACAGTGCAGGAGCCATGTCTCACGGTGTCACAGTTCCGGGGGATATGCCTCGAGGTGGGAATATGTTAGGGGCTCTAAAAGTATATGTCTTTACCTTATGCTGAAAGTAGACGCATTTTGGCCATTAGTTTCCACGTAAGCTTCGCGTTCACAGCTCATATCTTTGTTGTCCCTACACATAGTGGCCATTGTCTTCTAATACAGGTCCTGGACCCAGGTCGTCCTACACGGTGTGCCAAGCAAAATTACACATCCAGTCCTGGCTACCAATGGCGCTAAGAGCAACTTCTGCATTTCTTGCCAATGTCGTTTCCATTGTCTGTCTCTTGCTTCTGCTTCTGGAATTCACATGGGTGACGACAATCCTCATATGACCTCTGTTGACCCATCGGCATGCCTCTTTATCCGTTAACTACTGACGAAGCTGCCGCCGTTGCAATGAATCGTCTGCCCACAGACCGAGGAGCTGTCCGGTGAGGCTAGGAAGACAACACAGGCTGCAATCTCGCTCGGTTCTGATGCCGGCTCGTCAGCCCACAGTTCCCTATTTTGTTCAGCAGCTGCAAAGGACGTGGAAATACATACGAGATGGCCGCCCCATGGGGCTGGTGAACTGCTTCTGCGCGCTCTCCGGCATTGTCGAGGGGATCAAGGGTGTCCACACCGGACCGGGCGCGATGGAGTTGACCCTGATGCCCTTGCCAATCTGCTGGTTGTGCAGGCCGCGTGTGAAGGAGATTATGGCACCCTTGGTTGACGTGTAGTCCAGGAGATCCGGCCGGCCGATGTATGCATTGATGCTGGCGTTGTTGATGATGGTGCTGCCCCGCTTCATGTGCGGCAGGGAATACTTGGCCATGAAGAAGTAGGGGTGGATGTTGGTGTTGAAGGTATTCAGCCACTGATCCCTATTCCATACCGTTAGCATTCCTTATCGAGCTGGCTGCTTGTGCCCGTATCATCCCGTCTTACTCGGAGAGGTCCTTAATATCTTCCACCACCATCTGGTAAGCCGCGTTGTTGAAGAGGATGTCGATCTTGCCGCTGAACACACGGACTGCCTCGTCGACCACCTTCTTGCAGTTTGCCTGGTCTCTCAGGTCCGTGGGCACAAGGTAACATTGCTGTCCATACTGCTCCACCCTTTTCTTGGTCTCCTGGGCGTCGTCTTCCTCCTCGGGTAGATAGGCAATGAGGGAGTCTGCGCCTTCCATGGCGAAGAGAATGGCAGTTGCACGCCCAATGCCCGAGTCACCGCCCGTAATGATGGCCTTCTTCCCCTTCAGCTTCCCGGCGGGCTTATACTTTTGGCTCTTGCCATCGTCGGTTGGAATTTCGTCAAACAGTGGTTGGGGTTTGGGCATGTGGCTCTCCTTGCCCGGAAACTCTTGGCTGGAGACCGGAATCTCATGGCCTGTTGTTATCAGTCAACATGCTGGTGATCCTTTAGTTGAATCATTGCTCTGCTTACCACTCTCGAACTGAGCCTTGGACGACATATTGGACTGCTTTCAGGTGCAATGGTTTGTTTGAGTGAAGACGTCGAGAACACTGGTTCCTGGAACTGAGGTTGTTCGACTGATGATCTTATTTATCTTTCCGATATTCTACTAGCAGTGGGAGCTATGACATCGCTTTCCCGGTTCAGGAAGAGCTGTGTAAGTCAATGACGACATTAGCAACAGCTGCTGTGAGACCCGCCTTCCTCTTCTGGATTTGGCGATCATCAAACACTTACACTTATTTCCAGTCCCAATCGCTGTGAGCCAATGTCAAATCAGCGGCCGTTCTCAACAAAGCTGGGTATTATTGGGTGAAGAGGCCAAGAACATCACGAACGACATCAAGCTTGGCCAATCGACCCAACTCGCGCCCTCGCTCCACCTACGTGCCTGTGTCCATCACCGTCCCTGCACCTCGGTACCCAGGCCTTGTACGCTGCGGTTCACGCATTGGGTCCATGAGGCCAGTTCCATGTGCTTCTACAATGTAACCGGACATGTGTGCACACAACACAATTGCTGGCCCCCTTTCCGGCACTCCCCATCATACACGACCGCGTAACTAACACCCGGCCAACCCAGAGCCAGGGCAGACCGCGCTCGTTGTTGCAGTAAGGGCAACGCATGTCCAGTTCAGCAACACCCGGTTCGCTCTGAGGTAGCCGTAACGTAAGAATACTCAGAGTGTTGCAGACTTATCGTGTACACGTGTAGGCTGAGACTGGAAGCGGAGCATAACCGGGGGAGGAAGACTTCGGCACATTACCGAAATGTTCGACATGGTTGACCGTTCCAGACGTCTTATGACGCCGGCCAGTCCATGATCTAGTTCCCGTCGCGACGCCATGTCTTGTCGCCCAAGTGGTTGAAGCAACCGATGCTTCCATTGTAATTGTAGATGGTTGTGTCTGTGTTGGTCTTATCAGCATATATGAGCTGACTTGACCAGACCTGGAAGGGGGTCCCATACTCAGATCAAGGGACGATGTAGCCTCGTTCTCGTCCGGGTCGATGCATTTGCAGGAGAGCACCAGAGTCTCCATCTCGAAGTCGATGCCGCAGTTGGTGCAGCTCGTCGAGTAATTGCCGCTTAGAAGAGAAGACATCAGCGAAGAAGCCCCAACTGTAGGATACAACAAGCTCACTTCTCGTAAGGTATCAGCTGGCCACCATTGTTGCCCACGCAATAGTCCAGATCGATCCTACCGAAACATGCGGTCAGCCATGAACAAGGGAAAGGATGGGTTAGAGCAAGAGGCGTACCAGGAGTAGTTGTAACCGAAGATGGCAGTCATATCGTTGCGACAGAAGGCTCCCAGCCAGTGGTCGCCCGTTAGGTTCACACCACGATACGCGCAATAATCAACGAAGCTCTGAATTTCAACTGCTTCTTCGGAACGCACCGAAGTCAGGGCGAAACCCGCCAGAGCAGCGGAAACGACAGTCCGGGTGAGAGATCTCATTTCGATTTCCTTGCGCGGCTGGAAAACGAAGGATATGGATCTAGAGGAGAGTGCAGAGCGTTGCCGTGCTGCAGGTTCGCTTTCCTGGATTATCGTGGAGCGGTGTGAAAGATGGCGATCGAGAAGTATGGCAAGGAAGGAGCGGACTGGGAAACCTCAGGCAGAGTTGATCTTTGCGGGTGCTTCCATTTGAACTTGACGGTCATTACACTCCGCCTGGCGGTTTGCCTGTTTGACGGAAGGACTGAATCAGATACAGGATCCAGGTTTGGAAGGCTTGAGGCTGGAAATAAGCTCAAAGGGCACGATCCCCCTCTAAGATCGATACAGTGAGAACTCCGTTTTCTAAGTCTTTAGGTTTAATAGGTGGACGTGAGGGGAGCAGCCGAGTCTTTGAAGTGAGCACTTGCTTTTCTGTTGCCTTTTTGTGACGTGTAGTACGCAACTACAGACGCATGGAGAACGCCGGTTCAGAACCTCATGCGTCACGATACAGATTCAGGGACCACAGATCAAGGTTGGGCCCGTTTCCTGCGGCACATCCCAGGTTACTACTTACTGTTAGCGAGCCTCTCTTGGAAGAGTACGACCATCGAATTTTACAGTACTACAGTCTACAGCATCTACCCAGTATCTCCGGATTCCTGGTCCAATATCAACAGATTTCCCCTATCATCATAGCTAACACGGCCTTCGTCCACGGCCATCCACAGATCATCACGGAGGGGTTCCCGCTCACCTGTCAGGGGATCCCACTCCCAGCCCTCCCTCATCCTGTCGACATATTAGCCCACGCCTACGGCCTCGATGTCCGGTCTCAAACCGAAACCTCGGAGTGTGAGGACAAGCCGGGTCCTCGCTTGATTTTTGCCCCGCAAGATACACAGAAAGAAAATGATGGGATAAGTGAAAGACGTACCACATCCATTGCAAACACGCCCGCAACTCCTTGTCCCGGGGCAGAACACGCATCCACTCCGGCTGGAACCCAGGCAGGCTGCCCTTCCCCGTCCAGTGCCTCGACCGGCCCAGCAGCTCGTCTCTGCAGAAGATGCGCCATGAGTCCAGCGCGTACGGCCCCTGAGTGAGATGCCCAATCTCCCACGCACACCCGATCGCCCTGTCTCGTGCATCCGCCACAGCGTCCACCATGGGACAGACCCTGTCGAAGGCATCCAACGCACAGACGCCGCCATCCTCAGGACCAAACTCCTCGCCCGCCCTTACATGACGCCCGTCCCCAGGCTGCGGATAGTTCTTGATTCCGTACCGGACCTCCCTTGTTGGCGGCTTCTTTAGCCACAGGCGGGCGTACTTTTGTATGGCCGCACACCGCACAGCTGACAAGCCCAGGGGATGGATCAGGGTGATGATCTCGGCCGGGTCCGCGGCCGCGAGTGCTTCGGGGAGGGGAAAACGCTCCATCAGCTGACGGAAAACTGGGATGGCTGCCTTGCCGGTGGTGCGGATCAGAAACGTGACGGCGATGAGGAGGGAGAAGGGGTCGTCGGCCAGCTCCTCCTGGATCAAGCCGAAGCGGTCGGCGGAGAGAGGGGGAACTGGGAGGCTGGAGACGGTGCCTCGCGGTGGACGCAGTTTCTTTCTCGTCGATGGCGGAGTTGGTCCTGCGTTTGACTGGCTTGCTCGTGTCGGTGTCGATGCGCCAAAGAAAGGCGACTTTGATCCTCCCGTGGCTCTGACTGCTCTTTCAGTATCCCTCGGTGCCCCAAGGTGCTCGGAGTCAGCTCCGTCTGATGTAGTCGACTCCTTCGTAAATAGACATGATGAGATTTCTTTGGTTGCAGCAGAGACTTCTTCTTCGGCAGAGTGGAATCCCGGCGCGATATCCTGGGCCTCCTGGACAAAGACGCAGCCCAGGTCCCCGTCGGTCTTATCGTCCTGTATGCCTTCCGTGATGTGGATATCCTGGCAGCTTCCCGGGCATCGAGGGGCAGACGGCGAATGGTCCTCCTGGCTTCGTCGCCTCCGTCCGACTGTCTCGCTCGTGTTACCATCCTCCTCCCAAAAGTGAGAAACGCCGTTTCCTGGCGCTCTTTTCCTCGCCACCCCCGGTTTGTGAATCCCCTTCCTTTTTTTGTCCCTCGCCGTACAACCGGCGCTCCAGGCATCCTGACCCTGGAGAACCGCGTCAAGAAACGGCACCAGACTCGCCTCGCCCCGCGAGCCATCATCTGGTTGGTTCCACTCCCCATGCTTCGCACGGAGCGCCAGGGCGCACTGAAACAACATATCCCACTCCTCGACCCCTCGCATGAGACTCAGCTCCCGTAGCGCATTGATCTCAGCTTGCGGTGCCTGGCCAGAGGCAACCAGGGAGCCGAGAAATTTCTTGATATCCTCATCCGGAATGTCGAAGCCGTAGAGTAGATCATCCGCTGGCTGCTGGCAGGTTGTGGTGGGATATGACATCTTGTCTACCCCATGTAATTGGGTTGTGCAGACTCTAACAGGAAGGCGGGTGTTGTGCAACAAGCAGGCGCATCATGGAATGGTTGGACAAAAAAGAGAGCAAATGTCGGCTTGGTTGTCTGTGAGTCGGAATAGGCAAGCAGTTAGATTGGGGGGAGATTCGCAAATGGGTACAGTACCATGGGTTGCAATGTTAAGGTAAGTTATGTTTCGGACACAGAATGGCGGGTGACTGGCCGGTGCTGGAATAGGCCGTGGTCAAACAAGGCATGGGACTGGAATCAAAGGTTTCTGAACAAGAAGGAAAAAAAGTCTAGATTGGGACTGACACATTTGATTTACACTCCTCAACCCCGGATCTACCCGACCTGTAACGAAACCTCCCGTCGCTCGAAAAGCTTCCCGAACCTTCCTTTTCGTCTACGTCACATAGAGAAATGTGGTGGAGCCTCGCAGTATATGGTACATACAAAGAAAGGTCAAGCTTGTGTTGTTGTTCTAGCTTGTCCTGTCATTTTAGTAACGACGGGGGGCGCTGGTGTCCTTGGGCGGGTCATATTTGACTTGTCTCGACTTGAGCCATGCCCACTTGTACCGCTTGACCCAGACGCTCACGGCGAACAGAACCGATGTAACAACCAAAACCTTCATGCCCATGCGCTTCCGGTCGTCCATCTCGGGCTCGGCGGCCCAGTTGAGGAACTCGGTGACGTCCTTGGCCATCTGCGAGGTCGAAGCGGGAGTGCCATCCTCGTACTCGACCAGGCCATCGTAGAGGACACGGGCCATGGCGATACCAGTACCGGGGAAGTACGGGTTGAAATTCAGGCCGGCGCCGACCTGGGCACCGGCAGGGGGCTCATCAGGGTAACCGGTCAGGAGGCTGAAGATGTAGTCGCAGCCGCCGTGACGGGCCTTGACCATCAAGCTGAGGTCGGGAGGGAGGGCACCGTTGTTGGCGAAGCGGGCCGCCTCATCGTTCTTGTAGGGGGCCGGGAGGTAGTCGGACAGCTTGCCGGGACGCTTCTCGATCTCGCCCTGCTCGTTGGGCTCGCTGTCGTACTCGTTCTCCTCGGCCAGCGCCTTGGCCTCGTCCACCGTCAGGATGCTGCCGACGAGGGCGCGGTACGGCACTCTGCTGAGCGAGTGGCAAGAGGAGCAGACCTCCCGGTAGACCTGGAAGCCTCTCCGGAGACTGCAAGGAAAAGCCTTTGTGAGCCATGCACATACACACATGACAGTGAGGTGGGACGGTTAAGCTTACGCCTGGTGGTCAAAGGTCTTGAACCACTGCTGGTGAACCCAGGGGTAGTGAGTGGGGTGCAGCCTATCTCGACAGTGAGCATTTGTCTTCCCTCTCGTCTAGTTTCCCCTCGACGGCGTGGTTGGCCGAATATGCCGCAACACTGTCGGTACGGCCTCGGTCCACGGCAAGGGTAGGCCAAACATCGGTAGCGCAACTCACCCTTCCTCGGCTGGCGTTGCGGCGTCGGCGGTAGGTCCGTAGAGATGGTAGTACCAGGCAATTGAGCCGGCGGCGAGGGCAGTAGAGGCGGCGGCAGCGATGTTCAACCGGAGCGGCAATTCGGCGGTGGACCCGGAGCTCGAGGAAGACGCGGCGCGCTGGTGGACACGGACAGTTAGCTCCTTGGAGTGCACAAGAGGCTTTTTCGATGCCGGGCTGGAGTGGACGGTCGGGGGTGTGGGCGCAATTGAGTGATAAGCGGGGTGTCGCTGTTGTCGATGCGATCATGCGATGGGGACGGCGACGAACATACCTTTGAGATCTGCACGGCGCCATTTCTCAGGCCGGCAAATGCGCGCGTCGAGCGCAGGCAGGACCTCGCCAGCATGGTCGGCACACCTTACGGATCTTAGAGAGCGTGTCGTGGGTCGGATTTGACAAGGCAGTTCGCTGCCACCGTCGGTGATGTGAGGTAGCAGGCTCAAGCTGGGTGCGATTGAAGCAGTCAGGTTTCTCAAAATCGGGATTCTTAGGAACTCTGGCCCTCTCATTGGTTGAACCTCGAGCTCTGCTCCAGTGCTCAGGGCCGTTGTTTTTCCGCCAAGCTCTGAAAGGTGTGGGGACTCGGGTGACTTGCCCCAAGCGGCTCCAACCTCACTCGGCTTCTTCGCCCATTGAATTGTGCGTAATTTACAACATACAAACATGTTTCATTACAGCTACATTGCTTCACTGTCCTTGAAGGACCGGGTCATACCCACCCTCGGAAGATACCTGTCATGGGAACAATCAGCGATGTACTTGGGGAGACTCTACGGCCTCTGAAACGAATTGCGAACTGCCACGGCGAGACCCTTGCAGGACAAAACACCCCTTTTCCAATTCCCAGATGCCCATAACGCCGATTTTTGGACGATATCTATGTACAGCTTGACGTGGACCCCACCGTTCATGTGTGGCTAGGCACTGCCATTTTGGCTCAGCACTTCTCTCCGTTTCTTCACAGCATTGGCGAGGACATCGAGGACCTGGACCGTGTCCTCCCACCCGATGCAGGCGTCGGTGATGCTGACGCCGTACTTGAGGCCCTCCTTGCCCTCCTTTGGGACCTTCTGGTTGCCTGTCTGCATGTTAGCACGACACCGAAAAGCAGGAGCCGGGGCGTGTCACTCACCCTCGTTGATGTTGCTCTCAATCATGACGCCCATGATGGCCTCCTCGCCTTTCTCGATTTGCTCTGCCAACGTGGCGGCGACTTTGGGCTGGTTTTTGTGGTTCTTCAGAGAGTTACCGTGGCTGCAGTCGACCATGAGCCGCTGGCGCAACCCGGCTTTTTGCAGAGCAGCCTTGGCCTCTGCAATGCTCTGGGCGTCGTAGTTTGTGCCCCGGGTGCCGCCGCGCAGGATCACGAAGCAGTCCTCGTTGCCAACGGTGCCAACGATGGCGACCACACCAGGCTTGGTGACGGACAGGAAGTGATGGGGGTGCTTGACAGCCCCAATGGCATCGACAGCGACCGTGAGACTCCCATCGGTGCCGTTCTTGAAGCCCACCGGGAAGCTCAACCCGCTGGCCAGCTCGCGGTGCAGCTGGCTCTCGGTTGTCCTCGCACCGACAGCGCCAACGCTGAGCAGATCGGCCAAGAACTGCGGGCTGATGGTATCCAGCATCTCGCTGGCGATGGGCATGCCCTTGGAGGTGAGGTCGACGAACATCTGCCTGCTCAACCGCAGACCCTTGTTGATCTTGAAGCTGTTGTCGATATCCGGGTCGTTGATCAAGCCCTTCCACCCCACAGTCGTGCGCGGCTTCTCGAGGTAAGAGCGCATGATGATCAGCAGCTCGTCCTTGTGCTTCTCCTTCTCCTTTAGCAACAAGTCGCAATACTCGAGCGCGGCTTGCGGGTCATGGATAGAGCAGGGCCCAATCACCACCAATAGCCTCTGCTTCTCGTCGACCCCATTGACAACGGCGACGGCCTCCTCGCGGCCCTGAAGGACGGTCCGCTTCGACTCGGGCGTCTGGGGGATTTCGTGCTGCAGCAGGTCGGGTGGTGTCAGGGGGTTGTAGCCGCGAACTGGTCCATATTGTTAATGCCCACGGTGGTGGCCTGGGGCGGCGAAGCGGCCACTTACTCCTCCAGTCTTCACTCTCGGCCTTGTTGCCGACATTCTTGTTTTCAATGTAGAATGTCTGTATTCCGGTAAATCAGTCGGTCTAGTCCAAGCGATCGCAGAGAGAAGCGGCTCAATCCGAGCGTGCTGGGCACGACTTACAGACATGGTGGCGGTATTCTCAGCTAAGGAAGCAAGATTTCAACCCAATGAGTGTATAAACAGCGAATGTCGACCCGCGCCAAAACGAATATGCCAGCAGAATCAAGATGGTGAACGGACTTATTTGTTCAATAACTTTTTTTTCGCTGATGGCGGTCAGGTTGGGAGCAAACTATCGATCGGTACAGTGAGTTTGAGGGGCAAACATGTGGCATGACTCAATGTGGGGCAGCCATCAGAAAGAAACGCCATGTTAAGCTTCATTGATGCTTCAAACCGGCCATCAACAAGCTGCCAAGGGAGAGATGTCTCGGTATGCGCTCGACCAATAGGCCGGCCAGCAGCACGGGAGACAAGTGTGATAAACCAGTCGGTACCATTGGCCCTCGCCCACATTGGGCCAAAATAGAGCTTGAAAGAACGGGACGTGCCTGGCTCGCCCACGTGTCCGAGTTCGGACTCGGCGCCTCAAGCAACAGTGTGCTGTCCGCTTGAATGAAATTCTGACGGATACAATGCACTGCCTGTCAGTAGAGTACCGAAAGAAAAGAACATTATCATGGAACCCATAAACCTATTCGAACCTCAAGGACGTCCCGGTCAACCTTGAGACAGCGACAGGCTGCCATTGGAGTCTCTTCGTCAATTACCCCGAGCTCAGGGAATGGCCCCTAGCACGGTAAGGAGCGTAAACCTCAAAATATCCGATACCCATGATGACATTCTGACTCGTTTATCCTCATGAAACGCGTCCTGCTGTTTTAAATGTGCTAACGTTAAATGTGTGTAGCTAACACGGCAGACTTAACACACGGCAAGTCGAACGAAAAGAAAGAATCGTTGCCGGCCGGAGGGCTCCGCCACGCCGTCTTGGCACTTTGAAATAACCGGGCTGAACACACTCCACTCCTTCTCCACTTACCGTCGAGGCGAAGCTATCCCGATGCGGAATTGGGCCAAGAACGCTGGCAACTTGAATGCACCGCGTTACAACTTGCGTCGTGCCGTGCGACTGCTGCCAAGCAAAAATCCGCAGTTGCGATTCCACTGAGAGAAGCAACTCACAAAGGAATAGGAGAGCGAAAGGGACTCTTGAGCCGACATGCCCGAGACCAGCACCGACGACGACGTCAAGTCGAACAAGCGAAGCCATGCCGACTTCACTGGCGATGATGGCTCCGGTACGTGGGGAGCTTCTTTGCACCGCACTCTTCTCGCAGCAAGAAACTGACAGCTCGACATGGCAGACAGCTCCTCGGACGACGATATGGGCCCACAGCTGCCCTCAGCAGCCCCCAAGAAGAAGCGGCGCGTCCTACCCTACGAGAAGCTGTACATATCGGCCCTCCCCAAGTCGACTCGCTATTCCAAGTCCCTGATGCACAAGGAGCAGCTCGCCTTCGTCGCCATGACGCCCCTTACCGACTTCCTCATCACTACCTCGATAGACGGCGTGGTCAAGTTCTGGAAAAAGGTGTCTGAGGGGCTCGAGTTTGTAAAGGAGTTCAAGGCACATCAGGGCGAAATCCGCTCTGTGTCCTGCAGCCTGGACGGGCGGAGCTTCGCCACTGCGGGCGTGGACAAGACGGTTAAGCTTTTCGATGTGATAACCTTTGACCTCCTGGCCGTCCTCCAGCTCGACTTCGCGCCGAGATGCGTCTGCTGGGTCCACAAGAAAGGCTCCTCTCTGCCTCTCTTGGCTGTTTCCGACAGCGAAGCCAAACCCAGCATTCGCATCTACGACGGCCGAGGCGAGAACCAGAAGCCGATCCACGCCATCTCTGGACTGCACCGAAGCCCTGTATCTCTGATGGCCTTCAATGACCACCATGATTGCGTAATATCCGTCGACGAGGGCGGCATGATCGAATACTGGCGTCCGGGAGGGTTCTACGAGAAGCCCGACAGCGTCTTCAAGTACAAGAGCTCGACCAGTCTCTTTGAATTTAAAAAGGCAAAGTCGGTGCCGGCAACTCTGACAATGTCCGCTGACGGGAGCCGATTTGCGACTGTGTCGTTCCCTGATCGGAAGATCCGTATCTTCGACTTCGCCTCCGCCCAGCTCCAGCGGACCTATGACGAGTCGCTTCAGGTGATAGAAGAAATGCAGCAGGCTGGAACCGCAATACAGAAGCTGGATGCCGTGGAATTCGGACGCCGGCTAGCGCAGGAGCTCGAAATCGAGTCGCCCGAGCTCCGCAACAAGTTCAACGTCATCTTTGACGAATCAGGCCATTTTATCCTTTACGGTTCCTATCTCGGGGTCAAGGTTCTCAACACGTACACGAACCAGGTGGTCAAGGTCTATGGGCGCGAAGAAGGCTTCCGACCGTTGGCGCTGGCACTGTACCAAGGACAGCCCCTAAAGAAAGGTGTCACAACCGTTGCTATGGCCGCATCAAACAACCCCTTACTGCAGGAGTCTGAGACGAGGGACCCAATACTGTTTGCCACAGGGATCGGAAAAGTCCGCTTCTACATGTTCACCAACGAAGAGGAAATCTCAAAGTCGTCAAGGGACGTCCAGAATGAGAAACCAACGGTACTGGGCCAGAAAAAGACCGAGGAGAAGAAGAAGGCCGAGACAGGAACAGCGGCGATCATCCACACCACCTACGGCGACATCCACATCCGCTTGTTCCCTGACGCGGCACCAAAGGCCGTGGAGAACTTTGTGACGCATTCCAGGCGCGGGTACTACAACAACACCATCTTCCACCGCGTGATTCGGAAGTTTATGATTCAGGGCGGAGACCCCCTTGGCGATGGCACAGGAGGCGAGAGTATCTGGGGCAGGGAGTTTGAAGACGAATTCAGCAGTTTGAAGCACGACAAGCCGTATACCGTCAGCATGGCCAACGCTGGGCCCAACACGAATGGAAGCCAGTTCTTCATCACGACGGAAAAAACGGTATGGCTAGCCCCTCCCCCTCGTTTTCACTTGAGTGGCATGCTAACATGTGGCTCAGCCCTGGCTCGACAACAAGCACACCATATTCGGGCGCGCCGTGCGGGGTCTGGACGTGATCCATAGGATTGAGAACGTCAAGACATACAAGGAGAAGCCGGTAGAGGACATCAAAATTCTCAACATCGATATCGCCTAAGAGGGCGAGAGAAGGTCAATTCGCGTGCCAGAGATGGAAGGCTCTCGACCATCCTGAGGAACCATACATCTTACCTTCAAAGGTTGCCTGCCATGCTGGGACGATTCACATGGGATGACAGACTTTGAGGGCCAAGATGGGGAATCTGTGACTTGGCCCAATGCCAGCTGGCCCGTCGCTTACAACTTAAGTATGGGCCATGGGTAGGGCATTCGGTAGAGGGCTGTGGGCCAAAGCTGAGCTGCATTCAGGATAGGACGGGCTCAGTGTATTATGGGCTGCAGTACGATGGATTCGAGAAACAACATGGTTCGAGCGGGTAGCATTGAATCTTGCCGCATCTGAGCAAGCTGGTATCTCATGTAAGAGACAAACGTGCACCGAGCAGACAAGAAGAGGAATGGAGTAACAGGCCTGGTTTTCAGAGGCATGACTTGACATCACCGCCGTAGTTGATCCGCCGCAACATGATCCGGTTCAACTCGGCCACCTTCTGCACGCCGGCCAACCCCATTGACTGGTCCACGTCGGCCAGCAGCCCGGCGAGCACATGCCGAGCTCCCTCGCCACCCGCCACGCCCAAGCCATAGATGACGGGCCGCCCGACCAGCACCGCTTTGGCGCCCAACGCGAGAGCCTTCAGAACATCACCCCCGGTCCGGACACCCGAATCAAACAGCACCGTTAGGCGATCCCCAACAGCATCCACAATCTCGGGCAGCATCTCCAAGCTCGGCACGGCCCCGTCGAGCTGTCTCCCGCCGTGGTTGCTCACAACGATGCCGTCCATGCCGTACTTGACCGCCATCTCGGCGTCCTGCACGCTCAGCACGCCCTTGAGCACAATCGGCCGGTCGCCCCACAGCCGCCGCAGCGTCGCCAGGTCCTCCCACCGGTGCGCGTGGCCCGAGAAGACCTCGCCCAGCCAGAACCGGCTCGCCTGGACGACGTTATCCTCGACGGCGCCGCCGTCGTGTTGCTCGGCAAATTTCTGCCGGAAAATGGGGTCGCTGAACCCGAGCGCGTTGCCCTCGCCCTTGGCGAACGGCAGGTAACCCGCGTCGAGGTCCAGCGGGCGCCAGGACATGGTAAACGTGTCGAGCGTCACGACCAGCACCTCGCACCCCGCGACGCGGGCGCGGCTGAGGAGCGAGGCCGTGATGGCGTCGTCGAGCGGCCAATAGAGCTGAAACCAGCGCGGGGCGGCGGCGATCGTGATGGAGGACGTCGAGGCCGCGCGCTCCGACTCGGCGGCCGGGTTGATGGAGAGGTCGGCTGCCGAAGCGACGTCCTCGAGCGGCGTGCAGGCGGCGGTGCTGTAGATGAAGGGCACGCCGAGCGCGGCGCACGCCATGGCGACCCCCTTTTCGCCGTCTGCGTGGTACGCTGCTTGCACGCCTATCGGGGCCATCAGGAGGGGCGTGTCTGGGTGGTGACTGTGTTGTTAGCGAGGGGAATCCTGAGAAATGACGTGAGCACACTACGTTGGGTATTGTGAGGAAAAGAGGGGGGGTGGAAAGGGGGGTTGGACGACTTGCCGTAGGTCTTGCCAAAGAGGGTGACGCTGAGATCTCGCGGCATGGTTGGGCGGAGCATGCGTGGGATCAGCTTCCACTGGCGAAAGGCCAATCGGTTGGCATGCATGGTCGCTTGTTCGCCGGCGCCGCCAAAGACGTAGTTGAAGGCCTGCGGGCTCATGGCCTCCCTGGCCGCCTGCTCCAGTTTGTTGGGGTCGGTTGTGACGATAGGCGTCTTGCCGGAGATGAGAGCTTGAGTGTAGATATCGATCTGATACTGCCCATAGGGCTGCTTCTGCTTCTGCGTCTCCCCATTAACCTTTTCGTCTTTCTCCTGTGGCCCGGACATGGCTCGAGGGGCATTAGCTTCCTGGTAAACTGAGGCCCATGTTCTTTGACTGTTTACTTACACACAGCGGCAACTGAAGAGTCTAAATAATACCGCTCGGACTCAGGTATGTTCGGACTCGTGTAATTGTAGGTACGTTCAGGGCCCCGAGCTTCCCCGCATGTGAAGCCAATGGACTTCGGCGATCAACTAGCGGCCTCGTCGGTGACTGTAGTGTGGGGCAATCAACCCAGAGATTTGAGGCATGACTGACGAGGAGGACTGGGCCAATTGAATAATGAATGATCGACTTGGCCCGAAGGCACAATTGTGATGCCGGCTGGATTGACTAGGTGAAAGAATGCTCGAAGGGAGAAAAGGGGTCTGAGGCTCTGGCCACTATCGGGCCCTGTTCAATACCCAGTTCCGCTACACGTGTGTTCCTTCCAACTGAATCACCCTAAACAGAGCTGAGCTGCTCTGGCATATCATGTCAGACAACGGCTCAGGCACTCTTAGGGAAGGATTTACTCGAATGTCTCTTTGGACGTGGACTGGTTCTCATCACTGCCTATGTCAAACGCCTATCGCACGAGATGAATGTATCCATCGTCCTCTTCCTTCGATGCTCCATCCCCGTCTCTCTGCTGCAGCCGTGGAGAGACAAAAGCTCTGATCCTCTCCGTCGAAAGCATCCATCCAATCAAACACCCGTCGTTTGTGGCAATCTGGGATGCTCGCAAAGTGCCCCTGTTCTGAACAGCCACATAGTAAGTCCATCAAGCCACCACCTAGTAGCTTGGCTTGCCCATCGTCTGGCGTGCTGTTGACTGCATCGCATCCGCATCCATACACCACATTCTCTTCTTCATGGAGATCGCATCGCTGAGACATGTGCATGCATCTCTACCATACTTCCCATCCAGTTTTTGGCTAGGTGGACTTCAACCAGTTGTTGTGACGGCATCTAGTTCAGGGCTTGATGGACCACAGCTCTCGGGACCTATTCAGGCTTGTCAGTTCATGTGCTCAACATCGCAACCAGTAAGAAAGGCATGCATACCATCCCATCTCCCTGATCTTTTTCGAACTAGCCTGCGACCCCTTCTTATCGCTCGTCCAAATCGCCAGCGCCTTGCTGCACGACGCAAACGCCTCGACAAGCTCCTTCATCCTGCCGCACCTCAAAAACTCCTGGGCGACATCCGAGCCCTTTTCGGCGATCACCGCCGCAAGCTCCATGCACTCCAGGAGGTTGTCCCGCGAGAGGGACGTGCCGGCAAAATGCAGGCAGCTGATATAAGCCAGCACCGTCTCGGGAATGTAGGCGGCGCGAAGCTCTTGGAAGTCCTTGTCGACTAGCCCTGCGCCGTTAGCCTTCACAACGGGCATGCAAAGCCGTAAAGGACGCCATATCATACCTTCGTTGGACACCAACAACCAGTTCTTCAATACTGGCTGCATGCACGCCTTGGCCGCGCGGACCTCCTGGCTCGTGTGTTGCAACATATCTCGGGACATGGTGTTTTGCCTGTTACAAGCCATGTTAGCCAACCAGGAGTCGTCAAGTTAGGAACCGCGGAGGAAGACATACTCCCTGCTGAGTCCAGCCACCGACGACAGGGTCTCCATTGAGTCCAGAGCGCGAACAAGGCACTCTAGCTCCCAAAGGTTCCGGACGAGCGTGATGAGCTTGTCCTTGCTCAGTTTGCAACGATCAAGGAACTCGGCTGGAAAGTCGCCACTGGCAAACTCCTCGAACCACCCGGGACCCAAATCCTCGCTCGTCTCTCCGACCGGGATGGGCGACTTGGCCTTAACAATTTCTCGTCCTGAAATCCGATCGCTGAAAGCGCGGGCGGCCCGCAACCGTGTCTTCTCTGTGCCCGGTTAGCATAATAACAGAGAGCGACACTCTAACAAGGCTCTAGACGTACTGAGCAAATACTTGTAAATCCGGATCGCGTAGGTGCATGACTCGACGAATAGGCCGGGGACAAGCATGAGCCATTCCATGGCACGGATGATCAGGTCGTCTTCTTGATCAACGAACTCCGAATCCTCCCCAAAGAAATCAGGTTTGACAACCCGGCCATACTTGAGCGTTGCCGGTCCATCCTCAAGGATCTTGAATCGGCCCTTTGCCTCGCTGCGGAGAGCCAAGTCCTGGACATCGTCAAGGTAAATCAGAGGCTGGGCCTTGACGAACTGGGCCAGATCAAGCCCCAGTTTCCTCATTATGGTAAGCTGGTGTACCCGTGCGTCATTGTCCACAATGTGAATCAGATTCCTGCTCAGCGTTTCGTACACCCGAGCACCGTACAGCTTGGAGCAGTACAGCGGAATCATCTCCTCCAGGTTGGCAAGCCGGAGGTAGCTGATGTACGCTGCGATGATGTGCTCTTGTACTTGATGCCGGGCCTGCAGTGGACTCCTATCCTTTGTGAAACCGCTTAGACGGTCGAGGGTGAAGATGATGATGAGGACGTGCGCCAGTATCCTAAGGCCGTCGTGGTCTGCCAGGTCGAAGTACCTGTCTTGGTTGACGTTCTCCACCAGATGGGAGGAGATTTCGGGGATCAGCTTTGAATTTTGCTTTTGGTTCGCGTGCCGGGACAGCACGAGCCCTTGTTGGAACAAATGCCGATCCAGTTCGTTGGAGATGATGGCGCCTTGCAGCGTCTTTGCGGTCCGCATCGCCTCTTTCCTGGTCCTCGAGTCCGTCTCCAAGGAAGCAATGAGACGCTTGCTAACCGTCATCGGATCGCTGTGATGCAGAACGGCGTTGAACGAGGGAAATTGCTCGGCGGCTCTGGTCGCACTGTCGCCGCCATGCTTGACGAGATACGAATCGAACTGCGTCCTGAGAAGAGCGTTGTAATGAGCAAAGAGGAAGTCGTCCCAGGACTTGCACACTTTCTCCACACTGGCGATGTCGCCCGCTAGCAAGCCGTAGACGGCCCGGTCGTACTCTCCCGTGCCGCCGTCACGGGCAGCGGCGAAGCACATGCGCCTCCATAGCACCAGAGCGCTTGGCTCAAACTCTGGCTGTTCCTCGTCCTCGGGATTGGACAAGGGCAGCGGCGTGATTGATGCCGCCCGCCAGAGCTCCGTTCTCTCTGAACACCACTCTCTGATCTCAGACATGGAGCAACCGCGCCGAAGCATTTCGAAGCATCCGAGCCAGATAGCACGCTCGAAGAACTCGTCATGAGGTTCCAATTTGCGGGACTGGCGGGTGACGGCGTCGGGATCCAGTTGAGTAATCAGAGTGTTGGAGCCGAGATGCGACTGAGCGGCCGCGGCGTCGTGAGGTTCCAAAACACCTTGATAACCGTTGACGCTCTTCTGTAGCTTGATCTTATGTCGCGTGTGGAGCCAACCGTGCGCAAGGATATCGCCGCGCTCGGCATTCTGTTGCAATTCACTCACGACCTCGTCAATGGGCGGCCTATGACTCGCGCTGCTCTGAAGCCACTCCAAGACAATCTTCCTCTCCCGTGCCGCCGAATCTGAGACTAAGAAGTCGTCCCACCACTGCCTACGCGTCCTAGTCGAGGCATCGTTCGTGGTTCTTAGCTGGGATGCGGTCTGGTCGCGGTACCGCAGAGGTAAAATCCGCCGTAAAAGATCCCAAGTCTGCGCCTCCTCTTCTACACGGCGTATCTCCTCAGCCGAGACGGCATCGTTGACATGATCGGCTTCGTCGATGTCCATGTCGGCAGAAGCAGCCCGTTGCCAACTCCCTCTCCGGGCAGATGGCTCGCGCTCACGCAACCGGTCAGCCCTCTTGCGCGAATAGGTGTAGTAAGAGTCGACAAGTTTGAAGACGTGAGCGCGCTTGTCTGCCGCCGACCCCGTCAATTCAGTGTTGTAACGGTCGAGTTGAGCAGCGAAATAGTCGACCTCCTCGCCCGCTCGGATGGTGCTCTCGTGATATGTAGTCTCGAGGTCGGCCATTTTGTCATTCAGGGGCCCTGAAGGCAATGTTAGTAACATGATGCGGCTTCGAAGCGGTGACTGACCTTGAGCCGGACTCTGGGCGCCAGACCGGGAGCTCTCCTCTGACGCTGGGTAGCCCTTGGAGAGCAATGTCAGCAAAGATTGATTGCGAGGGGCACGCGAAACCGTAAAAGTGAACTAACAAATGCCGGCGCCATGTTTATGGGCTCAGAAAGTCGCCAGGCAAAGTATGCGCCAAAATGGTTGTTGTCGATTGTCCCAAGTCGTCAGTGGTTGTCCCGATGCGTCTCGGACGAGGCCCTATGGAGCTTCGGAGATCGTTACTGCTCGCCCAGATTATCGCATGCTGCGAGACGATTTGAAAAAGGGTGGGCCTGTTGTTGGTCCCCTGGAATTCTGGAGACCTTCTTTCAGTGTGACGGCTTCAATTCAAGGTTGCGCTTCCACTGGAGACGCGGTCGCGTTGATTGCGGCTCAAAGGTTGGGCTGTCGCTGGCGAGCAATCGGGACTCGCAAATGCAATCCGAAAGCTCCATGCCTTGTTGGGCAGTTTAAGCACGGGCCAATGCTTTGACAGGGGCCCAGATTGCTCCACCCAAAGGCTTTGAAAAATCACTGACAAAACCAATTTTTTTGATCTCTTTTCTTTCTCTCAACAATGTCCATGGCATTCATATTAGAGTCTCGGAACAAGCTCTTCATTGCTTGTTCAGGTCCATGCGACCTCTCGCGCGCTCAATGATAGCCTAGAGAAATCCGGCACCATCCCTTCCAGTTACCTGACGCCTCTCGGGGTCATTCAGGTGGACATATACGGTTGAGTGATACATTTGAATTTCCGTCACTGGATGCCCTTCTTCCTTTGCTCCATCTTCACCCGCAGCAGGTTTGCCTTTGGACAGCTCACGGTTGCCGCATCGTTGCCGTTCCTTTCATAGAAGGCTTGGCAACATTCGTAAAGAGCATCGACAAACCTGGCACATTTGCCTTCGTTGTATCCATTTCTTGTCAAGCAGTCTAGAGAGGATGTGAGTTGAGCAGGTGCACCGAAATGAGACAACCAAGGGAAAGCCCAGGAACGGTACCTTGAATCGCACACTGAAGAAACAATGCCGGACGTATCAGCAAGGCTGTCATCGCAATGGGAGGCACCAGGTAGTGACTGGACGAACCGCTCGTGGATGGCATGGAGGATTGGTCTGAAGATCTTGCTCAAGGCCCTGAAAGAAAGTAAGGCGGTCAGTCTTCGGGTCAGGATTGTAGTCTCGGTGTCCTGGGATTATTTCATCACAGACCATCGTGTCAACTGCAGTTCTCAGAGCAATGGACGCAGGATGCTGGAATGGGTCTCAGGCTGAGGCAGGCTAATAAGCTGTGGTGCTACATTCCGTTGTGTTGCTGGGTGAATTTTGAGACTTGAGAGCCAGCACAGTGATATCAAAGTCCTTGCTGCCACGCTACTATGTAAGAAGGTTACGTAAGGTCTCTGTACCAGTGCAGCTGTGCCGATCTTCTTCGCCGACGACTAGGTCCTTCTCGAAGAGCCCTTTCCAATTACTGCACGAATAAAGAAGTGATGCCGGCGACCTCACTTTTGTATCCATTTGATGGAGTTTTCACTCTCCTCCAGAGGCTGTAGCCATATGAGGATGAGACTGACCGTGGACCCAGACGCTTTGCTTAGACAGGTACAGGTACCTGGAGGACTCAGAGGGGAGACAGTGACCTCGGGCGTGACTGTAAGTGTCTGGTTTGTTTGCGACTGAACCGAAGCCGTGGATTTTGTAAATGCATCAGTACCATAGAGTGTAGTGGTATTGTTACTCTGGAAACACCGACACAGTCCTTGATGCCTCGTGTGAGGTACCTTACTCTACCTACATAAATTGCAGGGAAAGGCCATTGACTTCTGGGGACCCAAGAAAGCACCCACTGCAGTGAAGTAACCCCACCAACAAGGCCCGCTATTCCCCGCCACAGCAGACCATCCCACCTTCATCAACCACCAACGTCAATTTGGAAGACAGAACCCTTCTAAATAGGTGACAGATCACATTTATAGAGCCACCCCAGCAACTCTTCTGGCGGTCTCTTCTCTTCCACGAACAAAGGGCAGTAAAGCCGTTGGCAGTTTGAACCATAGCCCAGTTATTACTGGGGTAAGCTCCTGTCAAGCGCATCTGCCTCCGCCCCTTCTTCCCAACGTTTTCCTTCGCCGGGCTCCTTCCATCCCGCTAAACTTCCTTGCGCCGCAAACCAGTCCTCGTTTCTCGATTTCTCGAAACTGACGGAAACACGCTAAATTCCAGAACAAGTCACAAAGCTCCCTACAACCCATCACTTTTGGGAAACCGTCCTTCGCAACCGACACATCCACGATGGCCGACAACGCCGAAAACGGCAGCCCCGTGCAGCCCGGGCCCGAGATGGGCGGGGCCCCGCAGGCGAGCGAGCACTTGAACATCAAGGTTACCGACAACAACAACGAGGTCTTCTTCAAGATCAAGCGCAGCACGAAACTAGAGAAGCTCATGACGGCCTTTTGCGAGCGCCAGGGCAAGACGCTCGCCTCGGTCCGGTTCCTCTTTGAGGGCCAGCGCGTCCAGCCGACAGATACCCCGGACACGGTGAGTCACTACAGTTCAGATTTGGATCAAATTGTTACGTAAGGTCGCGGGGAGCCGGCTGCTGACCTACGATTGTGTCTGAACAGTTGGAGATGCAGGACGGCGATACGCTCGAAGTCCACCAAGAGCAGGTCGGTGGCTGTTAGGCGACCGGTTTGAAGGTTGAAAGGCGGGGAGTAAGGAGCGGTGGGCTCACTACCACGAAACGTTTGGCTTGGGGCATGGCGAATGGGTATCACCGGTTTTGCAACACTACGACATCGTTGGGGGGGTCATACCAACGAGGCATGATCGAACCAGTGCATCGAGATTTTGTCGCTGGGTTCCCACCTGAATTGGTTGGCGCATCTTTTGGCGCAGGTATCTGGCACACTGGAGGAATCTTCGTTTGCCGGTCGGGAGTTAAATGCTATTAATTCCTCGACATCATCATATGGTCACTTGAGACCAAGCTTTGCTCCTGCGCTTCAAACGTGCTGCTGCCTATTCAGGAGCCTACTTCGTGAAGGTAAGGCGATCCGCTCGCCAACTCTCAACCATTCACTCCCACCGAAAGGAGACCACAAAGCTGTGTGTCTGTGGAAAGCTGCACGGTAAATGAATTTCATATGCTGGATCTATCAAGCCAAGAACTACGCAGAGCCATGAAAACTCCAGTCTCCGCTGTAGATCATCTAACCGAGAAGACTCGAACCGAAATAAGATCAAATCAACGCCCACGCGTAGCGGCCCCATTAATAATGCATAATCCTCATGCCTTCAGCTCCTTTTCCCTGCACTTCCTACACAGCACCACCGTCTCTCCTGGCGCCCCCCGACCTTCGACTGGGAAAATCTGCCCGTCATCAAACCCGCCGTTGCAGGTAGCACACCGAAAACACTCGTCATGCCACTCACCGCCCAAGGCACGGATGTACTGCCCAATAACAGCCGTCCTGCACTTGCGACACTTGGGCGCCCTCCGCTCGGTGCGCTTCGTCTGGCAGGACACGCACCACGCATAGCCGTCCTTTTCGATATGCGTCATGCCCTTCTCGAACGGGTCGCCGCACTCGGCGCAGAAAAAATGCCCAAAGTGCCAGTGGGCGCCTAGCGCCACCACGTGCTCGCCCATGATGGGCGTCTTGCAGTGCTTGCAGCGCGGGGCGAACAGCTCGTGCCAGTCGAGATGGCAGAAGAAGCGCAGGCGCTCGTCGCCGTCCTCGGCCATCGTCTGGCCCGGTTCTTCAGTAAGCACTTCGCCTCTGGCGCGGCGGGCAATGCGGTCGAGGCGGGCCGCGCGGTGCTCGTCAGGCTCGGGAGAGATCTCGAGCGCCTCCAGGGAGGTGCCGCAGGCGTAGCAGGTGAAGCATTGCGGGTGGAACCGCTCCGAGGTGCCAGCCAGCGATATAAAGCGACCCTCGATGCTGTCTCCGCACTCGTGGCAGCAGGCGGTGGCTCGAATTCCGACTGGCTTTGGTGCGGGCGACGAATGTCCGCGAGGCCGTATCGCCTGCCGGACCTTAGGGCCTCCGACTTGGGGAGTTGGGAGGGGACGACGAGAGGCAGCGCCCGTGCTTCTGGTGCTATCGTCAGGTGTCACAATCACGGGTATGCTGGGGCTTTTGTCTGCTCCATCAGGCTCAACTACAATGGTTGGAGGGGAAGGTGAAGAAGAGTCGGATACCGCAATCACAGGGATCGACGGCCCATTTACTTGAATACCTGGCGGCGGGGGTTGTGGGCGACGTGTCGGCGAGGATGACGGGGCTGGCGAGGCCGTAAGATCATCCGTAACAGAGATAGCAGGGATCGCCTGGGCCTGCTGCTGCGGCTGTTGGCGGCGGAGCCCTCCTGGGACGAGGCATGCTGGGTGGTTGACGGCCCGTCGCCCGGCTCTCGACTCTTCTGACTTGTCGTCAGTAGCCTCCTCTGGGGGCTTCCAATCTTTATTAAAGCTTACGATAGGTCGACCAGGACTATCGCTGACAGCAGACGGGGTGGGGAGCTTCGGGCTGCGGTCTTTCAACTTCATGCTTGTGGCTTGTCTAATGTCCTCGCTGCGAATCTCTACGCCGTGTTTTCGAGGCGCATCGTACTTTTGCACAGGTGAAGCCGTGACCGGAGCGTTGGTGGTGTACTGTGGGTTTCGAGACTGGCTCGGCGGGTTCCGATATATTTCGTACTTGGAGACCAGATTTCCGGGCGAATGAGGAGCAGTGGTCGGCTTCGTTCCAGCGGGCGGCTTGGGAGCGGATTGAACGCGGTTCAGGGGTTCCTTTGGCTTTGGCCGCAGCGGGTTGACGGCGTCTTCGGGCGCCGAACCTTGGGGCTGGGCCGGAACCTCATTGTCCGGCTCTTCCCAGATCTGATCACCCGAGAAGTGCTTTTGAACGTCGCCGCTCATGTTCCTCTTTTGCCTACTTCTGGAACGCACTCCGGGGAGCGGGCGGGAGCTGCCAGGAATGTCGCCGTACGGTTTCGAGTTACGAGCAGGAGCGTCAGCAGTTCGGCCCCACGCCACGCCTGACTCATTGCCAGGCGACTGGCGAGAGGAGGCAAAGGAGGGACGACCGCCAGCCGATCCCGGGCTGTCCCCCTCGGTCGAGCTACCGGATACCGAGCGCGAATGAGGGTCTCGGGCAAGTCCAGTTGGCGCGACGTCGCTTCCATATCTACCGACGCTAGCGGTGCGGGCGTGCGCGTAACTGTTCTTTCGCAGATGCGGTCTGTATCGGTAGGGGGCACCTGGCCGAGGCAGCTTTCCGGGATTCTGGTGCTGCCAGACCAGCTCAGCGGCCTCGTTGAGGGCGGCATCGTAAAGCCGCTTGCCCTCTTCGCTCTCGTCGGCCCCATCATTGCCCTGTTGAGCCCGCTCCTTGAGATTCATATCTTCCATCGCTCGGCGTAGAGAGAAAGCCTCCTCCTTTTCCATCCACCGCTGGCCACGCTCGATGTATGTTGCGCTGGGTACAACCTCAGAAGGTTTCAACGGTTCAACGGGCTGATCGGGGTAATAATCTTTTCCTCTTGTCGTGGTTGAGGGTCTTGACGAGACACTGGGCGCAATTGATGGGCGCGTGGCAGATGGAGCCACGCTGCCGGTATCGAATTGCGTGCGATGGTGGGAGCGGTGCTGGGGTAAGGGTGATATCGAAGGTGACGGGGCTCCGACGGACGACTGGCCACTGGTAGACAAGCCGAGACCATCCTGTTTCGGAGCAGGCAGGGGACGAGCGCCTGCAGGCCTGTTCATGCGGTTCTTTCGGAGGTCTGCAAGATAGGCGGCTGAAAGACGGGGAGATTGTGAGTTAGCACCCGCCCGGTCCATCAAATCTGGATCGCTCAAAGGAGTGTGCTTACCAAATTGCTCGTTTGACATGTAGGACGGAGAAGGAGGTGTGGGCTTCCTCGTGGAGCTACGCTCCTTGGACCCGCTGCGGGCGAACATGGCTCCTTCTTGAGCAGCTCTCGACGGGCAGGTAACTGTGCTAGTTGTCTGGAGCGTTGTCGTGACCCGGGTCGAGGCTAGAAGGACGGTGAGAGGATAGCTGCCCGCTAGCCGAGCACCGACTCGACCGCTGGTCAATCTATGCAACGTCCTGGAATGTTTACTTCGGAGGGCTTCAGTGCTCAACGACGTTGCTAGGAAGGGCCGGGGGCAGCAGCATTGTGCAACAGAACGGGGAGGAAAAAGAGGGAAGGTGAGTCAACAAGTTAGAGGCCGGGAGTTCATCCAGAGGTGTGAATGAGTGCCAGACGCACTCACCTTGCTTGTTCCTGATTTTCCGGCTGTGATTGGTCCACGCAGCGGGACAAACATGGGTTCCCACAGCGACGAACCGGCTCGGCTCAATCAACGTTTGAATGGGAAGGCGGTCGCACTCCGCACGTGTTAAAAGGTACCTTACAACCTGACTTCCATTCCTCATGCTTCCATTCCTGCCCCTGGTTGCCCTACGGATAGCTCCCGTCTAACCACGCGGTAACATGGGTGCTCTGCATGCCTTTGATTGACGGCAACTTGCAGTCTTCAACTTCTTCACAAACGTAGTGTGTCAATTGCACTATTAGGCTCTCAATTCCCAACATTGTGTTTTCTATGTAGCCCACACCCGTAATCCGACAACACATTCTCGATTTGGCCCAAGGCACTTCAAGCAGTTCCAGAAGCTTGGTCCGATGAGCGAGATTCAACACATGCCGGTCCTCGTTCCCCGCACCCAGCACCAGCCAGCTGAGGTCCACCCGCAGCCACCATGCAGAAAATCTGGTTCACAGGGCGCGCTTGCGTCTTGCCCGTAGTTATTTCCGAGCCCGGGCCGGTCCCGGGCACTGACAGCATCCTTCGGTACGTCGAAGCAAGCCAGCTTCGGGAATGGGGATGCAGAACCTCCGGACGGTTGGCATCTATTCTTTAACGCTCTACAGCGATAGACTTGCCATATCCCTATTCAACATGCCGGCTCCTGTGGACGACACCTGATTCTCAGGCAGTCAGCTTCAAGAACAGGAACCGAGACGATGGCCCCCGGTCTTAGCGCCACTTCCGTGTGTGGATGCCGCTGCATCGGCGGCTCCCGCTAACCCAAGCTGAGGCGACATTGGAGCTTCTTTGGGTGGGGAGAAGCAGGGTGTGCTCCCTCGGAATCGCGAGCCCGACACAAAATATCTCCGAGCTGTTTAGCGTTTCCCTCGATGGAAATGTCATTCATGAGTCAGTGTCTGCGACTCTCTGGCGGTGGTGTATTTTGGACCAAGGTCTTTATGATACTGGCTTCGCCCGTCCCGTGGACTTTATCTTCCCAGCGTCTTAATCAGGCTCCGTTACAGGCAAGACTGCATCAACCTTGACTGGGGCGAGCTCCAAGGTGTCATCTGTTCACCATTCCAACTCCAGTCCATCTCCGCTGGCACCATATCAGCAAAGGCGTGTCGATGTCCCTCCAGACAGCGGCCCTTAATCGGCCCTGGCTGTCAGCCCCTGAATCAGCACCGTCCGTGTTGGTCGTCCCTAAAGAGGACGCCCCTGTCCTTCGGCCTGATGAGAAGAGCACTGGGTCGGAGGAAAGCCCGGGAGAGACGAATACTCACGACAATACGGAGTTCAAGGAAGGGGGTTATGGCTGGTTAGTATAATACCCATACAACCTGCCACAGGCGCAGTCTCATCCGCCCCTGCTATCGACGAATATTTTCTGCGTCTGGGCTGACATATGGGGCAGGGTGGTCGTCTTTTCAGTCCTGCTCATCAATGCGCACACATGGGGTTTGAACTCGTCATATGCCGTCTTCCTGGCCTACTACTTGCGGTCTGGCACAATCGAGGGGTCTTCCCCGCTTGGATTTGCCTTTGTGGGCGGTTTGTCCATATCAATAGGTATGTCCGCCCAACACCTCCTTCGGCCCGCCCGGCCATCTGCTTTAACTGACTGTTATTTGGACAGCTCTATTGGTATCTCCCTTTGCTACCTGGTGCATTGGTCGGTTTGGGACGGCCTTCAGTTTGCGAATTGGTGTTGTCTTTGAAGCGTAAGTTTCTAAGAAATACCGGCATGCCGGTACTTTAGTTGGCGTGTGTGACATGCGGATGTTAACTGTTACCTCCATTGTACAGTGTCTCATTTATCGGGGCTTCGTTCTCTACCCACATCTGGCATCTCTTGCTCAGTCAGGGCTTGTGCTTCGGCCTAGGACTGGGCTTCTGCTTCACATCCAGCGTCGGCGTGGTTTCCCAATGGTTCAACAAGCGCCGCTCGTTCGCAAACTCGGTCGCCACATGCGGCTCTGGCTTCGGCGGCCTCACTTACTCGCTAGCCACCAATGCCATGATCTCCAACCTCGGTCTAGCGTGGGCCTTTCGGATTTTGGCCATCTTGGCCTTCGTGGTGAATGGGGCCTGCAGTCTAATATTGCGCGACCGCAATAAGGCTGTCGGGACTGTCCATATACCCTTCCACAAGGACCTCTTCAAGCATCTCCAGGTTTGGCTGTTTATTGGCTGGGGATTCTTCAGTCTCCTGGGTTATGTCATTGTTGTCTTTTCCCTTACCGATTACGCTCAGTCGGTAGGCTTTTCGGCGAGCCAGGGATCACTTGCGGCAGCCATTTTCAACTGTAAGCCCCCAACACATGTCAGTACCAAGATCAACCGCTGGGTATCTCCTGCTAATCATCTGCGCGTCTCAGTGTCGCAAGGCATTGGAAGACCCCTCATTGGCCTGGCTAGTGACCGGTTCGGGCGCATCAACGTCGCCGCCATCGGCACCCTCATTGCTGGCTTGGCAGCCTACTTTCTATGGACATTCACCGGTGCTCATTTCCCAGGTCTCATCGTATACGCTCTCTTTGGCGGGTTCGCGGGCATCATTTGGCCCTGTGTTGCGCCGGTCGGGGCCGAAGTGGTAGGCTTACAGCTGTTGCCTTCTGGTATGGATCTCCAGCCTAGCGAATGGTCAAGCGTACTGACCATGTCATCACAGCGCTGTCCATATACTGGCTTGTTTTGGTCTTGCCGGCGACATTGTACGTTATCCGACTGTCCCGCTCTTCTCTACGTCCCCTGCTTGCTAACCTTCAAGTCAGCGCTGAGGTGATTGCCCTGCGTCTGAAAACGTCAGGGGCAGGCGCATACCTCAACGTCCAGGCCTTTACAGGAACCATGTATATTGCCGCATTCATGTCCTGTATGACCCCCGTTCTGTCCTTGTATCACACGACTGGTCTTTAACTAGGTTGCTAGTATGGCTTCTGAGAAGCTGGAAACTGCAGCAGCTGGAGCTGCTGGGTTTGGATGACAAGACAATAACGGAGGATAACAACGTGTGCGGCGCAGGCCCCATTCCAGCCGCAACACGACCGTCTGGACGACTCCGAGCCTATCTACATGGCATGGCCGTGATCAGGAAGGTTTGAAGTACAGCAGAGCGACTGCAAAGCCGTGTTGTCAACGAATCAAATCCGTTGATGAAATCATGGCAGGGGAACACTCACCAGCCTGATGGGTTGGCGATATCATCACCGTCCCAGATTCACGAGGAGTGTCCAACACGCTCTTGTGTAGTTAAGGCCACCGCTTGATAGCTGAGGATGCGTGCTCCTGTACCTATGCCGATTCTTCGGGCTCGAAGCATCGGCGTGGCTGGAGGACATACTTTGAGGACACTTGCTATCCTGCAAGCTCCCCGTCGAAGTGGGCAGGTTCAGGTCATACGACACCTCCTTGTGGCGGACACAGTCCAGGTCGAGCCTTGCGCAAACGAAGGGAAATTGGAAGTGAGACTTCAACCGTTAATGGCTAGAGATTGCCCAGAGCGGGTATGATATTCTACCATGATTTAGCGACGATAGCCAGGGCGAAGCATGCCATACGCAGAGGTATGCTCAGAACGGACGGGATTTTCGAAACGTGTTTACTGCGATGGGAAATAAAATAGTGTTGCTTGCTGCGGCCTTGAGGCCATTCAAGGAGCTGTTTGATATCACACTGCGAGGAAACAAGTTGATTTTGTGCCTGCTTCTCATGTGGCGCCTTGAGACATGACTCGGTGTGGCTTCCTAGCCGCGGGGCTGGGAGGTCTGCAGCTGACTTGGAAGACTGCGTGGGATCTCGTCCATTGGGACCGGCGACGACCAGACCGTGGCCAGGCTCCTAGTGCCGGACTTTATATCGACGCCTGGGGTATAGCCCAATCTGCTCCGAACGAAGTGGAACTCCAGTTGCTGTTTTGGTGTAAGGGGTAAATGTGGCTCGATGTGAGCGTGATGTTGAGGTCCAGCAAGAAGCTGCGCCATTAAGTTGGAGCCTCGAGCCTTAACTCTCCGACGAGCCCAGGCGCTTGCAAAGCCAATCAAATCACCAACGGAGCTCTCCTTTGACTCCTGTCCCGCCGCCGCCATCGCCTTGTTTTGCTGGCGTCTTATCGTTAAACCCCAGGTTCTTGAAATCGTCTCTTGCCATGAGGTTGCTGATGATGCAGTGGTCAGTATGGGTAAAGCATGAGAAATAACCAGTTACACTCACCGGTCCATCCGGCAAGCCAGGTACGATTTGGCTAGCATCCGACACTCGCCTTCGTTCACGCCTTTGACTTTTTTGATGCAGCTTAAGTACGACATCATAATATTCTTGCACTCTCCTGAGCCCGGGTATGAGCAACAACGTCGCTCGATCAGCTGTGGAGGACTGTGCACTTGCCATCATGATCTAGGGGAAAGCTTCCCCTCTGAGGTCTTGAGAGTGCACGGTCAACAAAAAGCTGCTGGAAGAGGCACCGGGGACCATCGGACTTACGGGACGGGTTTCGAGGACGGTAACGGCCCGGGGCTCCCGAACGTACTCATGGTATAAGCGGCTGAGATATTGTTTTTGGGTAATACGTGGATACTGTTCGTCTGTATGGTCAAACTGCTGCCGCTCCCTTGCAGTGAGACGGAACGGAAAAACGGAATCGACTGAGCTGACTGAGCTGTGAGCAGGTTGAAAGAATGAAACGAGCGTTGACGTCGCTGGATAATTACTGGCCAGTACGGAGAATTGCGTAAATGTATCGGGGTCCCGGCCGAGTCAAATGTAGGCGTATGATCAGGGGGATCGACCAGCTCCGAGTGTTGCCGCGCTGGATGTGCGTCCTGTGGCTTGTAAGTACCTCCGTACGTATGAATAGTAAGCAGCTTCAATATGGCATTTTTCGTAAGTTTCCTTTCGTTATGGTACACTTCGCTGTTCTGGGCTAGCGCCATTGATGTGATCTGTGCATAAAATTGACTGAAGAAGCCAGTCGTCCGTGCATCTGCGACTCCATAACGGCCAAGGCCGAGTCGCCCCAGTTTGATCTAGAAACATCAAGTTTTGTCGAGCTGCTATTGTCTGTCATCCACCTCACCCAACCGGGACGCGCCGCACCGCTACCAGTCTCTGTAAAAGACCGCCCGTCCGCCGTCGACTGCTCGTTTACGGGACGACCCTCGCTCTACTTCGCGCTCCCATTGCTCTAGCTCGGTTACTAACCAGCCAGCGCCAACCATCCGCAGTACATACCTGATTGTTGCTCTCTTTGCTCGAGAAGCCCCCCACCACACCCAGTCGCCGGCGCATCTGTGCCCCTGCCGTCGACGTCACTTGAAACAGTCCATCGCGCATTGCACGACGCTGCTATGGCTGCGCTTGGCGACGACTTGCTGGGGACGGTCAACAAGTTGCAGGATCTCGTCTTCAATACCATTGGCAATGACTCGCTGGATCTCCCGCAAATTGTATGGCACTCGGCCGCCGGCTCCCGTGCCTTAGCTAATTCCGAGCGTTCTTTGCTGACCGTGTTTGCGCTTGCCAGGTCGTTGTTGGGTCTCAATCCGCGGGCAAGTCGTCGGTTCTCGAGAACATTGTCGGCCGAGATTTCCTCCCTCGTGGCAGCGGCATTGTCACTCGTAGGCCCCTCATCCTGCAGCTTATCAATGTCCCCAGCGATGACGCCGAAGATGAAGTCAACGTCGGCTACCGAAACCTTACTCAGGCCCCTCGGAACGAGTGGGCTGAGTTTCATCATATCCCCAACCGACGGTTCAACGATTTCGGCGACGTGAAGCGGGAGATTGAGAACGAGACGGCGAGAGTCGCAGGAACCAACAAGGGGATTAACCGTCAGCCCATCAACCTCAAAATCTTCTCCCCACACGTTCTGAACCTTACCCTGGTCGACTTGCCGGGTCTCACCAAGGTCAGCACCGTAACCCGTCGCTTGTTCTCTGGTAATCTCCTGGTCTGACAGCGTACTGCAGGTGCCCATTGGGGACCAGCCAACAGACATTGAAAAGCAAACACGGAACCTGATATCCGAGTACATCGCCAAACCAAACAGTATAATCCTGGCCGTATCGCCAGCGAATGTCGATATTGTGAACTCGGAAGCCCTGAAGCTCGCCCGGCACGTCGATCCGCTGGGGCGCAGGACGATTGGCGTGCTCACCAAAGTCGACCTGATGGACCACGGGACGAACGCGCTCGATATCTTATCCGGGCGCGTGTACCCTCTGAAACTGGGTTGGATCGGAGTGGTGAACAGGTCACAGCAAGATATCCAAGGAAACAAGCCCATGGAGGACGCCCTCAAGTCTGAGGCCGAGTTTTTCAAGCATCATCCGGCTTACAGGAACATTGCGACACGCTGCGGGACGCAGTTTCTGGCCAAGACGCTCAACACCACGCTGATGGCCCATATCCGGGACCGCCTCCCGGATATCAAGGCTCGGTTGAATACCCTCATGGGCCAGACCCAACAGGAACTCGCCAGCTATGGCGATATGCATTTCAGCGGCAAGGAGCATCGCGGATCGCTCATCCTACAGCTCATGACGCGCTTCGCCACGTCCTTCATCTCGTCGATTGACGGCACCTCGACCGAAATCTCGACAAAAGAACTCTGCGGCGGCGCACGCATTTACTACATCTTCAACTCGGTCTTTGGAAGCTCGCTGGAGTCGATTGACCCTACCTCGAACCTATCTGCCCTTGATATCCGAACCGCTATCCGCAACTCTACAGGCCCGCGGCCCAGTCTGTTTGTGCCCGAGATGGCTTTCGATCTGCTAGTAAAGCCCCAGATCAAACTTCTCGAGGTTCCAAGTCAACGATGCGTCGAGTTGGTGTACGAGGAACTGATCAAGATTTGCCATACCTGCGGCTCCACCGAGCTCTCGCGGTTTCCCAGGCTGCAAGCAAAGCTCATCGAGGTGGTCTCGGATCTCCTTCGAGAGCGTCTTGGCCCCGCATCGGCATACGTCGAGTCACTCATATCGATCCAGCGGGCCTACATAAATACGAACCACCCCAACTTCCTCGGTGCCGCTGCTGCCATGAGCCATGTCGTTTCCAACAAGCAGGAGCGGGAAAGGAAGCGTCTGATTCAGGAGGAGCGGGAGCGGCGAGAGCGGAGGCGGATGAAAGAGCTCGGCGTCAACGGCACAGACACTCCAGCCGATGAAGACGAGGACGTTGCCGCCGCCGACAAGACAGACACGATTGCTGTGCGGAAAGCCCCTGGGAAAGGTGCGCGCAGTCTCTCGCCGGCCGTGCGTGACACAGCTTCTGGGGGCATTGCTGCCGCGCTCAATGGCCCTAGGTCCTCGTCTCCCTCCCAATTTAACGGGCAATCTTTGGGCCACGCCAAGGATTCGTTCCTGAACTACTTCTTCGGCAAAGACGGTGCCATCGTGCCGGGGGGTCCACTTCCGAACGCAAACATCGGTCGCCACGTGAGCCAGTCGGTAGAGCCGACTTTCAGCCAGAGCATCAGGCGGCCGGAGGAGAAGCCATTGCGGTCGCCGATGCTGCCTATCCGGGCTGATGATAGCCTGGATTTCACTTCCAAGGGAAGCGACTCATTGGTAAGTTAATGTTACACAGTGCTGCTGCTAACTTGAATTTTGAATCTGGGACTGACAGCCCTGCCCCATAGGAGCCTGCCATGACTGACCGCGAAGCTATGGAGACGGAGCTGATCCGGGCCTTGATCAGTTCCTACTTCAACATCGTCCGGGAGAGCATCGCGGACCAAGTGCCTAAGGCTATCATGCATTTGCTGGTCAACCACTGCAAGGATGTGGTCCAGAACCGGCTCGTCAGCGAGCTGTACAAGGAATCTCTCTTCGAGGAGCTCCTTTACGAGGATGATGCGGTCAAGAAGGAGCGCGAAAAGTGCGAGAAGCTGCTCCTGACGTACCGCGAGGCGGCCAAGATCATTGGCGAAGTTGTATAAGCGGAGATGGTTGTTTGCAAACTCGGAGCGGTGCACTGGCCTTATTTCTCTTTTGAAGCTGATGTCCTGTAAATGTAACTCGCTTTTGAAGATGAGCGGAGATAGGCGGAACGGTTTGCTGGCGGTGTCTGGGTGGCCGGATTCCAGTGTATTACGATCAGACGGCAGACGACTCGTGGGGTCGTGGGAGCCAACCTTGTATAACATCATGAAAGCATCATTACTGAGCCAGTGCCTTATAATAAGATGGAATTTGTATGGCTCCCGCATTGGGAAGGAATCATGAACACGCCGTGCCAAGCTTCCCTTACCTAATCTGTCCAGGCGGAGACTCCACCAGCTGAAATAACTTGGGACATCTGTATCGACTCCAACTGCATTCCTTCAACGCTTTCCATCGCCCCTCGCCATCAGCTGCACGCAATCACGCGGTGCGTGGCTGTATCATATTCCTCAGCTTGCTTTGGCGAATTGCAGAGCTTCATCTAGCCTGGATAATCATCAAGCGCTTGGTCGAGCCACACTCTCCACTCATCAAGATGCTACATCGCCGACAGCACAAAGCAAGCTGATCAACCCTCCTTTCGCAGTCTCGGGCTCTGGGCCTAAACAGCCATCAGACTCTTGTTGCGCTCCTATACTCTCTCAATGTATGGGGTTCAGGATAGGAGGCCTCTTGACGGACAACGCCCGCATACTAAGCCGTTGTTACCACACAGTTTCCTCTCTCTTGACAAGTGTTATTTACTCCGCCTCGTTGTTCTGTGCAGACCAGCCACTGCCTTTCCAGTAGGCTGATGCAGCATCTTTCTTACTTCTCCTCTCCTGTTTTCCCATTCAGGCGCCGTTAGCAGGTGCGTCTCTTTGCGATGGCCTCTGGTGCCAGTCTGGGCGGCACCGAGGATGGAGAGGCAGAGGCACAGGCTGCCGTGCTCAGGGGAAGTCATGCATCCAAGACGGAGCAAGGCCTCGGCAGCAGTCTGGCAGCGTCACAGGTCGCAGTCGGCAACCGGACCACCACAAATGACGCACATGTCGATGGCTTTGCAGCAGCGAATGAAGCGATCGCTCCGGGAAGGAGGAAGCGCAAGTCGCCTGATGGTAGCGCAGAACATGACGAGTCTGGGGTCGCGGGTTCTCAGCCAGTTCGCGGTCTCAAGAAGATCAGGCTGGCCGAGGCACACGCACAACCAGGCGCTCAGTCAACGTCAACGTTGGGCAGTTCCCTGAGCCTAGACAAGTCTCTCTTGCCTCGGGAAATATGGCACCATATCTTCACCTTCTGTCCGCCCAAGTCGTTGGGCAATTTGTTGATTGTCAACAGGTTGTTCAACCTCTACCTTGACCCTGCTTCCCCGTTTCGCGGAGGCGATGCTCCTTCTGGCACTCCCACTCCCGGCGCCGTCGTGCCCATGGCACCCAACGCCATCTGGCAAGTCTCGCGGCGGCTCTTTTGGCCACAAATGCCTGCCCCTCTCCGATCAAAAACCGAGCTTGAGATGTGGCAATTGGCATGCTCTCCCCGGTGCAAGGAATGTGGCAGACGCCATACACGGAGCTGGGCTTCGTCTTTTGACCCCCATCATCCCGGTCCAGGAACTGAGGGCGTGAGAGTCATTTGGGCTTTTGGCCATCGGTTGTGCGCTGCTTGCCTTCTCAAGACATCTGACAAGGTACGTATACCGCCCTAGCGATGGCATGGGGGATAGCGACGAGGCCGACTAACCCCTCGGTAGGAGCTCGATGTACAAATCTCGCCATCTATACCCTCTGCCATCATACCGGCGCTCCCGTTCGTCTTCGTCACATCAGATCGCCATGTTTTCTCGGCTACCGCGCTCGAGCACGGTCAGCTGCGGCCGGACGTACAGGTAACCAAGCTATTTTCAAAGACAGATGTGGAAGCCCTGCAGGAGGAGTTTACCCAGGTCAGGGACATGGGCCAAGGGACGGTGGGCGAGTGGCTCAAGGGCCTCCCCGGTCGAGGCAGCGGCCTGCTCCATGAAGCTTCGAAGTGGGAAAAGTGGGAGTCATCTGGCGGTGTTGTGAGAATGCGCTCACTGCTATATCCGGGTTATGAGAGAAATGTCTCAGTTTCTCTGCCTCGAAAACCATCAACAAATCCCTCTACCACCCCGTTTCCCGCCCAAGGGCGTCATGAGCGGACTGCAGAGGAGGCTGCGGAGCTAAAGGCGGCTAGAAAGGCCGAGATTGAGCGGCGCGCTCTGCTGCTGGAACCCCCACTGACGCCCGAGGTCCTCATCCTCCTTCCTGCCTTTCAAGCCGCTACTCAGATCGGCGCCCGACTGGATGATGACGCATGGGAGCGTCTCAAGCCGCGGTTATTGGCGCAGCGAGCCGAAGCAGAGAAGGTTCCGCAGAGTGAACGCGATGTCAAGTCCAGCGTCAAACCGGAACTCAGAAACCAACAGCAACTGAAGACAACTCTGACTGTCGAGAAGGAGGCCCGTGGCCGTCTCGACAAGGATTGGGAGGAGGTACAAGCTCCCCTTCGCGCCAAAATTGCTGGCTATGCAGATGAAGTTGTCAGAGATGGTTGGGAAAAAGGCAAGAAGGTCACGATAGAGAACTGCTCACGCTTCGCAGTGGACTCGCTCCTCTATGTCCGAGAGCGGTTTTATGCCGAAGTCGCGAAGGATGCCGCTGCTGCAAGGGTGGCCCGCAAGGCTGTTCCGATCGACCCCCCTGAAGGGCCCTACACTCAAAAGCTAACCCTGGAGAACATGAAGTGGATCTTTGACACCAAAATCAAGCCTCACACTGAGCCTCTACGGAAGGAACTCTTCTACTGCAGCGGTTGCGAGGGGAACTTCAAGCCATTTGGCTTCGAGGGCGTCATCCAGCATTATGCGGCAAAGCACACAAGTGCTTTCAGCCTCGGGAGCATTGTCGTACATTGGAGGGCTGAATGGCCAGAGCAACCGCCCTTCAGCGCAACAGCCCGACCTGCAAAGGCCCCCTTTAACCCGCACGCGCCGAGCGGGTTCCACGCCAACGGAGGTGCGCCTCTGGCTTCCAACTGCAGCTATCCACCTCCTGCGGGACCAGTGCCCCCGCCGCTGCCGCCCACTTATCCGCCGCCCATGGGATCCGGGTACACTCCATTAACGTACAGTGACCACTACCAGCAGCCGCTGCCGCTGCCATTGCTGCATCCTTACCAACCGCAACTCGGAGCTCTCCCGTTCGCACCGCAGACCGTTTATGAGCACCGGCCTTCCTACGCCACTCCGCCCGCCCCCTTTCCCGCTTACCGACCTCCAACAATGGCGTATCCTGCCCCGGCCGCAGACGTAGCGCCAACTTTTGTGCCTCCTCCAGGCGTTCGTAACGATTATCCGCATGGGCCGTATCCTGCGAACAATGCCGGGGTCCCCTTTGGCCCATCCCAGCCTCCGACCTATCCGGATCTCTATCGAACCAAGGTCGAGGATATTGCCCGCAATTCACGCGAGATCTGGCGGGTGTTGGGCGACATACGGGACCTTCCCGGATGCGTCAGGGTCTTCACGACGATTCATCACATGGTGAAGAGATTTAGGTCTAGATTCTACGAAACGCCGCCACTATCCATGTTCATCGACGGCTTATCTAACAATAAGGAAATGCGTCCCGTCCGGAACGTCAACGGGCTGGTTTGCAAGGCCTGCCGCCTGGGCCTCGGGAACGCGGCGTCCGTGGAGCAGGGTAGGAAGGACTTCTCACTACCACAGCTGGCAACCCACTTCCAGTCCAAGCACATCGAACGAATGCAGAGGACGCAACCGGCGCAGACGTCCCTAGACTGGGTAGTTGATATGGTTCTGGTGCCCGATCTTGTACTTCTTCCAAGTCTCGCTTCGTCGGCCAATGAGCTCCAGAAAGCCCTGCTGTTGGCCGCTTTCCCAGCTGCATTTACGGCGCCTCCCACTGAGCAACCCTACACAATTCACCGAGTGCATCAATATGAACAAGGCCCGGCCGAAAGGATTTATCACAAGGCAGCGAATGCTCGGGAAGGACCTCAGACGAGCGTTTGTCACGCTGGCCACTCGGGACCCTCAGAGTTCGGCTTTCGCACCGACTCCCGTGCTGCGAGTCAATCACCTCAGAGCGCAACGCCGGGACTGCCTTCAGAAAACGACCGTCAAGCGCATAGTGATAAAGTCAGGCACTCGCCTCAAAGTGCTCAACCGCACCGCATGCAAAATGGCTTCCATGGCAAGAACGAGGCTGGTAGAAATAGAGGTGGCAAACCGCAGGGCGCGGAGGGTACGACCAGGTCCGGAAAGCAGTTCAAGGCGGACGATGGGAGGAAGCCCGAAGAGACGAGCGGTAGCGCTATGCTTGCTCCAAGTCAGCCACGCACTCCATCCATGCGCCCGTCACTTACCAGACCAGAGCGGCACGAGACAGCAGTCGTCACGCAGGGCCGAGCATCCGAACTTCCCAGCATTCAGGTGCCGCACCAAATCGGGAAGGACTCGATGGCCCCATTCGCCAATGGTGGACAAGAGCCTAACATTATGGCAGCGTTGGAGTCCTACCCCGACCAGAGGCATTTTCCCGACTCAGGGGACCAGCAAAGTGCGCAAGATGCGGCAGCACACACCGTCACACGCGATTCTACGGTATTCGGGTCCGGTTCCCACACATACAGTCGGCCTGGCGACAGAGAGGGTCGAGCGTGGTCTCCTCCTATTCCGGCAAGCAGAGGCAGGAGGAGCCCAGGGGAGCGGCATGTCGAGCCCGTGTATCATTCTAGGCCAGAGGTAGTCGCGAGGCGTGAGGATATGGATTGGCCCCAATGGGCGCATGCTGGCTTCATCGATCCATTATCGCAACGTGAGGAGGATGAGCGTTTCGGCCGAGGGTGGCCCGGGGACCGAGGCCACCGCAGCACAGTACCACCGCCGCGGGAAGCAACGGACCGGAGATACTACCACGGCGACGACATGTGGATGCCACAGCCGCGGCAGGCGCCCGTCGAGGCATACGAGATAGTGCATGTCATTGATGAAAGCGGGGAGTATTACATCCGCCGGCCGGTGCGGCGGCATGAGCCGGATCCGGCACGGTATAGATATGAGGATCGCAGGATACGACATGATGCAGGTCCGAATTCTTCTGCTCTTGACTCGGTGTATGCCCCTGTCTCCCGGTCGGGTCTGAATCACGATGGGTTCCGAGACGGCGTGGGGCAAGACGGTTGGCCGGCTGGCCGACGGGCTAATCCGGCCTACTATGAAGAGTATGACCCCCGCTTTCCGGCCGCTTGAAAGGGTCTTGTCTCGACGGTACGATGGAACTATCTGATGGTTTGTGCGTGGCTGGGCGGAGGGATACGTCGGATGGGGACGCTTGAGAGTTGTTTGTATCTATATTTACCTGTACCGAAATGTATAGCAAACGAACTGGGTCAGTCGGGTCGTTGCGTCTAATGTTAGGCCTGGACTGGAAGAATAATTCATGTACCAGGTCTTATTCAAGGAATGGCTCAGCAAGGCTTGACATGTTTCATTTCCATCTTGAGGCGTAACATCAACATCCGCGGTGGCTTGCGGCTCTCGCATGAGGCAGTCTTGGCTCTGGGTGCAGCGCCACTCCCGCTGATCCCCGAAGCTTGGCGGACGAACGACGCCAGCCTTGGTTGCTTACTGTGATACGAAGTGGTCCAGCAACCACGCACAACAAGGGGAAATTCTCACTGCGTGGCAAGTGGTCTTCTGGTCGGCTCGGTCGGCCGTGACTCGTGAGCGCGGGCCTCTCATATGGGTGCGACGATCCGTTCGATCTTGGATTCCCACTAACTTCCGCCGCAGAATGCCCCCGGTGGGCCGCTGTTTCGGCCTGCTAAGTGGCCGGCGCAGAAAGACTTCCCCAGCCAGCCAGCGTCTGATGTTTCAGGCAACACAAAACGGCTGCAGTGGGGCCATGAACTTGGACTCTTCACGGGTACCATGTGAAAAGCTTGTTTGTTGACCAATCCGCGCCTTGGCATCGCCTTGCTTCAACACTGGTCGAGTTGGTTTGGACGTCGTGAGAGACTGGACTGGATGGAGCCACTGTGTCTTGTTCAGGGGATCGATCCTTGGGAGCCGATTTGCCGTTGCTCGTGGAGTATATATCATATCACACAGCTACATCTTCACATCTTCAAAGTGTTGCTTGTTCTAGGAGCTTCTTCAGTCCATCACACACTCTCTTGTTTGTGGTTTTGCTTGTAATCGGACCGTTTCTCTGGTTGATCCAGCCTTTTCACACCGGCGCTTCCAAGCACCTTCACAGATACACATTTAATATTGCACTGCCAAGTTGACCCTGGCCATCCTTCCGTTCCTTTCTCATACCCTCTTCCCCAAAACAACGCACCATGCGTGTCCGACACTTCTCGGCTATCCTCTTCAGCGGCCTCACCAGCACCTCCCCTCTGGCATGCCGGCAAGCCGCTACGAATACATCAGCAGCTCCCAGTGCCGGCGCAACCCCCGGAACCAGCTCCGGCTCCGGCGGCGTCGACATGGCCGCCGCCATCCTGGCCATCATGCCATCGTCCAGCTCGTGCTCGGGCGCCCAGTTCCCCGACGAGTGCCGGGCCGCCCAACAAGCGGCGCCCTTCATCACCAAGGCCTGCGCCGACCTGAGCCCCGGCGAGTGTGCCGCCACCGTCGCCCTCATGGGCCTCGAGAGCGTCGAGATGAAGGCCAAGCACAACATCAGCCCCGGCCGACCCGGCCAGGGCACCGCCAATATGATGATGCCCAATGTATGGCGCCCCTTTGAACCAACTCTTCCACTCGCTGCCTTGTGTGTGGCTAGGTTAGCAGATGGCTGATTTGTCGACTCCTTAGTTCGTTTCACAGTACGCCACATCCCTGTTTGGCGCCGATAAGGTCGCCGGCAAGTCGCCCGCCGAGGTCCTCTCCATGGTCACGCCCGACGAACACAACTTTGGCTCGGCCGCTTGGTTCCTGGCGACGAAGTGCACCGCCGACGTGCGGGCGTCGCTCAAGACGGGCACCGATGCCGGCTGGGCGGCGTATAATAAGGACTGCATTGGTGTGAACGGATCTCTTCCGGAACGGATGGCCTACTGGACCAGGGCCAAGGCGGCGTTCAACCTCTAGATGACTCTAAGGGAGTGAAGCAGGTCTGGTTTTGTTGCTGTAACGTCACACAGATTATACCATAGACAGGCGTATACGATGAACAAGATACCCGTTCCCGCTATATGTCTGCCACGCAAATTGCCCACCGTGTTAGAGACCTCAAAGGCAAGCGTCAACGACATCCCTTCCTGACATTGTAAACGGGCAGTATGCGAGAATTCTTCAGCTAGAGACTTCCTGCACCTTGCTAGTGATGTCAGCCCAGGTACCTAGGTATGTCTGATGGGAAGGAATGTCGGAGCTTACCGTTCAATAACGGAAGACACGAGACCCTATAAGCCACCCCTCCCCCCTTCCTCTCTCCAGGTTCCATACCCCTCCTTTTTTTCGTTCCTCGCCCGTTCAGGCTCCTCCAAACAACCTTAGAAGTTCCTGCTTCGTGAAATCTGGAGCTGATGCCGGCGATTCTCTGGATACCGTCTGGCCTCTGAAGCCAAAAGTCTCCGCAGCAATTCTTGGCCCAAACAACCGGCCGGCGGAGGCCATTGCGGAGTGTGATTGATGGCTGCTGATGGGGCATCGATGGGACTCATAGAGGCCTCCCCGCATCCGTCCCGCGAGACAATCCTGCATCTTCATGGGGGCGACTCAGCACAGTCAGCGGGAAACAGAAAAGCGCTGATATGCCAACGAGATGATACAGTCCCTTGATAGGAATCCGCCGCGAGAGGAGGGGTATTAAGCATATCGACATACACAGATGAATCTAGAAGGAGAAAGACTGACGCCGGGACACTCGAGGAAATACGCTTTTCCGAAACTGCCCTTCTTCACCCAGGCCAGGCGTCTAATAGCAACGCCTCCTTGACCTCAGCCTGCTCCATTCAAGTCCAAGCCATAAGGAAACAAACCAGCACCTCCCGGCAATGGTTGCTGTTGCTGTTCTGGATTGCCGGAAAAGAACTGCAAAGACTCGCCGCCAAAGTTTGCAGTTTGTGTGTAACTGTCAAACGAGTCCTGAGCACAGCGTCAGTTGGAGTGGCGGGATGAGGGATGAGGGTTGAGGACGTCCTTACCCAGTCGAAATTGCTCATAAAATCCATGTTACCACTCGGCATGGTGTCAAACATGGCCAACGGCGACTGGCCGCCCTCAAAGCCTAGCATCGCGTTGGAGAATTCCGGTGCGGCCAGATTTCCCATACCGCTACTTGTGCCCGGCCCCAGGCTTGGGCTCAAGCCTGCATTGGCCGAGTCCAAACCCAGGTTGAACGCCGCGTACGGCGCGTCCACCGAGGCGGATCCCCCGCCCAAGGGAGCGGTCGACACCGGCCCCCCGGAAAGCATGCCTCGTGTCCCGGCTGCCGAGTGTTTCGACTGCAACTCGCTAGACCTTCCGGCCCCAGTCGGCTCCGTGGCCAGTGGCCTTTCGACCGGACTGGTGGGTCCATCAGCACCTCCGAAGCTCTTGATTTTGGCTAGCATGATCTCGATAGTATTGGCGGCCTTGACGGCTTCGATGGAGGTGTCGGCCAAGCCCTTCCAGATTTCCGTCGTCATCTCGAGGCTATTGATCATCTCCTGGCGCTGGGCTCGGGACCAGAAGTACAGGCTCTGCGCGTCTTGGTGCGCTGCCGACCTCTGGCTCACGTTGTCGAAATGCAGGTCCAGCGCGATGAGCATGGCAGGAAGAACGAAGTCCTTGGTCGCAATCGATGTGAAGAACCACTTGACCGAATGTAGGCGCCCCTCAGGCTGCGTCTCCCGATGCAGCCTCGTCAGGTGCCGCAACGCCTCCAAAGACGCCTCGATGGCGGTGCGCCGCGAGTGAGCGTATCTGGGGTTGTGCCTCGCTCGCGGGATGTATTTCCTATGAAGCAAGCACATGATTTTGAGGTAGAGAACATCCATGTGGACGCGCGCCATAACAACGTTCAACGGGTCCGATGAGCCCTCGATGCGCTGCATCCTCAGGTGGAGAGGCAGCTCAGCCCTGAGGTCGCGCAATTTGGCATCGAGTCGAAGGATCTCGTCATAATGCACCTGGTTCTTTATCCGGCCTGTCGCTTGCAGGATGGTGCCGAGGTGCGTGGAAAACTTGACCTTCGCATTCATGTAGCTGACGGGCGTCGGCTCGGTGCTGGGTCTCGAGGGCGGCAGCACTTTCGTGTCTGGCCCGAATTCCTCGTCGTAGAGGTTGTGGGGCAACTCTGTGTCATAGTCGTTCTCTGATATCATGCCGGGCAGTGATAATTGATGTGAGAGGAAGACGTCGAGCATCCGAAGGAGAGCCCAGTTCCTACGTCTCATCTCCTGTAATCCAGATCAGAATGAGAGTGAAAGCCATCATACAGCCAGTGATAACGGCAGGGGAAAAGGAGAAAATTGAGCTTAACGTACCGCCTCAAATGGTGTCAGTTCGGGAAACGACTTGCCATCGCGATGGTAACCCATCCGAAGCGCGATTCTCACGACTATGGATCCCAGGAGCCACAGACCCACATCGCTATCCCAGCGAGACGAATACTCGCAGAAGCAGTACATCAGCAGGGCCTCAAGAGTATGCTGTGACGGTCGCGTGTAGTCGCCGGCGATTAAGCACTGCACTGTCCTCAACCGGTACTCGTTCGCCAGGTCAAGCACGCGGCCTTTCCATTCGGGCGGCTCATCTCCGACCTTGTGGTAGCTGAGCATAGCCATGCACAGGATCGAATATAACAAGGCCAGCCACATGATGGGAGTCTTGGGCGGGTCTTGCCAGTGGTCTCGAAGCTGCTGATAGAATGTCGGCTGGTGAACAATGCTGCAGGCGCTTTCCATGTTGGCGAAGAACCTTGCGCACAGAGCCAAGACGGTCGACTTGGGCGGCAGCTCTGCTCTGAGTTCGACCTCGGTGGCAGGAGTGGCGCCCATCAGCAAGGTTGGCGGTTGTTTGGCATTTGGGGGTTTGGTCTGTTTGATTCTCTCGTAGCTCTTCTCCAGGTCCTTTTTATGGTTCGCAAAGTAGTTCCTGACCTCTGCGATATCGAGGAGGATGGTGTGCCAATGCTCCTCCCCAAGATAGATGTGCTTTGAGCGCACGACATCCATCTTCAAGACCCCAAGGGACTTGGCGAGACCTTCGTCAATATCACTCTCGTCGTCATCCTGCATTGCGCCGTCATCGTGCCCCTCGAGTTTGAGCGGCAAGGAGCCGCTGTCTGCGGCAGACGGCGATGCGTTGGAAGCAGCGCCGCCAGAGGATATTGAGGAGGAGCCGCGTAGCGAGGGGACGTCAACGTTGGCTCCCCCATGCATCAAGGACAAGACTAGGCCCTCGAGCCTGTCGATGCGGTTTTGCATGTCATCCGGAGTGGGCTCCCCTTGACTTTGGTTCTTCCTGCGGGACACTGGAGTGGCGTACGAGCAGGAGAGTGTGTCTGCGCCCTCACGCTTGACACAGTTGGTGCATGGGTGAGACCTGTCGCACTTCCTAAACCTTCGTGTCAGTAGATGGCGACATGGGGACAGGTGGTAGGTGGGACTCCGTGGCGGCGGCTTACAGTCTGGGCGAGACCATTAGCTGAACTGTACGGCAACAAGCGAACGCGGAAACATGCATGGAGGTAGCTCACTTTCTCGTCCGGCAGGGGTAGCAACTGAGAGGCACCCTGTTTCTCTTGCGGACAACGCGATATTGAGGTTCTGGCGACCGGCCAGTCGACGACGTCGTCGTCGATGGCGGTGTCGGCGTCATTTTGGGCAGCGGCGGGCGGGGGGACGGACCGAGCGGTCAGATCACACTGCAAAACCGGGAATCACCTCAAGGCCGCAGCAATGGTTACTCTCCAAGCAGTCGTGAAGTCTGTTGCCTCCCGCGATGACCAGAGCCTGTCCGAAAGCGAGCTCGAGAACACTGGGGAAGAACTGAGGCAGTGCGCAGTGATCCCCTGGTGGAAAAACCGGGAAACGTCCGCAGTTCCTTCAAAACCAAGAATCCTGTCAGCCCCTCGTAGGACTTGCGCACCAGAATATTCGGTCTTGTCGCGGCGCACTCTGAGTCACTGGTAGCGACACTGCCGAAAGAAAATTGATCGTCTGGCCTACAACTCGGCCTTGTCAGGGTCGTTGAGGACGTGAGAAGCAGGCACGAGCAATCAAGTCGCTGGAGTCGTCGGTTGCGGCTTCGGTTTACTATCGCGCAGGCACATGCGGAGAGTCAGAAGTCGATAGAATGGCAATATTAAAGCTAGCCGCGATGAAATACGTGCGATTAGATAAAGACAGATGACAGTGAGATGAGGTGCGATTAGATAAAGACAGATGACAGTGAGATGAGGATGATGTTAGCAGTGGAAGCCTGCCGTCGCGATGGTGCGGGATGGGAGTCGAAAGTCAGTGGGGCATCTTGAGGTGGGGGCCGGTTGGCTGCAAACGGCCAAACGTTCCGTTTTGTTCACAATAAAGGGCCATATGGGCTAGATCCCAATGAAATCTACCCATACCATGCAGCTGAATCCTCCATCAGGCCTGGACTGGAGTCGCTGGACGTTGATCATCCTGCGCTCAGCAAGTCGAATTCTCTCGGCAAAGGAGCTCTGGTTTGCCCAACACCACCAGCCCTGTGAACAAGCCCGGGAGATCAAACCTGCCTCCTACGACGTCAATAGCCGGGCAGACTTCGAATCCGAATGCCTCAAGGTAATTTGCGTGAGCCTGGAACTGGACCATCACGTCAAAGAACTGTCTGGTCGAACTGTGCCGTACCAGATAATAGAAAGCCGAGATAAGATCAATACCTTCCCCGGAATGCCTGGTAGCAACTGCTGTCAACTCACCAACAGAATCACTATAACACCAAGACTGCTGACGCGTTCAAAGGAACCCGGCGGCAACGAAAGCACCGATCAATTCAGACGTTCATGTCCTCGGTTACTCCGTACTCAGTACTGTCACTCCCACCAACCACAGCGAACCAATGCTGAATGGACAGGGGCTTATTAAGCGCTAACTCCGACGCAAATATGAGTCATACGGTGAACCTCACCCAGCATTGCTGCAAACTGCCGAAGGTGACCATCGACTGCGCTGTTACGCATACGCTAGCACACCGCTTATGAAAAGGTCCCTGTTGCTCCATACAACGGCCCGACTGGGCGATCGTTTAACTTTCGCAGAACGGCGTCGTAGAGAATGTCTCGATGTTCTTTGCGCGAGAACATCGATAAGTCCGCGTGGCGATCGATCACTGATCGCTCTCCAAGACATCCTGTTGGCATTGCCGGTCAGGCGCAAGTGACCGGTGTGCTTCATGATGCCCCTGCCGAGACGTCCCCGTTCGCCTTCACACTATACGGCTTCAGGAAGTCGGCGTTGTTCTCCAGCTCCTCCTTGACCTGTCCCACCGTCAGCATCCATACGCACAATGCTTCGCCAGGAAGAGATGGGGGCAAAACGCACAATGTCGAGGCCTCCAACCAGCTCACCATCAACCCAGAGCTGGGGGAACGTCGGCCAATCGGCAAACTCCTTCAGCCCCTGCCGCACCTCATCGTCTGCCAAAATATTGAAGAAGCCGTACTTGACAGCATTGTCGCGCAGAATCCCCACCATCTGTCGCGAGAAACCGCACTTTGGCTCGCTGGGTGTGCCTTTCATGAACAGCATAACAGGCGCGGCTTTGACCAGGTCGCCGAGGCGTCTGAAAAGCTCCTGCTTCTTCTTCTCCGGGTCTTCTTCGGTCGTGACTTCGCCCTCACTGTTGCCGCCCGCCCCCGCTCCGAGCCCATTCGCCGAAGTTGTCGTCGCTGCGCCAGCCTTGCTCGCATGGCGCTCGATGGCGTCCCGCACCTTGACCGCGCTGCTCCCGCTGACTGTCTCCAATACCTGTCCGTTCCGAATGAGGACGAGAAATGGCACGGCGGTCACGTTGTAGGCCTCGCTGATGTCGGACAGATCTTCGGCATTGATCTTGACCCACGATGTCGACGGCGGCTCGGTCACGGGGTATTCGGAAGCCAGCGTCGAGAGCACGATCGCCATTTGGGCGCATGGCGCCGCCCATGGCGCATGGAAAGAGACGATCAGAAGCGTGGATGGCAGCAGCGACGAGACGTGCTGCTCCCAGTCCTCCACGCTGGTGATTTCCTTGATGCTAGACATGGCGAGAACTTGAACCGGAGATCGAGTCGACGGGGCCGTCAGCCAGAAAGATGGGTCGTACTTGGAGAGTGTGGTTCGTGTCTTGAAGCGACTGAAACCACGAGTATTAGCAGTCGGTTGTGCGAACTATGGTAAGATGGGCTTGTTGACTTGTGACTGGGCGCTTCTGATAATTCTGGTCAGTGTTGGCCACCCGTTTGCTGACTTGCCCCGCCATCAAAGCCTGGTCAGCCGATTACGGATAAACCCCGCTGCTGCAAGTTGTACGCCCCCATTGGTCGCGAGCCGTTGCGTCATTTCCACGGCTTCATCCGCCTTCCTCGCGGTTCCCTACTGTGAAGCGTTGTTACGGAAGTCAGAGCGTCACATGTACTGTATAGTATCGAACATCTTGAAGCTACCGGCGATGGAAACTACCAGGGACGCAGGTTGGCATATCCCCACAAAAGTCGACAACATGACGGGTAAGCAAATGCTACGTCAACTATGTGTCTGTTCATATAAATACTATATCCGTGTTGCAGCTGCGCCATTCTTCGAACCCCTTCAACGACGTGTGGTCTCATGGAGGACCGGGGTTTAACCGGCCAATTGCGCTGTGGGGGTATGCCGGACCATGGCCTTGCTCCCAGCCACTCGCCTTTGCTCACTCATCATATCCGCCGTTATTTCCTTGTGGGAGACCTGATTTGTGGTCTTGTACGTACATAGTAACTTTCATGGTCAAAAACCAGCGGCCACGCCCGGATCTGGGCCCAAGACAAATTCTTGGCCTTCTTGGCATCCGACGTCGTCCGCATCCATCACCGTCTCGGCCCTCCACCATCGATTTAGCTTTTTCATTATTCGCCTGTCTTGAAAGCTCTTGGCAATGTCGGCTCAGGAATATTATCAGCAAGGCCCGCCGCAAGGCTACAGCAATCCAGGGCCCTACCCTCAGCATCCTCAGCAGGTAAGGAAGCCGCCTTCTTTGCTGGTTACGCGCCTGCTGACGGGAAGCTCCCTTCTCTTAGGCGTACGCTGGCCCGGCGCCGCAGCAGGGCTACTATCCGCCCCAAGGCCAAATGCAGTATCAGCAGCAGCCGCCGCCTCAGAAGCAGAGCGGCGGCGGTGATGGGTGTCTCAAAGGCTGTTTGGCGGCGCTGTGCTGTTGCTTTGTCTGTGAGGAGGGCTGCGAGTGCTGCGCGGAATGCTGCGAATGTTGCATGGACTGCTAGACACACTCAAGATTTCATTGCTCTTATGTACGGAATCTCTGTCCCTTCCTCCAGCAATATCTTCCTTACTTTGAGGCTGGGTTGTGAGTTGGATGTATTGCACTCCGTACATGTACGTATCTGGGATATTCCAAGCGACCACCCGGGAAGGTAAACGTGCAATAGCGAGGTGATTGGAGATACCAGTCGTTGAAAATGTGCTGACACCTGCAGATGAGAGAAGTGAATCCTACACAGTAGAACGGGAGGAGTTCTTCAATGTGGGCCACCTGTAACTTACCTGAAGTAATCCGTACTTACGACTGACTGCGGGGTACCGCCAAGACTTTTGTTTGGGAGCTCCTCCTGCACAGCCTCTCGACGTCTGCAAGCGCTGAAAGCTCTCCTCATCCCACCTTCTCCATGAGCCGAAGAGGAGAGCCGCGCCAAAAGTGCTACCTCCTGTCCACGATTCTCGCTTCTGACTTCTGGACCCTCTGTTCCGATACCTAGCGGGAAGCGACCGACTCGGGTCCCACGAAACAATGGCGTCGCTCAATCTCTCGACACACGGCCCCTCGATCAGGAGCAGCTACCAAGGCGTCATCAACGGCCCTGCCGCCTCGTCGACCTCGCCAACCACCGCGCGATGGGCTCTCTTTACCGTGCAGGCGCCGCTGCTGAACGCTTTCCAGAATACCGGCGCAAAGGAGAGCATCTTGAAGGTCGAGAGCACTGGTGGTAAGTGCAAAAGAGCATAGCCCCGCTTTCTCTTTGGGACACTCGCATGCGCCCAGCGTATGGTCGCACATCGTCCAGACTAACTCCCCAATTCTTTGCGCAGACGGCGAACTTGCCGATCTTGTCGAAGAGTTCAACGAAGGCCGCATTCAGTTCGCCTTCGTCAGAGTCAAGGACCCAAATACCGGCCTTCCCAAGAATGTCTTGATTGCTTGGTGCGGCGGAGGCGTCCCCGAGCGCACCAAGGGCTATTTCACGAGCCATGTCGCCGCCGTTTCCAAGGTTCTTCACGGTTACCACGTTCAGATCACAGCGCGCTCTGAAGCCGACCTCGTTCCCGAAGATATCATGCAGAAGGTGGCCGACGCATCGGGCGCCAAGTATTCGGCCGGGACATCTACCCCGTCCCCTGCAGTCGCGCCCCCGCCAATTGCAAAGAAGCCTGTTTTTACCCCCACGACGTCCGGTTCCGGGTCTTCCTTCAACCCGCTCGTTGCTTCGCGCACACAAAGGCGGGCTGATGCCGACGACGGCGGCTGGGGCGCCGACGCACCCCCGGTCACACGCACCGAGCTTCAGAAGGTCGAGTCCGCTTACAAGCCGACCAAGGTGGACATTGCGAGCCTGCGAAAGAACAAGGACGAATCCCGGTCAAGCGCGCCCTCAGGGCAAGACGAGCGGCCCAGTGATGTAGTCAAGGGCGGCTATCAGCCGGTCGGGCGAGTCGACATCGCTGCGCTCAGGGCGCAGGCGAAGGAACAGGATGAGCGTCCCACCGCGGTAAAGGGCGCCTATGAACCCGTCGGCAAGGTTGACATAGCTGCCATCCGGGCAAGGGCACAGCCTCGGCCAGCCGAGCCGGCGGAGGAGTCAGCGCCGCGAGAGAGCTTTGTAGAACGCAGCGCTGCCTTTACGCCATCGGAGCGGCTTACCGAGCTGCCAAAGCCCAAAGTTGCCAAAAAGTTTGGCGCCACGCCTTTCGCGGGCACCAAAGCTCCAACTCCTGTCGGCCTGGGTTTCGGTGCTCTGTCAGCTCCGGCGCCGCCGCCTGTTGGCGCTGCCAGCCGGACGTTTGCTGATCAGGGCGGCAAGACCCCGGCCCAGCTCTGGGCTGAGAAAAAAGCGAAGCAAGCCGGCGCAACCCCGAGTGCTGCGTCCCCGGCAGCCACGTTGCCGATCACGGCCCAGAAGAGCGGCAGCGAGTGGAAGAGCGGCTATTCCGGCAAATCTTGGGCAACGGCACCGACCCCCGTTTTTGGCCGCGGCGGCGTAGAGAAACAGAAGACGGGAGGGACCGAGCAGTCGGAGCCGGAGGCGCAGCAACCTGCCGTCACAGGTGGAAGTGTCTCGGCACTGCTCGACAAATTCAAGGGCGCGGCGCCTATGGGCACCGCAATTCGGTCCACCGCAGGCGAGGTTGACCAGAGGGAAGAGGAACCAGCCGCGCCGCCGCCGCCGCAGATGGACAGCCGTCCTGCCGGTGGCTTTGCTCTCCCTGGTCTGCCGTCTCGGCCTGCTGCTGCGAACCAGGAGGAGGAAGACGAATCCGAGGTTCCGCCGTCCATCCCGTCCCGCAACTATGAGGAACGCGAGCCATCGCCTGTTCGGGTCGCGATGCCGGTCCCTCGTAGCGCTGCCACTGAAATCGAACCGGCGGAACAGAGCCTTCCTCCCCGACCTGTGCCCGTTCCGCAGGGGCTTCCAAAGGAGGAGGAGCTGCCCGCTGAGCCCGAGACTCACGATCCACGAGCCGCGGCCATCGCTGTCGCGTCTGTTGCTAGCGAGGCGGCAGACCGCGCTGCAGACGGCGGGTCAGGGGCGGCCGCTGGGCCAACGGGTGGCAGAAAGGCCCTGATTCAGTACGACTACGAAAAGGCCGAGGACAACGAGATTGATTTGCGGGAAGGCGAATATGTCACCAACATCGAGATGGTAGACGATGACTGGTGGATGGGCACCAATGCTCAGGGTGAGAGCGGTCTGTTCCCCAGTAACTATGTTGAGCTGGTGGATGATGATGAAGAGGCTGTTGCCCACGAACCGGCTGCGGCCGCTCCGGCTCCGGCTCCGGCTCCCGCCCCTGCTCCTGCGGAACAGGCGCCCGAGGCCAATGCCGATGGACCCACGGCGACGGCGCAGTTTGATTATGAAGCCGCAGAAGACAATGGTATGTAATCTTTCTCGTGTTGGCGCGTCTTTTGAGTGAGCAATACTAACCGACTCGAGTAAGAACTGAGTTTCCCAGAAGGAGCCAAGATTACAGGCTTGGAATTCCCAGACGAGGACTGGTGGTTTGGTCACTACCAGGGGGCGTCGGGCCTTTTCCCTGCCAACTATGTCCAGCTTGATTCGTAACTTGAACGATGGGTGATGCGCTGGCAGGCGAGTGGATGATGCGTATGTGGAACAGTCCGTGCCTTAGCTAGAGCAGCCTTCTTTGTGTTTAATGCCCTTCCCGGAGGCCAGGGCAGGAAAAAGCGGATTAGAAACAGGATGAGATTCCACCGTCATCTTGGTGTCGTTGTGTGCTTGGTCGGTGCGGTTATGTCTGCATCAAGACAGGTAGATGTGCTCGAGGCCCGCAGAAATCAAGTGCATGAATCAGAAAGGCAATGCAAGCTCGAGTGGGCTCCATAGGCTGGTCAGCTTCCAGGAATCTGCACCATCAGCTTCTTAAAACTTCAGTCTGTGCTGTTTTCTCTAAGGTACTTCACGGTATGGACGGATGATGATCTCTGTGAGCGGGGGCCGGACTCACTCGGGCCTCATCGGCAACACCTCCACTTCCACCTTTTGAGCAACGACAATTAGTCCATGCCGACCACACATCATCCAACCTTCCTACGCAGCATCGGCGATTCTGTAAAGTCCCATCTCTTTTATTTCCGTCATATTGGTGAATGATGCCTAGGCAAGCATAGAAGCCAACCCAATAATGTACGCGCACACTCCGCCTCCACCGCCGCCGAAACCGCCCGGGAGCCATGATGTAAGCCGGATGAGCACGCCAGCCAGCGGACCGTCGCCGCCACCTCCACCATTGCCCGAAGCCATCGCGGCCCATGTGGGCTCCGCTGTGTGTGCGGCGCCGGCAGAGCCCAGAGCCGGAGCACAATCTCACGAGGTTGAGGATCTCGGTGACCAATGGCTCCCTAAGTTCCTGGAGGATAAATCGTACGTGTGTTCACGCATGACATTGCTTAGTTAGGGTTGCCATCATCACTCACTCACTCACGCCTCTTTTTACGTTCCTGCAGCAAACAAGATCTAGCCGACATCCTCGCCAACCACACTCTCCTAGCGGCATTGACGCACTCGCCGCAAACCATGCACCCGTCGCTCCGGCATTCGCACGGAGGCTTGCAGGCGGCGCTGGCCGACAACATGTCGCTCGCCTCGCTACTGGCCGACGCGGAGCGCCGCCTGGCCCACCAGCGCGGCCTTGCCCAGGCGCAGCTGCTGTCGACGCACGCGCTCGAGCGCCAGTGGCACGCCAAGCAAGGCGAGATGGACCACGCGCTGGCCCCCTTTGCGCCCGCGAGCCTGTATCAGCGCCTGGCGCAGGGTGTTGTGGAGCAGGAAGGAATATGCTATGCGCTCGAGGAGAGTTTTCTAGAGGGTGGTGGAGGAGGAGGAGGAGGGGATGGGGCTGGGCTTGCAACGGAACGCGAGGCTGCGGAGTGGGTTCGGAGGTACAGGGAGGCGAAGAAGCTTTACTACTTGCGGCAGGAGAGGAAGGAGAGGTGGGATGAGGGGCGTGTTGGTGGGTGGCGGTGATGGGTTATGCAGAAGAGAGTTTACAGCATCTCGAGTGTCGCAGCCAGGGTGTCCACGATGGGTGGTTAGTGAGGGGGGTTGGCTAAAGGGATACCGTCCGGTTACAAGAGACATGGTTCACGTCCATTCGAGGCTCACATGCGCATAGTGATGCTGCCAGTCTGGTTGGGGAAGTTGAAGGGGGGGCAGGGTAGTCTTGGATCAGTTAACAATGGAACATCCCTTCCTTGAGGGGGATCATCAGTTTTTTTTGGGGGTTTTTTGACAAGGAACCTCCTCCTATTCAAGCTATCCAAGCTCGACTGTATGAGATTTTCAAGGAGCATACAAGGTATATATAGCATTTTGGTCCATCCGAAGTGTGTACAACTGGTATCAGATCCTGGTTTATCTCTTAACGTGAGACTTGGTACGGGAGCGAGGCAAAATTGTCTGGTAGTTGATCTTCTTCTTTCTCGTCTTACTAGTCACCCGCAGCTCTCTCGATCGATGGAACCCCTGCATGTGACATGTTCTAGAGGCGTCAGTTGGTAAATAGCTTCAATCCCTATCCAGGTCGTCTCGCTACCGTCACCTCTTCTTTTCAGCGCAAGGAACAACACCAGCAGCGGCCGTCTTCTTACGAAAACCTTCGCGATTGCGTTCGGGTTAGGACCGAACGAGCCCGCAGCGATCACGTCAAACTTCCGACACTTGACGAATTGCAGGGCGGCCACGCTCTCTCCCACGTGTCCTTCACGGCGTTGACGATAGTGTTATACTCATCGTCAGAAACTTGCCGCCGAAGAAGACGGCCTTTGGGATCATGTCAGCGGCTGCGCCAGCCCGGACTTGCCGTTAAAAAGTGGCGGGAACTTGGACACAGCGGCCGGGACATCGTTGCAGATTTGTACAACTAGTGATTATAGATATCTTATTTATTCATGCGGTTCATGTATATACAGTACCAAGGCTAGGTTTAGGGTTAAGCACGGAGTGCTTACCTTCATAGTATGGGAGAAGCTTGTCCTTGACTGACTTGGGATATTTTTCGCCCCTCCCAAAGAGTGCAACAGGAATGGGTGTCGTTTTGGAAGACGTGATAGTGCGTAAACGAGTGTGTGAGTGAGATGAGCTCAACTAACGACGTAGATGATTTTAGACGGAAGGAATTGTACCAGTCAGGCAGCCGGATGTACGTTGATATATCGGATAGGAAAGAAAGAAGTGATATAAGATCCGCGGCACCAATGGCTCCCTTATATGGATGGATGGGAAGCAGGGACGTCTCCTCTCTTGCTTTACTGTTTCCTGCCTGGGGCCTTCGAGCCGTGTCCCCTTGCTACCCAATTCTGCCACGACGATGGCATCGTGTTTGCAGAGCTCAGCTCGAATCCATTAGTTCGGGCGCATTTTGGCACTGTGCGGCGTCGGACGGGAGAGTTGGCAAGCCATTCGAGCTGCACGGTGAGAGGCCGAGCACTGACTCTCCCTCAAGCACTCTGGGCTAAGGATGCCGCGTCAAGATAATTGAGGTGCGACTTGAAGATAAGGTATCCGACTGAGCCGCGACTTGGTGAAAGATAGATCTAGAAGTCGCCAACCAGGACGTCAAGATGTGCAATCAACTGCCTCACTAAATCCTGTTGTGGTGAATGGACTTCGAGTTGAGGAAGCCCATGCGCCTCATTCTGCGCTCCGGGTTCGCAAGGTAGCCATGACCTCTTCCCTCTGCCCTTTATACGCCCGTGTGTCGTTTGAGTCCATGACCCGACCAAGCCTGAGAGGGCACAAACATGTCCCGTATAAACTCAAGCGCAACATGCGAGCGGACACCAAGCGGCCGGTGACAGCAGCCGATGTCCGCGGGTATACATCATCATCGTCTATAAAATACTGAACGGACTCCTCTTCATCTCCGGGCTCCGGGGACTCATGGGAAGGGCGAATAGTTCCTCCTCGTTGGCCTCCTCTCCATCTCCAAACCTTGCGGCAGTGGCCGGTGCTACCGCGCCCCCTACAATTGCATTCAGCGATCCAACGCCGCCGCCGCCCGAGCCCAGGATTGCTGATACAGATATGCCCGAAGCCGGTGGGGAAACCGACGTGACCAAGGGGTGCGTTTGCGGCCCTTGGGCGCTTTTTGCAGCTGCTGAGACGGTTAGCGGCATGGCTTTCGCTGCTTTCTTCTGCCCCTAGATCTCGCTTCTCCCACGCCAAAGCCATATACCCGTATTTCGAACAAGACACAGGTGAGCAAAGTGCATACCTTGACTAGCAGCGGCCAGCTCTGCCGGGCTGGTCGCGAGTTTTAGCCCCCTGAGCTTCTCCCCTAGCCTGCCTCCTAGGGGGCTCCTCGGGCTCGCCGGGCCGGCCGGGTTTTGGGGGATAAGGAGTCTTGTCGACTGCGGCAGTCCCGGGTCGGGCACCAGTCCAAAATGGTCGACAATCCACTGCAGCTCCTGCAGGGCCATCTCGAGCCCGACGCTCTCGCCGTTCGTGCGCATCTCGGCCTCGATCTCGGCCCGCAGCTCCGCCACTCGTTTCTTCGCCCACATGGTGTGCAGCACGCCGCGCCGTCCGGCATCTTGTTTGCTTGTCAACTCCGCGGGGAAGATGGCGGGCAGGGGCTTGGTCCGTAGAATTGTTGCGCGGGGCTCGCCGCTTCGGCCTTCGCGGGCGATGCTGACCAGAGTTGGGATAGGAGCGCCGGGGGGCAAGAGGTAGTAGACGCGTTGTATGTTGTCGTTGCTGCTGGTTTCCGGATCGACATCCCAGACCGGGAGCACCGCCCCTTTGCCCTCCCATGACACGTCCCAGCCACCACCACCACCACTGCTCTGCTCGTACCCTCTACCGGAGCCGGCCTCGTCTTCTTGCTTTTGAACCGAGGCGTTATCATCCCACTCGACCATAAGAATCTTGGTTCCCTCGTTGCGCTTGTCCGTCTCGAACTCGAAGCGCGACCGGGCCAGGTTCGACGACGGCGAGGTGGGTGTCTCGACCACGTCCAGGGCCTCGGGCGGGTCAGGCGCCGTCGCCAGCGTGCCGGTGGTGGTCATGGCGCAGCTTCAGGAGCTCGGGTGTTAAGGTTGGGTAATCAACGCAACCGCGATGGATATGGAGCTTTACTGGGTTCGCCTTGGTAGCGGCCGTAGTATGGGGTTTCGAGTTGGCCTTCCCCGGGCAATCAAAGGGAAACCGAATGTAACAGCCAATAAAACTGCCCTTATCACGCCGGTCCGTGCAAGGCCGGGAGACGATCAAGCCCGGCGAACACTGCCAGGACCCCGTGCTGAATGGTACCGCTAGCAAGCGCGTCGCCGCTGGCAGACAAACAGACAACTGCGAGTGCCGCCCGGGAGAGTGGTAGCAGCTCGGCGCAGGTTAATATGAAACGCGCAGGGAATCGCGGAGAGGGGCCCTCAAAATCCCAAGCTTGGTTGAGCGGCCCGGAGACGAGTGCCAAGGCAGGGCGGAGGTGTGGAATGAAGTCCGCAAGAGCAATTGACGGTTACGAACAAGGAGGCTGAAGGTGAGTGAGAGAGAATGAATTCAACTTTTTAGGAAAAGAGAGACGGCCCGGCTTCATTCGGGGTGAAGACGAGCCCAACGCAAAAGTAAGATACTCGACGGGAGAGGTTGGAGCCCCTCATGACCCGAAGAACCTCGCGAAAGAGCTTCCCCCACCCTTCGTTAAGGGAGCTAAGTTAAGGTTAGGCAAAAGGCCGGGGGAGCCGGTGGCCGCAGCTGTCTTCTGGGAACCGCACGGCCATTCAAAAGACGCTGTAACTGGCGCCCGAGGCCACAAGGGACAAGCTTACAATGAACAATACCCTGTACCGTTTCGGAAGACAATTGTCTTGGCTGCCAACGAGATCGCGTCTTCCTGCAGGGAGATACGATGACCACCTACCTCCGTACCCCCTAAGGATACCCCGTAGCCCGGTAGTCTCCGTGGGTATGAGACCTATCCGTCATGTAGGCCAGATGAGACTTGATGGCAGTTATTAAACCGATAATCCAGTCGAGACGTGGCGCATGATAGCACGTTGAGACCTCTGATGATGAGAGAAACCAGGTCGGCCTTCTCGCTTCCGATATCCCCTCCTTCCAGGTCGTTGCTGTTAGGTGCAGCGAGAAAAAGGTGAGCCTGATCAGTGATGACGACGGGAAGGGAAAGAATGCAAGCGACCCAGGCATTTGGGGGAGAAGCCCAATGAGCGACCTCCGCTACCATTAGCGCCACTGCATGAGTTGCCAAAAATAGATATGCTCGAGCCGCTTGGCGGGGAGACCCAAGGCATGTGGGGACTTTTGAGAAGATCGTCCCCGACCAGCGACGTCCACTGTTTGACTGTGAACTTTCAGTTTTCTCGAGCGTCAAGATTCTCGGAAGGTGTCGATGAAGAAGCCAAACAACATGTTCCTCGGAACACAGCCAATTTTTTCAGCCAACGGCCTTCCTCCCACCTCTCCCGGTGGCGTAGCCTCACATTCCTGTTCCCGACGGTAACTCAGGAACAAGCCGGAGGGACGTCGCCGACGCCATACCGAATCCAATGCAAGATTGTATACCCAACTGAGCTCGAGAGGTAGTTCTGCTCCGGCCAGAAGTGTGCCAGCACGCGTGGTGATCGCCAGGAGTTCAGAAGTTGAATCCCAATCCCCTAGCTTCATGCTGACGCAGCCCCGCCTCTTCCAAGGAAGGGATTGTTTTCTTCCAATAACCATGTCAGTAATCCTTGAATCCTGTGTTTCAGTGACAGCTATCGTCGTTCTTGTCCAACTGTGCTCCTTCTGGTATTGTTGATATTGATCATCCTGGTTGCTGTTAGGAGGGAGTCTTGGCCCGTTTAGAGCTGATCAGCCAAAGCGGAGGGGCAGCGATGGCCTGGGTGTCCGCCGTAGCCGTTACCGATATGTATTTTCAACATGGCCGGTCCCAGCCGAGGTATCTCTGGGCCGTTCGAAGAGGGATTGCCATGGACCTCCGAGGTCGTGGGGGCCCGTCGGTTTGAGTTCTGGCGTGTGTGTCGTCTCGCTCCGCATCGTTACTAGTCCTGTAAATCGAGCCTGGTGGTGAGTCGAGCTGGGATCCGCATACGGTGATGTATGTCGAACGAGACCAACAATCAGCGAGCCGAGTAGGGAAGGCGGGGGAAGCTATTTAAATCACTTCGGGACCGAGAGTCGGCCGAGCCCGTGATTTCGGAGCCCGGCCGGCTGCATTGACCGGGTCGTATGACACCCTAGGGCTTCTGCCAAAATCTGATATCGCTCATCTATAGACTGACGGGAGATAACGTTGGGTGTTGGACACGGGGTGCCCTCGAAACGGCGCCGAGAGGATAAAGAACGGCCGGAGTAGTGCCGCCAACAGCTCTCATTGACGGAACCATAGAATGGAACGCCCGAAACGGTGCCGTCGTGGATGGCCTTTAGTGGTTGTTGTGTAACTGGCTTGGAGACTCCCGCAGCCTTCTGTCGATGGAACTCGGTCATATCGACATGCAGTTCTGCGCTCACAGTGGTTGAATCAAAGGCTCCATGCAGACGCTGATCACCGACGAATTGGGTTCATGTGCCGAAGGTGTCTCCGGGTCTCTGGAACGTTCACCAACTGCCGATGGGAGGACCGGACGGATACTTTGGCACCGCCCACATTCGGCTTGCGTGGAGGCTGTTTTCCAATTGCTGAATTAGGATCTGGTACTCCGTCGGCTTGCAGACTCAATGATATCATATGAGAAGCAGCTCCGCTTAGACTGTCCGTTATTGGACCTCATCAACCTGTCGGGCGCTTGCAGCGTGTGGGGAGCGCTGCCCTGGTGGTTTCAGCCATTACTCTGAAGAAAGCAGAACAGCGGAGGTCGATCGGTGGCGGCCATCCAGCAACGGCCGCACCAACCAAAGGTTGGAATGCAACGAGTCAAGCAAAAGAAAAAAAAAGAAGTGAGACACGAGGCCTGAAAAGGGAAGAGGTATCCATACTCCGTACGGAGTAATATTACAGTAATGATCTGGATCAAGCCGAACGTAACTGGTGTGTGTCTGGTTGACGGCATGTCGATGGGTAACAGCACGACCGAGCAGGTGAACGCATCGCTTGTAGATCGTAATGACTGTACCGTATGTAGTGAGCGTATTGACGGATAAACCAAAGTTCGAGAATGCGGATGCATTATCGCATCAACAAGCCCTCCGCAAGCCGGCCCGCTTTACTGCGGCGCTCTTAGAGTTCACCAAATGCACTAGCGGTGCCACCCCGCGGGAGTGACCGTCGGCCGGCGAGAATGTGGATAACAGAGGGTCACCCCTGCTGGGCAGCAAATGCACCCACATCATCGGGGTTTTTTGAGCTGGCTCGATTGGACGCGGCTAAATTGCGACGAGCTGCGTGTCTGCACGCCAAGAACAGGTAGCACCACGGGGACGGGACTGCACGGCTGATGGATCGTGTTATGGCGGGCCGCTTGGCTGTGCCAACTTCTCCGCCAGCAGGTGCGTACCGAGCGACGCCGAAGAAGGCCCGGCCTATCTTGGCTCAACCCCGCCCAGGTATCCAGCAAGCAGACACACTGAACAGGCCCGATTGGGAGAGACAATCAATGAAACGCGAGCAATCGCCCCCAAGAGAGGCCCTGGCTCTGCGCCATGTCCGTTAACAGTTGCTCCGCACCCCTGGTCCTGCAAAAGACAGGTGATAACAAGGTACACAGCGTCCTAGCTAATGCACCGCTATAAATCAAGTACTCGGTTCGCAGGCGCCCGGCCCCTCCTGCCGTCGTTGCTCTTGGTGGCTTGCATTTTCGCTACTCTGGCCCAACCCCAGCAGTTCTCCACTATTACGCCGGCCAAACCGCCGTGGCCCATCGTGGCCCTTCCACGGCCCATCGCCATCTGCGAAACCGTAACTTCACAGTCAAACTTTCACCACCCAACGTCTCCATCCGGGCTCTTTCCCATTTTCGCGGCGCAGCCAAAGCGATCATTTGGGACCGTTTTCGATTCTAGGCGCACCATTGGCGCTTCTTTCTGGGCTCCAGGTCGAATTCGGGCCTTGCCGCGCGGTACCCACTTCGTACCTTCCAGGTCCCATTCTCCTCCAGTTCTCCCCCCACCCTTCCAAAACAGGGCCGTCGAGCCGATTTCTCTTCCTTCCGTGCCGACTCCGTCTTTGCCCTTCTGTCGCTGCCGACTTCTCGACACGCCCTTTATTCCGACATCGTGTATCGCGGCCTTTGATCCGTCCATCACATCCATCGCACCCGCCGCTTCCGTTACGACCGGCTCCGTGACTCGACAGCGCGCCAGGACCGATTCGACTTTCATTGTCCGTCGGCTCCTCCGGTCCCTTCCTTCTGACACCCGCTGGCCCATTTAGAGTTGCGAGGCTTGCGCCATCGTACCGCCATTCACGCATCCGACGCTCGTTTTCGCTGTGTCCGTCTCGCGAGGAAAAGCTCGTGCGCTTCTCCGTTGTTCCTGTCCGCGACAGCCCTCGTCGCGTTTCATTGTTGCTGGCTGAGATACTTTCGACGGCTGGAGCGTGATCCTCTTGGCCTTTCGAGCTCGTCACCAACGGCCAACTTCTCCGAGTCCTTCGCGGCCGACAACCTTCCAGACAGATGCCCCAACCATGATCGAGCTGCGATCGTCCTCTGCCGCGAATAGTTACAGCTCGTCCTTCCCGGCGACGTCCTTTCGGTAGAGCACGAGACACACGTTGCGGGTTGTTACCCGCGTGTGTCTTTTGCTCTATTGGGGTGACCCGTTTTTACCAGGCTCTCCGGCCGCATTGCCGATCCAGGACCCGCAAACATGGAGCCTTTACATATGACCGAATTCGGTTCCGACCGGTACTTGGAGAAGGCGCTTCAACAGTCGCAAGCAACACAAGCAACGCCAGCACCTGCGACCCCAAGACTCTCCCAGTCCCAGTTCATACTACCCCTTCGCGGGTCCAGTCTGTCCGAGACAGACGCTCCACCAGCCAAATCCGTTGACCAGAAACGCTCTGAGAAGAGAGGTTTTGGTTTTCTCAAAAACAAGTTTCATGTCAAAGGTTCCGCGGCTACAACTGGGAGTAGTGTCGAGCCTCCGAATAAACGGCCCTCGTCGACCCACTCGATAACCGCTGCCCGGCGAAGGTGCGAAGCCCAGAAACCGCAGGCGGCGCCCCAAGTATCTATCAAAGCTAACAATGCAATCCCTTAGTCTCCCGTTCGACCATCTCTTTGCCGCCCTACCGAATGAACTGCAAGTCGAGATCATCGCGTCGCTCCCGCTCTCCGACATCTTGAACCTCAGGCTAGCCTCCAGATCCCTCCACGCCCTTGTATCGCTGAACGAGACACCCATAACCCGCTACCATCTCGACCACCATGTGCCTGCCTACGCCAAGCGTCTTTACCCGGCTCCGCGGGGCATCCCGCTGAACTTACATTACCTGTGTGGCCTGTGGCACCGGCTACACGTGGCTGCCAAGTTGTCACACTTGATCTGCGAATGGGTTTCAAAGGAGTTGTTCTTTCGCAACACGGAGGATAAGAAGAGGGAATTCGCGCCGCAAAGGGAGCGAATGCGACGGCGCCTTATACCCAGGCTCTTCACCGTCTTCCACTTCTTCGAAACCTACCGGACACTGCACCTTAAATACATGGCTGAGCACGGGTACGGGCTGCACCAAACCCCGTATACGATCAATCCCATCGAAGCCGAAATCCTCAGCATGTACGATGACCGCACTCTTCTCCAAGTTCACGAAATCTTTCCGCTCGTCATGGCGTCCTTCGACAGACGCCTTCGTCCACCAACCTATGTGGGTCGTGTGGAACGATCGTTGAGGGGATACCTCAGGGAGAAGCCGCCTGAAGAGGTACACGTCGCCATTCTCTGTCTCGGCGGCCTGCGACAGGTGGAGAAGATATGGGAAGTCAAGGGCTACAACGCCCGGCGCGCCGCCGTCGACGCCTGGTATTCGTCCATCGTCCAGCAAACTTCTGAGCCGGAAGCGAAAAAGCGCAGGGGAATGTTGGGTTTGAAGCGCAAGAAGTCTTCGTCTGTTTTGGGGAAGCCATGCACAAATGATGGTGCCTCAGTCTCTGGAAGTGCCGACAGCATGAGTCTCGCCAAAGGAAAGCAGCCGGAAAGTCTGGTGTTCTGCACCAGTCTAGCAGACGGCATGCCCATGGGCTCTTTGAGCAAGGAGGAGCTCAAACTTCTTGTTCCAGATCTGCCGGGACTCCGCCAGATATGGTCCGAGACGGCCGAAACCTTGATTTTGGATGACCGGAAAATCGTCCAGCGGCAGAGCGACATTCGACGTAATGCCCAGATATTCACCGACCTCATCAGTGAGAACAGTAGTGCCGACGAGGACCAATGGCTCTACGGCACTACCGCACCCGACTCGCTACGACCGAACCTAGATGCCATCGAGGAGGACTTGATGGAGTGACCCTGATTCGTCCGGCGTCGACTTCTCACCTCTTCACTGCGACGAGCTTGGAGAGGCAGGAAGCAGGCATCAAACTGCCCTCTCCCTCATCCAAGCTGTCGACCACGCTTTTTTCTCTGCCAAATATTATCTGTCACGATGTATGGCAGCTGACCGGTTCACAGAAGCTCTATTTTTCCTCTGTCAAGTTTGGGATATTTGCAGATAAAAGGCATTTACAGGCGTTGCGGACTCTTTGAGGATTTTATCCAGACGTGTTTTGGTATCTCGGTTCAGAGATCAGCATGGCGAGCCTGGTGTATGGGTTCTTCTTTCTATTTTTCTTTCTTTGTTTATATCTGCCCGTCCACCCACGCTTGGGTGCGTTTCCTGTTTCGGTTGTGATCTGTAGCGAGACTGTATTCATGGGTTTGGGAACTTACATATCTATCTCTTATACGCATGGGCTTGAGCCGTATGGCAGTTCACTGCCTGCAGGGGCTTCGGTGTTTCAGGGTCAATCCAATCAATGTTCGAAGCAAGGGAAGGAACCATGCATTTCCCGACTTTGGGACAGCCGTGGTAGATAGCATCTGATCAATCATGCTTCATACCCGTTTCCAGCGTACTATTACCCTCTCAACCCAATCAGCTGTGACTTCGCTGGTTCAGCGGTGACCTCACAAGAGTTGGCATTGTGCTGCAAGCTTGAGCAACGCAAGTCCTGACCCAACCATCATGTTTCTTGTCTGTTGCTGCACCCCACGGCCACATTCCGTAAGTTTCATGTGGCAGTCTCATAGCAAGGCAACGTCTCTCATGTGGACGACGTGGTTTGGGAAGGCGTTCATTTATTCAATTCCGACGGCCGCAGCAACCACCTGGCACTGTCGCATAGCCAGCAAGCATTACTGTTGTTCGCCGTACCTTAACAATCACACGTGACTACATACAGCACGAGGAAAAGGGCCGTATTACAAAAACAACAAAGTTTGGGAAGCAAGAGTATGACGTATGTCCTAGACGGCGCCCATAAAAAAAGCAGACACGTCTCCCCAATACCATGACCAACCTGTATCTCCAGCCGGCCCTCTGTCCTTTAGATACTATGGAAGATACCCTTGCGCCAACTCGAGTGAGACATTTAAAACCGCCCACGGCGCATGCCATCGCGCCTTATTTCACCTCCGCCCAGCTCCATAATAACGCTCGCTACTTCCCAAGCCGGATGTATCAAACGCCGCGAGACCCGTCGCAGCGAACGCGGAGCCCCCTGACCCAGACGATGATCGCACGCTCGCTCCGCCGATGTCGTAGTTGGCATTGCTCAATCCTCCCATTGTCGTCCCCTGCTGCCCAGACGTATCGAGGTGAGTCGTGTCAAACAAGCTCCAGTCAGCCGCAGAGTTTCCCGTGAACGCCTGTACATTGGTGGCCAGCCCCTGCATGCTTTGCGAACCCGGCTGGCTTGTACTGGCAGACCGTTGCTGTAGGCCGTTCGTGCCTGTACGGTACTGTGACGGCTGCTGTGGCAGGTTGTGTGTGTTGCTGGACCGGAAGGTGTTGTTGGCAGCAGACTGGCTTTGTTGTTGGCCGTACGATGATGGGTTGCTCAAGGTCGTCGTGGACGGGCTGCTGCGATAGTTTCCATCGCTGGAATTAAAGGTGGTGCTTGTCGTCAACGTCCCATATTGCGGGGACTGATGAGCGGTGTACGATGTGTTGCCTGCCGAAGTACTCGCCAGCTGGGGCTGATATCGCTGCTGGGACGTGAGATGCTGCACACCCGAGTATTGCTGTTGACTGGACGTATATGGTTGCTGGTTGGCGGCATACTGCTGTTGCTGCGGTGTGCTTGCCGTATACTGATGACTCGAAGAAATCCGAGGGCTCTGGTGTTGTTGTCCTTCAGACAACTGGTGTCGCTGCTGTTGCTGCGGGCGTTCCGCCTGCGAGGATTGGGGTTGCTGCTGCTGCTGATACTGCTGCTGATACTGCTGCTGATGTTGATGCTGCTGTTGGTGTTGTTGTGGTTGCCGATGCTGTTGTTCTTGTTCGTTCTGTTGCTGGTGGTTCTGCTGCTGATAGTGGGAACTCGAAGCGCGGTATTGATTGTAAGGGCCTTGAGGAGTAGGGGTTCTCGTCTGCTGTTGTATCACTAACGGGCGGCTGCCTCCTTGGGATCGAGGCGGCTGAGATTGTTGATTGAAAGACCGACCGTTGCCGACAGAACCATGTTGTTGTTGTTGTTGTCGTTGTTGCTGCTGCTGCTTCTGCTGCTGCTGCTGCTGGGGTTGCTGTTGCTGGAGGGGTTGCTGTTGTTGGAGGGGTTGCTGTTGCTGGAGGGGTTGCTGAGGGGGCGATTGCTGTGGGTAAATGTGTTTGTGTTGCTGCGACGAACGACTTGCCATTGGTTGAGGTGAATCTGACGCGCCATTCCCTCTTGCTTGAGGTTCAACCTCGGTCTCTTGGTTCAATTGGGCTTGAATTTGTGCTTCCAAACTCTCCAAATTAGGGGACTGCACCTCAAAGTGAGCCGGATGTATTGACGCAATAGATGGGTCAACAACCGAGGCCGAAGCCGGTACCGGTTTCGGGTTGTGGGTCGCGGCCGGGGGTGCCGGGCCTGCTTCAGAATTCGCATTGGATGTCGAGCCGGCTCCCGCGGCAGCACCAGCGAAGGCACCCCTGGTGCTTTGTGTGGTGGCCTCATCCCCGTTCCTTGTTCCAGGTCTGGCTTCTCTGCCCTTTCGCTGACGCTTGGGCTGGGGTTCGGACACGGTGGATGGAGGCGGTGTTCCTGCGTTACTCGGCGGAGCGGGCAACGTACGACTGTTCGCGCCCGGCAAAGGAGCCGATTCAGTTCCTCCCTCCTTTGAGTCAGACCGCGAAGCATCGGCTTCGTCTTGACCTGTCCTCTTCCTCTTGCCACCTGCATCTTTGGAAGATTTTGACTCGGCTGGACTGGCAGGAAGAGGGGGTGGGGGTACCTGAGTCTGAGCTTGCGGGCCCTGGGCAGTCTGCGGCGCCTGGTAAGTGGGCGCTTGCCTTCGTAAAGGCGGATAGCCAGAGTTGGATAGCACTGGGTTCCCGGTCCCATCCCCAGCCGTTTTCTTGGAAGCTACTGGAGGTGCTGAGTTCACCGCCTTGAACGACTGGGGCGCCGCCATGCCTGGGGTTGTGGCCTGAGACGCTTGGTCTGCTTGGGTTGGGAATACTTGAGAGTTCTGGGCTCCGTTTTGTGGCGTTCCTATGGAACTGTGCATGGGGTTTGCGGCGGGGTTCTTGGGCCCAGTCTTGGAACCCTTGGGGCGACCTCTCTTCCTTTTCACGCTAGTCGTGCCATTAGGTGTCGCGTCATTGGGGGTAGGCGCCCCTGGTAACGCCGTCCTGGCTGCCGCATTTGACGGTTGGCTAGGGGTCTGCGGCAACAGCGGGCTTGTGGCTTGCGTTAGAGGCATGACATTCGCAGCAACGGAGTCGGCGGCAGCACCTGACCCATCGGAAACCTGGGGTCGGTCCGCGCTTGAGGAGGGGATTTTAGGACCCTTCGGGACTCCCTTGTCTTTCCGGGCATGGGTGGCTTTGCTGCCTTTCGGTCGACCTCGCTTGCGCTTCTCCGGTTGAAGATTCTCGAGCTGGCGTGTTGGAGCTGAACTCTGCTGCTGTCCCGTTGAACTCTGCTGTTGTCCCGTTGAAATGTGCTGCGACCCCGAGTTTCCACCTATCCTGGGGAATATCTCGGCAATCCAGCCGACGAAGACGCTGCCGGGCCCGTTCGCTTCTGCGCTTTCCGGGAAGCCGCCCCGGGTGGCGGGGGGGGGTGCTCCAGGAATGCCACCAAAAAAAGCCAAGGCTTTGCATATTTGATCCACAACAAGCGCCGGGTGTAGGCTCCGCAGGAGTGTGAGGAGGCGGGCTTGTTCAAACTTGGTCTCATCGGGAGTGAGGGGCATGCGACGCTGTGGTTGGGTCGGCGCTGGTGCGGGAGCTGGTGCGGGCGCCTGTCCGGGAAAGGAGGGCTGGGCTATGGCTTCGTTTTGAAGTTGAACAAAGCGGCTCCTGCGAAGAGAGATATAGCCATTCTCAGCAGCACGCTTGGCGGCCAGCTCGGTACTTTCACTCGTCCGCTTCGCCTCGGCGTCGCGATCTGTGGCCTCGTTCCTGCCAGCGACCTCTATCTGCATGACCCCAAAATTGCCCTTGGATTCGTCGGTTCTCCCCTTGAGTTTGCTGGGAACGGGGTTGCGGATCCGGCCATCTTGGTAGGGCACTTGTGGGATAACGGACGAGGGGATAATGGTGTAGGGGACCCCGGCTTCCGAAGTGAGAGTTGGTGCCGAATCGGCTGAGGAAGGAGGCATTGGGGCCGCCATGGGGCGGGGCGTGACCTGGCTTTGAAGTATTCAGGAGGAACTGTGTGGCGGCACATTTGGTTAGCGACCGACTCCGCTGAAGAGAGAGCAACGCGTCGCACTTACCTGGAGAAGGTGTGAGCGCTGGAAACCCACACCCAAGCGACCGAGAATCCGGCGCGGAGGGAGCGCGAGACGATTGAGTGTTGTTAAGAGGTCGACTGGATGACGGCACCGGTGGGTCGAGTGCTGCGTCGCGGCAGCGTTCCGGTCAGGGTGCAAGCCCCATGTTCCCTTAGGCGTTAATGAAGAACCTTCAACGAAACACCGTGTGTCGGTTGACAGCGAGTAACTCCCGTCTGATGAACGCAAAACACGAAAATGGGTATCGGGTCCGACCCCACCTGGCCAGGGAGCCACGGCGCGGATTGCCTCTGGAGCGCGGTCTCAACAATCAGATGATGCTGAATAGCGAGGGGCCCACTAGGTCGCAGCCAGCTCTCTATAGATGAAATAAATAAAGCCGGTGTTGTTTTAATGGAATTGCAGTGCGCTGGTTCTGAACGGCTAGAGCGAGGAGGTTGGTCTCATGCGACGATCCACGGTTCTCGATTTCTCCTTGTCGAGCATGGCAGTGACACGATTGTGTTCGCGAATCTGGGGCTACCAGGATCGTGCTAAGTTGTCAGAAACATAGCTGACAATCCAGTGCTATACATGTACTCGAATAGAGATAGATGCCATTAGGCACTGGTGCTGTCGTGTGCGAGAAGATCGCGAGTCGCAGGTGAAACCAGAGTCCCGCTGCAGGATGGTCGAGGTTGCTGGCACCAGAATGTTAAGGGGGCTGCGGCACACAGCTTTGGCGAGGTACCTGGTATGACAGCAGAAAAATGCCAATGTGACGGACGCGCAACAACATGTAAAATACCGTATCGGTCGTGATCAAGCACTGTGCATCGTCCGTATTCTTACTATATTGGTTTTCCCAACACCTGATTGTGTATCGTACGATATATCGGTTTATCAACCCCTCTGTATTGGTACCAGAATGAAAGCGTTATCTTGGCGGGGTACAGGGAGTCAAGGAACGTCGCTTGTCAGTGGGGAGCTTAGCTCAGTCCCACTTCTGTCGCATCGGCACCTAACACCAAGCCAACATGTTTCCGTTCCGTTAACTCATCATCGTTTTGTTCACAGCTCCCTTCATATCGACCACGTTGCTCTTAGCAACCCTTTCCCATTGTTGGTTCATTGCTCAAAACCCGGGACTTCAGCTACCCCAAAACCCCACAACGCCGCCGAGCTGCAATCCAGGAATCATCCCTTTGGCTGACGAAGCTAGCAAGAGTGCTATCAAGGTGTGGGTTGAATCTTGCTTTTATGCCTCCTATTGAGCTGATCTGACTTTCATTGGGCGAATACATTAGTAGGCTTCGCACAAAGTTCCAGGGAGGCGCGAGGGCATGATATCATAACCGACAATGCAGCCGACGCAATACATACTCGTTTCGCTACCCCTCAGGATCTTCGACGATGACCCTCTAACAGGCCTGGCTGCGACGGTCGGACGGGACAATGGCGAGACGCTGCCGTTTCCGATACCCTCTTTCAAGATTGGAACCCTTGATGCGCTGGTGCAGCACGCAGATGACCTTGCGAAGCTCAACGCCGCATGCGAAGCCGCCGTCGCGAAAGTGGCCGACTCGCTCAAGAGTATTCTAGATGGGGATGAGGACAAAGCTGCGCAGCAGAAGATGGTCAACGACAGTAGGCATTTCTTGGTTCCGAGCCGCCGCTCCATTCGGCCTTGTGTTATGTCTGATAGCCCTTCGCAGAGCCCACAGATCAATACCTCCGCACCTTCCAGTGGAACAAGGTCCGATACCGAGCCGACCGGCCGCTGGGGGAGCTGATTGAGAACCTGCAAAAAGAATTGCAGAATATCGATAACGACATCAAAGGAAAGTTCAATCAGTACAACAATATCAAGACCACGTTGGCGACATTGCAGAGAAAGCAAACGTAGGCTTGCCACCAAAACCACCTGCCCGTGGCATGGAGCCATTGTGTAGCCATTAAGACTAACATGCAGTAGAGGAAACTTGTCTACCAAGTCACTGACGCCCATCGTCGACCCAAGCCTACTTGTTCAGGACTCGGAGTACCTGGAAACCCATCTCATTGCCGTACCGACGAACGCGCGCAGGGACTTTATACGCAGCTATGAGACGCTCACCCCCATGGTGGTGCCACGGTCGTCCATCCAGGTTGCCCAGGACGACGAATTCACCCTGTTTGCGGTGACAATGTTCAAGAAGACCAGTGCCGAGTTTCTGCAGAAGTGCCGGGAACAGAAGTGGACGCCTCGGCAGTACAAGTACGTGGAAGGCGGCAGGGAAGAGGAGCAACGTGAACTTGATCGCGTCGCCAGGGAGGAGAAGAAGATCTGGGGCGAGGCGTTGAGGCTGGGCCGGACGGGCTGGAGCGAGACCGTCATGATCTGGACCCATGTTGTGACACTGCGGGTCTTTGTCGAGACGGTCCTGAGATACGGCTTGCCGCTGGAATTCGTCTGTGCGCTTGTCAAGGTATGTTCCGAGTTCACCGTGTCTCATTCCCAACCCCTTTCCAGGCTGACCGTGGACATAGACAACGCCAAAACAAGCAAAGAAGGTTAAGACGGCGTTGGACTCAGCATATTCATTCCTCGGCGGAAATGCGTTTGGGAGGGATAAACGAGGACGAGTCACCAAAGATGACGCATCACTAACGTCTGAGATGGCTGCCGCTGGCTTGGGGGCGGCCGAGGGCAGCGAGTACACGGCATATGTGTACTACGAAATCGACTTTCCATGATCAGCTTCGAGCTGAGCCAGTACAGCATGGTAGGGAGGAGGGACTACACGATACAGGAGAGAAGGCGGGCTCGAGGTGTAATGCAGCTGTCGGTTTGGAAGCTTGATGGCCTTATTCTCACCGCTCAAGGCCAGGTCTCTCAGAGACGGAAAGCAGCAACACCGCTCTTCCCTGTTCCTAACTTACGATGTCTATGGACCGTACCCTTCGAGGCAGGATAAATCAGATGCTTTTGGACCAATTGTCATCACCTGGTCTCCTGCGTCTGGGTTATGAGGCCCTTCTCCGCCAAGTACTCCACAATCTGGCGCACGCATTCTTCAACGCTTAACTGGTCCGTTCGAATGGTGATCTCGGGCGACTCGGGCGCCTCGTAGGGGGCCGAGATGCCAGTGAAGTCCTTGATCTCGCCTGCCCGCGCCTTTTTGTACAGGCCCTTGGGGTCCCGCTTCTCGGCTTCCTCGAGGGGAACGTCGACAAAGACCTCGATGAACGGTATGGGATCGTCGCCCGCTTGGGAAGCATTGGCGTGTAGGTCTCGTGCGACTTGTCGGTCGGCGCGGTACGGGGAGATGAAGGAGGTCAAGGCAATAGTGGAGGAATCGGCGAAGAGCTTCGCGACCTGTTCGCGTAATTCACGATGGATCATTAGCATCGTAAGAATATCACGGAGGGGGTGTTGATGTTGAGTAGGAGGGACGCGGTACTTCGGCAATGCGGCGGATGTTCTCGTTACGGTCCTTTTCCGAGAAGCCCAGGTCCTTGTTTAGCCCAAAGCGCACATTGTCGCCGTCAAGCCGGTAGGCAGCGAGGCCGATGTGGAGCAGGTGCTGCTCGAGGGCGGTTGCGACGGTCGACTTGCCCGAGGCCGAGAGGCCGGTGAACCAGACAGTGAAGCCGCGTTGGCCACGCAGCTGGTTCCTCTCGTGCCGTGTGAGCGACGGGTGCCAGGTGATATTGCTGCGCAGTTTGGTCAGTCAGGTGTCTCGATGCGGGGCGAACATTCCCGCTGCTCGCGCCGGTTCGCGAAGGGATGGTGGGGCATCGCAAGGGCTAGGTTCTCGTCGAGCGGAGTTGCAAGACCGGACTCACGTTGCCATGGCCTTTTTAAGATTTCTCTCACAGGAAGGAACGAGCTGGCAGCTGTCGAGTCAGGTGGGTGGTGGTGCGAACGAGCGGCGCTCGGGGGACGAGACAGCGACGAGGGATTAATGAGTGTCACGTAGGTGAATTAGATGCAGAGACTTTCGGCGCAAAGAAGTGGAGCAGTCTTGATCGTGGTTATACTGTAAGAAGTGCCGTCTCAGCGGCCGACGCCGGGAGACCCCGACAATGCTCTTCCGGCTCGGGGATGACCCACTCAAGGCGCGAGTTGGACATCATTGTATAAATCCTCTATAATAAGTCATCAGCCACTTTGGGCAATGCATTTTGGCAAACCTTTTCAATATCCTCCTCTACCTATCCTTACAACTTGATTTTCACTTACTTTTACCTATAACTATTGTGGTTTACTATTAAGCGGTATATTCTATTATTAGTATTATTATTATTTTTATACCGTTATGCCCTAGGGCTCGCCGGACCTTCTACCACTATTTACGAAGGAAAACCATGCCTGCAAGGCTGGATTGAAAACCTCTATCTCCCCTATACCAGTCTGAAGTCTTGAATCTACTCGCTATATTCACAAATGAACCAACGAGAGCCAACAGCGGCGGCTTACTTGCAGAAGCCAGTGGGGAACGTAGGACGTTCCGAGCCAATCACTTAGGACCAATCGGAACGAGTCCTAGAGGTGCTCCAGAGAGCTCTCAGGAGCATGAGAGAGCACCAGTGCAAGGCCAATCAGAGGACGCTCTAAGAGGCCCTCGAGAGCACCATAGAGCATTGGCTCTAGGTGGCTCTAGAGAGCACGAGAGAGCAACCAAACGCATCTAGTATATAGTCACCCGTTCTGGAGGACTCTGGGAGTTCTCCAGTAAGCAACTCAAGTGCAAGATTGTCAGTACCCTTGGACACTGCTTGTTGTGAACCCTTTGGCTTCACCGAACCTCACCCCGTTGTCAAGTATAACCTTCAGGAGTCCCTTTCAGAAGTTGGGGCTTTGAGACTCGTCACACTATAGCAAGAAGAAAGGGGTAGATAGCTAATTAGGCTATCGAACCAGCCTAGTTCTAGCCATGCGGCTAGCCTATACTCCAGTAGCCTCCTAGAGCATAGTAGCTACCTAATCACCTTCCTTGCAAGCCTTCTCTCTTCGTTCCCCCACTCGTCGAGAGCCCTATACAGGTCCCTCTACGAGCGTATCTCGGCAGCCAGCTAGGTCCTTAGCTTCAGTAGTTAGTGGCATCACATAGCTAAGTGTTCCACTGTTTCTCTGCCACGACTGCATTCGCAGTAGGAAGTAGGTATTCGAGAGATCCTAGCCCAGAAAATGAAGTCTTTGAGGCCTATAGCTCTAGTTCGGACCTGGGTTTGTTAGGAACTCTCAGCCTTTTAAAGCCCTCATGTCTTTCTGTAACGGCATGGCTGGTCAGTTCGGCAACGCCCGGCGACAGGTGCCAGTTATTACAGCTTCATAGTGCTGCCAGTGATTTAATCTGTCGGATTGAATCATTTATACCCTTTTCTAGGAATCTAGCGCAATGGTATGGCTACACATTGTGTGCCGTTACACTTTCTAGTGCTCTTTTCTTAAGTTTTGGCCAGTGGACAGCCGGCTGTACGGTGGGTAGGGCCTAGTTCTGGGCCCTATATCGTTGTAGTCGATTAGTGGCCTCCTGGGCCCACCTAGCCTTCCAGGCCGTATTGAGAGCCTCTGTAGAGTCCTTGCTTTTGGCTCTCTAGGCTGCAATAGCCTCTGTAGCTACTTCTATTGCTAGAGATTTCGTTAGCCCTCTAGCTCTTTATAGTCCTTGGAAGCGGGTGCAGATATTGTTATAAGCCTCCTTGACTAGCAGGCTAGGAGGCTAGTGTCTTAGAAGAGGTCTTGTTGCAGGCCCAGTTGCAGGCCTAGTTGCAGGCCCAGTTGCAGGCCTAGTTGCAGGCCCAGTTGCAGGCCTAGTTGCAGGCCTTATTGTAGGCTGGGAAGGCTGAGGAGTCGGGAGAGTAGGCTTCTGGGGCATGTCTTCGAAGTCAGCTAGCCTCATATTAAGATAAAGGTCTAGTAGAGGAACCTATATTTCAACCTCAAGGTGTCGAGTTAGGGTAGCATTATTGGCCCCCGTCACTATCCGTAGGCTTCTGTTCTAGGCGTTCTAGAGATTTTTTTGCAATGCCCTGTGTAACGGTCCCAGGAGTATATTGCAACTAGCTGGTGACGACTCTACGAGTTTGTCTCGAATGGAGAGAGAAGAAAAAAAGAGTGAAAGACTATGCAAGATATCTGCCGTCTTATACCTCCACATCCTTGGCCTGTGCGCCGATATCGAATAAGATAAAAGTCCACCAAATCCCGAGTCTTGGCCGAGAGTTTGCCGAGGCCTTTACGGGCTCAGCCCGTTACAGGCCAGGTTGACTGGGTTTAGCCATTGCCTTCAGCCTTTGTTGAAGTGGATCAGCTCGCTCTTTTCCTTAGCAAAGACTATATCTCTAGACTCGGCTCACTATAGACAAATCTTCCAGGCCTCTCCTAGTTGCCGATAGTTAGCCTGGGGCTCTCGGCTGAAGGCTAAGAGGTTGATATCGTCTGTAAAGCTCACTATAGCTATCCCTAGATGCTTCTACTTCAATACTCTATATAGAGAAGCAATATAAAGGATAAAGAGAATTAGGAATAGTGGGAAGCCCTATTGGACCCCAAGTAACTATAATAATATCTATTTTGTATATCTATCTAGAGCTGATTATATATAAAGATCTAATAAGTATTGCTATAGAAATAGCCTAGTCATAGTAGATAATTCAATGCGATAGATTTTAATATGTATAAGTAGCTAATTACTTACTGTAAAAAAATTGTATATGTCACGGGTGGGCGTAACTGACCACTGCGTAACACCCTCAAAACAGGGACCGTGGTTCAAACTGTCCAGTCAAACCAGGAGTTGCGCACATGAACCTCACACTGTCACGACCGGTGACAGAATAGAGCCCAGCTAAGTAGCATCGTCCGTATTACTAGAAGGTATTGTACCAGGATTAATTGCGCATTGTGACGAGTCCCGGTCCCTGCTACTGAGAGTGACTCCTGATAGTAGAATTTGACAGCGGTATGAGGTTTGGTGAAGCCAAAAGGTTCACAACAGCAATGTCTAAGGGTTATGGCAATCTTGAACTAGAATTGCTTACTGGAGAACTCCCAGAGTCATTCAGAACGAGTGACTATATCCTGACACCATTCTCAGAGTGCTCGCGTTGCTATGCCTTCGATCGTCCCAAGCATCTTGCATGCTGCAATGTGGCCTGTCTGTCTTGGTGTTATAGCACCTGGGCTTCGCCCCTGACTGGTCTGCTTCGCTTCCTTAAGTGATTGGCTCGGCGTTCCCTGCGCCCCGCATATGGCCTTCAGACATGTGACCCGTTGTTGGTTAATTCGTGACACGCATATACAGAACTTGAAGTATTCTTATCTCTAAATAAAGCGGCGCAAAACTGACGCGACTGCGCTCTTCTAGTCCATCTATACACTGTATCACTCCCCAATAGTTTCCCTAGCGACAAGATGCAAAGGTCCGGCGAAAGAAGCAACAGGTTTGAGAAACAGGCCAGCCGGCACATCTCCATGACTGTCTGCATGCGGGTATGCATCAATTTTCCACCGAGAACGCCTAGGTCGCCGCCAGCTTCGCCATCATCTGCGTCCGTAATCAAAATCAGCATGAGCGACTAGGAGGGGATTAGGCCGGCGTTTCGCATGCAATACGTACCGCAGCTTGCTTGGGGGAGATGTATAGCGCGCTAGCTGTCGCTAGAATGGTTGGTTCTTGACTAGGCTCAGTCGGAAGTGTCTCGATGTGCCCTTCAACCCAGGCTTTCCTCCCCTCCACCTTGACGGTCGTAGCCCGGAGCACCAAGTACTGGTCAGCCATGGCGGGCGCCTTGTAGTTGATCTCCAGCTTGGCCGTCATGCCCACGTTGAAGGGCAAGACGGGAAAGCAGCACCTCGCCAGGCCTTCGTCCAGCATGGTTGCCAGGAACCCGCCGTGGATGATGCCCACGTGGCCGCACAAGTCCGTCCCGACATGCTGGATCTGCACGTAGCTCTTCCCTTTCCGGTGGGTCCAGCTGATGGGGGGTATGGCCATCTTGCCTGGCCCAACAAGCGTGCCGCCCGTCAGGTTGTGCCTCCGCCACGACGGCGGTATTTTGAGATGCGGACGGGACTCGATGTAGTCTGGATTCGAGCGCAGAGACGCCGTGAGCGGGTGCGAGTGGATGAAGGCCTCCTTGGCCTGCGCATCCTCGTCTTGCGGTATGAACGCGTCAAGCGTGTCGGCATCCGTCGGTGGGGACAAGAATGTCGCTGCCGACTCATAAGCGGGCGCCGCAGCCATGGTGAAGCCTAGGGCAGTGAAGAGGAGAATACGGCCTGTAACGGAGGCTGCGCGGCGGAAGAACGGGGTGTGCTTGACTGTCGGCGAGACGTTACCAGGTCCTAGGGTCAAGAGCCCAGGCCAGGGCGTTAGTCTCTGGACGAATGACAAGGGGAAGACACAGTAGAGGAGGTGGTGGGATCCAAGATTTACCAGGCGCAGTGGTGAGAAAACGCAAGGTCGTCTGCTGGGTAGGACGGGCAAGATTCGATGCCAACAAAGAGCAAGCGCGGTGGCGCGCGGCCGAGAATATGAAGGGAGCAGACATTTTCACCAGGCTGCATCAGCGACGGACTTAGTACTCGGAGCCCGTACTTCGGACCCTTAGATGGCCGGACACCGAGTTGTTGAGATCCAGAATTGCGCCGAGTCGCCGACAGGGCCCGCAACCCACGGCATGTGAAAGGTGGGCCGGGCCCCCATGTCGTTGTGCTCAACAATACTAGCACGTGGCTCCAGCGCGCGGAACAAGGGACCTGCAGGACAAAAGTAAGCTTCGACAAGGCACCAGCGACCGTACGCCACCGTGATATACGGCCAAGGATTAAAAATGTTGAATCACGATTGAGACGCCGTGCTGCTCCGGCACCCTCTTGCTTCAAGCCTCGGCATCGCTTCTTGGGGTCCACACGTCAATGCCTCATGGGATTGGTATTGAGTTACACAACGTCAGTCAAACCCTGGTTTCAGTCAAATGGATATAGATACTACCTTAGTACCCAGCCTATACTTGGTTGGCTTGGATGACGAACTCGGACCTCTTTAGTTAATTGAGCCTATACAGTACATATAGTAATGCACATAATAAGCGAGTAACTTAGACAAGTGAGTGACCTACTTTCTATATAATACTATACTCTAATACCTAATAATAATAAATTTACTCTACATATACTATCTAAGATGCTTTCTACTTTAGAAGCGAGCTAGATAATCCTAGCTCTCCAAGCTCTTTAAAGCAGTGAGTATCTAAGCAAATAGCTCCTATCAGGATAACGTATCTTATAAGCGAGTAACCCATATAAGCGAATGACCTACCCCCTCCTGCTACCATAACAACTATCCTCAAATGTACCGCAACATGTCACGAATATGGCCGTATGCAGAATCTGGTGGGGGCTGTTGAACTGAGTGGGTTCCTTGGCACCAAGATTCACGGACTGAGCACTGATGTTCAATGCGAGACTCTCAGTCAGCACAGATCCATCACAATGACACAGTTCCTGACATAGCGTCATATCATGGCACACTGTCTCTATATAAGGGGGTAATTCCCCTGGGAGGATTAGAGAGGACAATTTTCTGTTCCAACAAAAAAGGGACATTCTGAGACACCCTAACCCACTATCTTGATCCTTCATTTGTGTGGTCACTCTGGAATCGTGACTCCAATTCAAGCCTCATTTTCATACCTCAATCTGTTCAATACCATTTGGTTGATCTAAGCTTACTTGAGCATGTAACTGTTGGCTGCCCAACAGGGGCGCGAGGGGAGCGTCCCGAGCCAATCATTTAGAACAGGGGTATAGCCAATTACGACGGGAGCGCGAAGTCAAGCATTCGCTCCATGGAAGGAGCGATGGGAGCGACGAGCGCTCCCAGCGAACCAGGAGCGACAGGAGCGAACTTCGCTCCTTACGCTCCTAAGGACAGTAGGAGGGGAAGCTGTATATAGTTCACGATCCCAGAGCCTACGGGTATCACAGTAGCTTCCTCAGTAAGCAATACAAGCAGTCAGCCATATCTACTGTTGAGACAATTGCTTGTGCACTGGTTGTGAACCCTTTGGCTTCACCGAACCTCACCCCGTTGTCAATTATAACCTTCAGGAGTCCCTTTCAGAAGTTGGGACATTGAGATTCGTCACACAACAACACTAAGAACTAACTACAATTACATCGGAAGCAGGTACGTCAGACAATTCTGCAGCTTCCTGACAGGTGCGAGCGTTATGTCCGGGCTTACCGCATACGCCACAGCAGTGAATCTTCGTATGCGCCTTCCCCGTACCACCACTACCCAGCTGCATTTCTTGCGCCACCTCCCTACCCATGGCCTTCTGGTCAAGTAGATCCTTTGCATCTTGAACCGCAAGTGATCCCCCAAGCCATACGCGTGTCCTTTTCGCTCTCTGGCGCTTACTTAGTGCCCCGTTGGCCTTACGAAGCGAAGAGACCTCTGACTGAAGGAGGGTCATCTGGTGCATTACAGCCATCGTACCCTTGGCAAGCTGATCCACAGCAGCTAATATTGAAGTTGGAGAGCTGTTTTAATAATTGGCGATGCGAGTCTTGAGGAGCGTTGACTGCGAGTTGGTTTCTCGGGGGTTGTGTGGCGTCTGGAATACCCAATGTTGTGGACTGCTGGCCCGCGAGGTTAGGGGTATTGGTGTATGGAGCCTCACATCCAGCTTGGAAAGCACCCTCTCTGGATTGTACGGCACAAGGCCAGCACCTGCAAAACCAGCCCGTATATTCTTTTCTGTCATGGAGGCAAAGAAGGCCTCGCGGAAGGCACCGAGGAACTCGAGCTTGCTCACGTGGTTGATATGCATGCGCATCAACTCCTCGATCTGGCGTCGTATGCCTGCTTCAGCGGTCCAAAGCAGCCAACATCGAGTGGCTGAAGGAGGTGAGAAGAGTGCGGGGGCATACAGAGCGTGATGATGTTGTTTTGCTAGCAGTAAAGCTCAAATTCGGTCGAGTGGTTGGCTCTCGTGGCCATCGAGGATTAACAACCGGTATACACCCTTTGCTCAGGGTGCTGTATGGTAGTCGAAGTGCTTGATCCAATCCAGACCTACCGCATTGGTAGTCCAGCCATTATCGGTAGTCGCGATGCGCCAGTCGACTGGGAGGTTGCACTCGGTGTACCAGTTGGCGAGGTGATACTGCGCGGCTAAGATGATGAAGGGAGGGATAGCCCAGCCAAGGGCATTAATGCCCTGGATCACCGTTGCCCATTCGCGGTTGCCAGGCTGGGCCAGCTTGGCCCTGCTACGGCCATCTGAGGTCGTAACCACCATACCCGCGAAGATAATGCCCATCATGAACCCAGTCTCATCGAAGTTATAGACATCGTCAGGTACAATGCCGTACTTGGCCATGACGTTCCGTACGAGGGCAAACCACTGGCTAATGACATTTGGACCCTCGCACTTGGCCCTCTGGTAGTCGTATTTACGCGAATAGCGCGTTCGGAGCTCTGGCTGGCGTTTGACGAAGTTGTGTGCCCAGAGCTTTCCGACAGGTGGCGCGTCGCGTACGCGTAGCAGTTAGTTGGCCATATCTTCTACACCGCGCAGTCTCGGTGGGAAAGCTCGTGCACATAGCTCAATAACGTATTGAACAATAGCATTCTCTTCGGAATCGGTAAGCCGGCGCGAGTTGGGCGTAGTATCGCATCGTGCAGGCTTGCCGGCGCGTCATCGCGCTAGGGTTCTACGGTCGACCCCATAGATCTTAGCTGCAGCTCACTCGCTTAGTTTCTCATCGTTTTCGAGAGCTTCGAGGGCTAAGATTAGCCGAGCCTCTTTTAAAGTAGTGGGCATCTCGGATGTAGGGAAAATGTGTTGTTGAGTGCAGAAGTGTCGCCTGGCAGGGGGGGTGTCATTCGCTTATATAGGTCACTCGCTTATAAGGTACGATATATAGAGTTAATAATCAAACTTTTAGATGATCACATGCTAGTAGTCTTATATAATATGGTCCTTTAGCTAACTCATATATTATTGTACATACACCGCTGTGCCTCAAGCTAACTCATATAGGTTTATAGATCTAAGAGAAAAGCCGATAGCTTTGAATATCAATTAGACCTATCTATAGTAGGCTGAGTCTAGAGTGATAGTTCTTGCTATCGAAAAGAACGAGCTGATCTACTCCAACAAAGGCTGAAGGAAGCAGCTAAACCTAGTCAACTTAGGCTACCTATATGGCCAAGGCTTCATTACCATACAGCCTACACTCTTGAGCCGATTTCTTGGGTTCTGGCTAGATTAGAGACTAGGTTAGAAGGCCCACTAAGAAGCCGTTGAAGGAAAGCTAAAAATACCAAGACTTTACACCCAGGACTTTACACTATTCAGAATAGCTGCTAAGACTTAGGGCTTAGCTCTAGCTAAGGCCCGAGAGGTCTATACTATGTGCATTCGCAGTGCCTTAGCCTATAGAGCTTCAAGCTTCCACAGGCCTACCCTCATTGACTGTGACGGGGCATAAGAACTGAGCTTGCGTATCCTCTAGTATTAGTGTAGTTGCACGAGGAACCAAACTGTGGGCAGGGTGCACCTTTCAGGGAAACCCTGCAGGAGAGCTGCGCACTGACCACTTGCAAGTCCCACCACTGGGCTTGCCAGCTCCTCATCGAAGCTATAGGACTGCAATCCTAACCCTGGCACGGGCAATGCCCATGACATTGGGGGTCAGCTAAAGGGCATTGCAAAAGACCTCCATAAGGTGCATGTCACGGGATTCCCCGTTCCTGTTCTCGTGGTTATGTCATATGCTTGCGGTTATGCATACGTCATGGGGTCTGATCATACGTACTATGGTCATGCTTACGCATAGGTCTCTGCTCCAGTACTTAAGGTCTGGTTGCACGCCCATTCCTGTCATCTAGCTCTTGCTCTCGTTGTGGCAATATCGATCTTGTATGTGCGAGCTGACCAGACCTTGGGTGGTGCCCGTCACAGTATTGTTACATATAAGTGACTTGGAAGTTTACGCTTAAACTCGGCTAACAACCGTAAGTCGATCTTAACTGATGAATTGACTTGATAGAACAGTATAAGCAGCCCAACTACCTGGGCTTTTTGGTTTCCTTCTCGAAAATGGGATAAGAACTTTATCAATCTTAGGACCTATAAGAAAGGTACCATTTCAGTTATGATTTGAGCTGGTATATAGATAGAAAGGAGGACCTATATTATTGTCATGGAACACGACTATCAAACCTCCTTAGAAAGAAGGTTAGAGTGGTCACGATCGAGCGGGACACCCCATCGACCGGGACACTTTTTCCTTCACTATAACCACCCAACTTCAAGACGCGTTTTCTCTACCAGAATAATGTCCGACAGCTTCCCAGAAAACCGAGTTCTTCTCGCGATCAATGCGATACGATAAACACCGGGGTTGAGTATCCGACGCGCTGCAGAGATATACAACATCCCCAAGTCGACAATTGCTGCGAGATTGAAGCGCCGGGCTGCAAAGTCCGACAGCTGCAACGGCCGTTCGAATTTGACGAAGATCGAAGAGGAGGTGATCATCCCATATATACTCGACCTAGTTCGCGAGGGTTTTCGCACCGGATTGTCGACGTTGGTGATATCGCCAATCTTCTGCTTCGGAAACGCGGTGCGCGACACGTCGGAAAGAACTGGCCAGACCGCTTCGTTGCACGACGTCCAGAGCTAAAGACGCGTTTCAATCGCGTCTATGACTATCAGAGAGGCCTCTGCGAAGACCCTGCAATTATCGAGCCATGGTTCCGACTGGTTGCCAACATGCGAGCGAAATACGGCATCCTCGATTGCGACTTCTACAACTTCGACGAGACCGGCTTTATGATGGGCATGATACGGCCTGGGATGGTGGTTACACGCTCCGATCGGGTCGGCAAACCAAGGCCATTCAGCCAGGCAATCGAGAATGGGCAACAGCGATTTGCAGTATCGCTGGCGACGGCTATGTGGTGCCGCCTTTCTTGGTGGTGAAGCGCCGTTTCCACCTCGCCAGCTGGTACCCTGAGCACCAGATTCCCGACGACTGGGCCGTCGCAACAACAACCAATGATGGACAGATAACAAGACTGCTCTGGAATGGCTACAGCATTTTGATGAGCACACTAAACACCGTCGGAAAGGTGTATATCGGATGCTAGTACTTGACGCCCACGGGAGCCATATCAGCGCCGAATCCAACGACTATTGCAAGGAGAACAACATTATAACGCTCTGTCTTCCTCCCCATTTGTCGCACCTTACACAGCCTCTCGATGTTGGTTGTTTTAGCGTCTTGAAGAAGATGTACGGTGCCGAAATTGAGCTCTTCATCAAGGCCCGGATTACGCACATCACCAAGCCCGAGTTCTTCCTTGCATTCAAAGCTGCCTTCTACCGGACTTTTACCCAAGAAAACTCTCTCGGGGGTTTTCGAGGGTCTGGACTTATCCCCTACGACCCGCAGGCCGTACTTTCGAAGCTGGATGTCAAGTTGCGGACGCCAACACCCCCTGGGACCCCTTATGAACCACAAACACCATGGGTCTCCAAGACGCCCTAAACTACCAACGGGGCCCTTTCGCAGTCTACCCTTATCAAGGATCAGATTGTGAGACACCAAGGAAGCTCTCCAACTCCGATTTTAGCCGCTGTCGACCAGCTTTCGAAGGGAATACAAGCGGTTTCCCATCGGGTCATCCTTTAAGAGGCCGAGGTACGGACACTTCAGGAGGCCAACGAAGCACTTTCCAAGCGCCGCAGAGCTAAACAGACGCGTCTCTAGGATGGTGGGGCTATTAATGGAAGCCAAGCTAGATAAAGAATGGCAGAGAAGGGTATGGTGGACGAGGAAGAGCGCGTTGAGGAGGAAATTGAAGGACCATCAAAGAGGCGTCGGACGGGTTTACGGCTCTGTGGCATATGCTGCAAGACTGGCCACGATGCAAGGACATGCCCAGAGGCTGGGGAAATAGATTAGCTCAAGCGAGTCTGAGTGATTTCAATTGATCGCATCAGATTTTGGTGGTATCACGGGATTGATGGGCAGTCTTGGGTATGGTGTTGAACTGCAATAGTTGCGCAAGGAACCAGAACTGTGGGCTGTGCGCAGCTACGGGAAAACCCTGCAGGGCAGAGCTACGCACAGACCATCTTCCTACATAACGTAGCCCTAACCCTGTCACGGGACTATCCCGTGACAGGTGGACTTTTAGCAGTTTGTAGTGGTGTGGTCTAGAAAAGTGTCCCGCTCGATGGTGGACCACGTTATAGGCTTTTAGAGCTATTAATAAGCACTAAGACAGGGCGTCCTTCCTATCTATAATGGTACAAGGCATTTCAGCAGGACAATGCTCGGGTATATACTTTAGCGTCTTCGACTAAGTTGCTCCTCAACTACGTAATCAAAGTCCTTGAAGACTAGCCAGCTTATAGCCCAAATCTCAATCCAATTGATGTCACGGGTAGGCGTAACTGGCTATTGCGTAACATCCTCAAAAGAGGGACCGTGATTCGAACTGTTCAGTCGAATCAGGAGTTGCGCACATGAATCTCACACTGTCACTACACGTAACAATTGAGCATTTCTGGGCCCTGTTGAAATGGAAGATGAAAAATTATACTTTGATATATAGGAGCTCAAGAAAAATCAACTAGATATTGCCATGTTCATTAGGTGTCTGAAGGTGTATTAGAGGATGATTACCTAGGCTTAGTGTTGGAAAGCTAACAGCTACGGATTGACCGCACCGTAGTGATTGGGTACCAAAAAATGATGGGCAGTACTCATTTGATAATGATGTTCCCGTTATTGGAAGTGATGGCACTTGAAAACTCGGAAACTGGGTTGCCGGTGTCGTATCCTGGTTAGGGGTAATACACGGCTGTTAGATAAGGTCTGGGAGATACCCAGGTAACTAGAGGAAGGGAAGAGAACTCAATTGATAGATTCTGGGCTGGTCCCGAGTACTCGGGAAAAGTTCACTGTTTTAACGGCTCCTATTAAGCGTGTCAACGTGGAATCGTGGCTGTTGGCTTTCCACACCTGTCTGCGTTCTTCCAGAAAGTTACCTCCTGTTCCTGACCCTGAGAATCCTGGTGCCAAGCCATTAGTCACCCCTGAACTGCCATCTCTGACCACCTGCCAAATCCAACAACTATCATATATGCAGTAAGCCTAGCTATAATGCGCGCACTTGATAAGAGAGTACGGATTACTGATCTATCTATTTCTAATATAACGTATATTATCAGCGAGTAGATAATACCAGCGAGCAGATCACTCTAGCAGCTTTCAGTGGAGCTTACACCATGAGATAATAAGAAATTATTAGATCGCACTATTAATTTTCTAACGTCTTATTGCATGCACTTCTATCAAAATCCTGCTAGAGTGATCCGCTCGCTAATATGATCCGCTCGCTAATATGATCCGCTCGCTAATATGATCCGCTCGCTAATATGATTCGCTCGCTGATAATGTACGGTAATCATTTTTATCATTATTATCGCGGAATATCTGGGTACCATTGTCATAGGGTATCTAGAAGTGGGTCACTCGCTTGTCTGAGGCAGTCGTTTATCATATACGTTAGGAGCGTATGTCTCCACCCAGCGGTCGAGATGTTGAAAGCCTACAAGTAAGTCACTGCAAGTGGAGGGAAACGGCGGAATGAAAACGGACAAGTTAAACATTGATGCAGTGATGCACGTGGATGACCTGCGTCACCCATGCTCCCAACACATCTGGATACTTGGATGACGCAACCTGATTGATCAACACCTAAAGTATTCAACAACACCAAACCCTCATTTCTCGCCGTACCGCAGGGCATTTCCACGCCGTGACATCCGATTGGCATTGCGTCTGCACGATGGTAAGCAGACAAGGGAAACAGACAGGGTGTGCATGAATTATACTGAATCAACAACGCCTAACGCGTAGGCGACCGCCGAGACCGCAAACCTCGGGGACCCGCATGAGCCGAAGGAGGAGTCCATCAGGGTGTATAAACAGGTTGAACATGAGCTGAAGCGGTCCCTCGTGCGCACTCGTCACGAATACAACAGTAAGCCGGGAATCATGGTTGCCCAGAAAAACGACAAGTCATCCCGCTTACGCCAGAGGCAGAACATGAGCCAGAGTACTTTGCTACCGTCCAGCACCTGAGCGATGCACAGTTGACGGGCTTTGGGGCAGACGACATTCAGCAAGTCCGTGTCGCCGTCACTGCGTACGGCGTGCACCTGTTCGGCAAGGTGCGCATCCCGGCCTTGCCCGACGAGGGCCCAGCCTACATTCACTTCCGAGCCTTCACTGGAGGCCCGGATGACCAAGCGACACTCCACTCCATCCGTAGGTTTTTCCGGCCGTCTCCTTCGATCCTCCTCAATCCATCAGGGCGATGCCGCCCAGAAGACTCGAGACTGACTGCGCACTCTAGACACCGAGGATAAGGAGGAAGAGGGTGGCGGACATACATACCGTGCAATCTTTACAAAGGACGATGCGTTGGAATGGTTCGATACCTAAGGAATGAGGACCTGTGTACGATCGCTCGTAGTAATCGAGTCACGGCAAACTGACTGCAGAACAAGCGCCCCCCTATTTTGTGACTTTCCACATAATGACACACCTGTAACTTTAACTGCGCAGTGCCCGGCTCGCCAAGCCAGAATCAGTCGTCCAGGTCGTCCTCTCCGGCCAGCATCTCAGCGTAATCATCGGCCGATGCAAAAGTCGGAAGGCTCTTCAGCTCCTTCCTCCTGAGCCTGCCCCCAAGGCCCTTTTCAACCATTCCCTTCCCGGCTTCGTCCTCAGCCTCGTCTTCGCCCTCATCTACGGTCTCTTCCTTGTCCTCGTCCTCGTCCTCTTCCTCCTGCTCCTCCGAATCGTCAAAGATGCCTTCGAAACCATCGTCGCCTTCCGAGCCATCCGATTCCACGTCTGATATCTTCCTATTGGCATTGAGCCCATCAACCTCCATATCATTATCCGAATAATCATATTCCTCCAGATCCATCTCGTCGTTTTCATCGGTATCAGCGCCTTCAATCTCAGGCTGAGAGTTGACCAACGCCTTCCAGATCTCCTCCTCCCCAGCCTCTTCGACCTCTGATCCGACCTGATCGTCGGCCGTCTTCTTGACACGGGCGGCCTCTCTCGGCTTGCCGACTCGGGAAAAATACTCGTGGAAGAAGACGTCCTCGGCGGAAACCTGCTCGGGCTTCAAATTCCAGAAGGAGGCCGAGTTGACAGCCGGCTGCTTCTTGGCAGAGGCTTTGCTCGATGCCACAATATGTGATGCAGCGCCGGACGCGAGAATCGGCTGCATGATGGAGCCACCGCGCTTGGATTCCTCTGCCTTGGGGTTGCGGTAGACGAACTTGTCGAGGAAATGAATCAAGGTATGGCTAGCCAGATCTGGTTTGGGCAGCGCCTTCTGTCGAGCCAGGAGATTCGAGGCGAACACGCATACCGAGGGGTGATAGTGGGCGAGGTGCGGCACCTGTGGTCCGTCAGTCAACCACATCTTCTGTCATGTTTTTGTTGCAAGGTGGATCGCATATGCGGCACTCACCAGCTCCCAGAGGCAGCTCCGGTGCGCGTTGCTGTGTTCAGGATTTCGTTTCCGGCCGTCGTAGGCCGCAGCGCGTGGAGTGTTCGTCTCAGACGGGGCCTCGAGGTTGTCGAGACCATCCTCTCGGACGTCCCGGTAGACTTCCTCGCCATCGTCATCGTTGTCTTCGGGTTCATCTAGCAAAGTGCGTAAATCGGGGAACCTCTCTTGTAATTCGGCAATCATGAAGAGAATGCCGCATGTGAAAGATGGCTGGTGCAGACCGAGGATTTGGATTAGCCTCTTGACGAACGCCTTAACCCGGCGAACGTCGACATCATTCTTCATGGCCCGGAACAAGAGGTTGAGGTAGAGGGCGTGCTTGGAGGACGAGACGAGCCGCGGGTCGAGGAGCGACTCGTAAAGAGTGCGGTAAAACCTATCAACAGCAAGCTGTTTTGACGCCGCGAGCTGTTGGATGAGCATCAAGGCCTGAACACTCGTGTTGAGATTGGAGGAATGGGTGATCCTGAACAGCGTGTCGAGGTGCTTCTCGAGTGTCGAGTCCTCGGCCGTGGCGAAGGGAATTGCTCGGTTAACGCCAGTCAGCAATGACGAAACAAGCTTCTGTGCTGTCTCCTGCTCGTTCCCGGGAGCCAGGCCGGCGGAAGCACCATTTTTCTTTGACGGTTTTCGGGGCTTTCCCCATCTCTTGTCGCCGTCACGAGCTTCGAAGTCGTTCAAGGCTCCAGTCTTCAACAGAGAAACGAAGAGGTCAAAGTAGATGCGAAGCAACGTGTCGGCGACACCAGGCTCCTTCATGCTTAGGATTGTCTGGTTCAGTGTGTTGATGGCGGTGTACTTCGTTCGCAGATTTTGTCCCGGTTTCAGCAGCACTTCCTGTTCCACGGCGTTGATGACAATCGCCTTCATGCCGGGGTGGATGTTGAGCAGCTGCAGGATGAGATACGAGGCTCTCGATGCAATCTTGCGTTCTCGGTCGCCGAGCTTGTTCACCAACAGCCGCAGCAGATTAGCCTCTTGTTCGGGCTTGCTCTTGAGCAGCCCAAACACGAAGTCGAGGGCACGAGACCGCGAGTACTCAATCTCGTCAGAGCACCATATCTCGAGCAATTGGATGATGCGAAAGTAAGCACTTTTGAGCCAGTCTTCGTATGCCCACATCACCAAATGCGGCGGGGTCAATTTCCCGGGGAGTTCACGCCCTTCCGTCCAGGAAACGGTCTGCTGTTCGTCTAGAGCCCCAAGCAAAGCAGGCTGGGCGTTGAAGGGGCGGAGGCGGCGGTCGGCAGGGAGCACCGTCCCGTTGCCCAGCAGATCGACTATAGCTCCCAAAGCGGCAATTGCCTGACCACGACTCCTTTTCCCCGCCAGGTTGACCAGGTTCTCAAAAGCCTTCCGGTTGTGCAGCGGCGACTCCTGAATCGACAGCGTCAAGGCTGAGACCTTATCCGACAGTGTTCCAGACGACATAATGGTGGATATGAACTTGGAGGTTGAGCTGGATGCTTGTTTCGCGAGATAGTTGGACGAATCTTCTTCCAACAGCTTCTCCGCATATGCCTTGAGATTCGATACGGAAGCAGAGTACTGCTTGCCGCTGCCGGCTACCCCTGGAGGCAGGCCTTCCAAAGAAAGCCCATGCCAATCAGGACGAGGCTCAAATATCTAGGGACTTGTTAGACGATGACGTTCGAATCCCAGCACTGCGAATCACCGTGCAACGCTGCTTACTGACCAGCTTCCCAGACTGCTTCCCCTGCCGAGCTTCCTGTGGTGCGGGGGGTGGTGCGACGTCCTCTTCATCGGTTTCAGGATCGTCATCGGCGATACTGTCCTCTGCGTCTCCGGCAGCATCCACTTCCTCTTCGGTTTCGAGATCTTCGTGTTTGTGGTGGAACTTGTTGAAGCCGAGGCTGGATGCGAACTGCGCAAGCTCATCCCGTAGGGACTTGTCGACTTCAAGTTGGGATGGGGCATTTGGACGAGCCGCATCACCGCCTTCATCACCAGAATCGACGTTAGCAACCAATTCTAGGTCATTTTCATCTCCTCCGAGAGCCAATATTTCGTCAAGCAGGGTCGCCGAATGCTTATTCTTCAGTCCTTCGCCGGCATGTTTGGAGGGGTTGTTATCTGCAGGCCGAGTCTGGTGCCGCTTCGAGTTGTGCTCGTCTTCGTTGTCGCGCTGTCTCTTTCGCTTTGGTGGACGCTGCTTCTCAGACTCGGCGAGGGACTTGTCGATTTTGCTTGTCAGCTGGGCCAGTGCAGTCTCGTCAAAGCTGGGTTTATCGGCCTTCTTCCTCTCCTTCGCCCGTTTCGAACCCATTGCGGCCGTTATGCGTATTGTCGCACAGTGTTGCGGTGGATTGGGACTTCCAGGCAGCTCTTGGGCGGTTCATGGGCTGGAAAATGAAGAAGCAAGCAGCGAAAATCGACGCGATTGTTCGACTCTTCGCGGGCGCTGTGTGAAGGGGAAAAAAAAAAGATGCGAACCCCTGTCGGCAAATGCAAGTAGGTGGATAGAGATAAGATAACGTTACAAAGCTCTCCCAATTTCCAAATCAACGGGCCTCATTCACGGCGGGAGTCACAGCAATCAACACAATCTCTGTCTTCTTAGCTGTAGCCTGGCAGCGGCGGGCCAGCGGCTATACTCCTTTATCTCACTACAGCGGCGCTGCAAAGTCAGGTGGTAACATGACTCAAACGTCGCCATCGGCTTCCCAATAAGGAGATAGAAGAGCGGAAGCAGCAAAAGCAGCAAAAACACATGATTGGAGACGGGACCGCGTATCCGTATATCGATGCAATAGACCTCGATATCGAGGGCAACAGCTAAAGCATGGTCCCGCCCGCCGTAGCCCGCCTCTCACGGGTTTGGTTTCCAAGCGGCGGTATCGCCGTCTCCGGGGCCGAAGATGCTCACTCCAAGCTGATCCGTGCCGGCTTCCTGCGCCAATCGAACGCCGGCATGTTCCATATGCTGCCGTTGGGTCGGCGGGTGCAGGACAAGGTCGAGGGCTTGGTCGCGAGTCACATGGAGGAACTGCTGGGTAAGTCGTAGATGGGATCCCTTCTGGGTCTGATGATGTGCGAGACAACGTTGCTGACACACCGCCAGGCGCGTCTAGAGTGTCGTTGTCCACGATATCCGCCGAAGCTCTCTGGAAGAATAGCGGCCGGCTGGAAAAGGTGGCGTCTGAAGTTCGTGTCCCGCCCCCATCCGCGCCATGCAGAAGACAGCGTTGGTGCTGACTATCCTATCGTCCTGCAGCTGTTCAGGTTCTCCGACCGCAGAGATGTGCCCTATTTGCTCGCCCCTACGCATGAAGAGGAAATCACGTCTCTGGTGGCCCGGACGGTCAAGTCATACAAGGAGCTTCCCCTCAGGCTGTATCAAATCACACGCAAGTACCGGGATGAGCTTCGTCCGCGCCACGGCCTCCTCCGCGGCCGAGAATTCATCATGAAGGACCTGTACACTTTCGACAACAGCACTCAATCGGCTCTTGAGACGTACGAGAACGTGCGTGCCGCCTACAGCAAAATCTTTGCCGCCTTGAAGCTACCTGTCGTACCGGTGAAGGCCAGCTCTGGCGATATGGGAGGCGACTTGAGCCACGAGTATCATCTACCGACGCCTCTCGGAGAGGATTGTGTCGTCAGTTGTGCCGACTGCGGCTATTCGGTTAACGAGGAGATAGCGAGCTCCCCCATATCCGACTTCGTTCCTGACGGCATTTCCTACAACACTTCGTATGAGATTTGGCGGGGCATCACGAAGGACCGGACAAAGCTGGTCAATGTTTGGTATCCCAAGTGGACAAGAACGCTGAGTAGCCAGAAGTTGCGCGAGCACACGGCTCAAGACGTCAACCTATCCGTCGTGAAATCCATCGAGCCAGATCTCGATGCAGGGGTGGAAGATGCGCTTCCGCTCTGGGCGGCCGCGGTCGCCGCCGAAACGAGAACCGCGGTCAAGGTGGTCAATGTCATCGACAGCCGCCTAGGAACTTCGTTTTTGGACGCTCTAACTGGCCACTCGCCAGATATTTCGAGCTGGCCTTCTGAGCTGAACCCACCAATATCCTCTCTGCCCGTTTCATCACACCATGAGGATGCTCGCGGTGTACCACTTAACCTCTTGCGAATCCGTACGGGCGACAAGTGTCCTCAGTGCGTGATAGGCAGCCTCAAAGTGGACAAAGCTATGGAACTCGGCCATACCTTCTTCCTTGGGACAAGATACTCGGAGCCGCTGGGAGCCATGACTACCATCCCGCCCGCCTCGCATCCATCCCCCATGCAGATGGGATGCTACGGAATTGGCATATCCCGCGTTATAGGAGCGGCTGCTGAGCACCTAGCCGACAAGACCGGCCTGAACTGGCCGATCGCTATGGCGCCATATTCGTGTGTCGTTGTTCCCGGAAACGACTGCGACGACGGCGACGCCGAACAAGTTTACAACCAGATCAGCAGCATTTCGGGACCTGGGAGGGGCCTCGTCGATGTCATTCTCGACGACCGGAAGAGGAGTCTTCCCTGGAAGCTTACTGATGCAGACCTCATTGGTTTCCCAGTACTCGTGCTACTTGGCAGGGAATGGCGCACAACTAAGAGAGTAGAGGTGCAATGCCGAGCGCTGGGATTGAAGCAATTCGTTGAAATAGCGGATCTGCCCACTCTGGTCGGGCAACTGCATGCGCAATTGTGATGGCTTAGTTCTCACCGCTTGGGAGAGAGTGCATAAAGGCCTTGAGTAGGTACTTAAATATGTTTCAAGTGCTACTTGAATGCAGTATTGTTTAATATTATATGTGTTATGTATATAGATACAAGATGCGTTGTTTGGCATTCTATCAGTAGAAGGAGGGTGTCACGGCGGGACAGGCGGACAATCCAATGACAATTGTATTCGGGCTAAACTACAGTCTAAGCTCTATTCCGTCAGGTACGGGCAGGCTTGATTGTCAAGACGTAACTCGAGGAGCTACGAACAGATCTCGCGGCAGCGAGGTGCAGAATATTTAACCCACAGGGGCCCGTGCTTTCCACATGCCGGGTTCCACCCGTGAGTCATAGCAGGCACGGCGCAATCGCCGTGACAGAGGGGTCGGGAAAGGTTTAACCTAACAATATTCGCAAGAACCTTGCTTATGCTACAAATTGAGGCTCGAAATATATATAAAATGCAACATTACGCCTCTAATTAGAAGACTTTGACTGGAAAATGATATATATACTGATCTTACACCGCAAGGGCAATCGCCCCGCCCAGTTAGGGCAAGCGGTACCTTCCGCGCTATTTTATATGCAAGGCATCCGCTCTCGTGCTACGTCCGAGCGGCTTAGTTGCCGCTCGGGCGCTCCCAGCAGTCCCTCCTATCCAGCAGTCAGGAACTCACCTTTCTGGCTTAGTAATGACGAAGGCATAGGCAGCCGTCCTGCCGTATTCGTCACTTAGCTACATAACTCAGACTATACGCTTACGGCTCCAACATAGTGTTAAAGCCCGGTGCACCTTTATCTCTTCTTTTCTTAGCCCCTTCGGGGTTTCTAGTCCTCCCGTCTTCCTCAGGGTCTTCCTCTACTCCCTTACGTTCCAGCTCCATCGAGAGCCTATACTTGTAACGGCACGGCTGGTCGGGTCAGCAACGCCCGGCCACAGGTGCCAGTTGTTACAGCTTCATAGTGCAGCCAGTGATTCAATCTGTCGGATTGAATCATTTGTACCCTTTTCAGGAATATGGCGCAACGGTATGGCTGCACGTTGTGTGCCGTTACAATACTCAGCCAGTCTCTCAAGGCTCATGAGCCAGGTGATTATCCGCGCTGCGCTAAAGCGGTTTCCAAGCGCTCTCATCAGGTCGTGTCTATCCCTAAGCTGAGGTCTCCCGTCTTTGAGTCCTTAATTATAATATTTAAGCATCACGTGGGCCACTATACATGAGGCTCTCTCGCAGTAGTAGAGCGGTATAGGCACTCTAGGAACCCGCCTATTTTAAAAAAGGAGTCGTTTTAGGCTAATTACTCTCGTATGAGCATATATTAGCAGCGAGCTCTTCGCCTTAGTTAGCCTCTTAAAAGCTCTCAGCGGTTGTACTATAGAATTGAGCATATAGAGACTGGCTGCTTCGCTATAGCGGCGTAGGCATAACGTATCCACGCGCTCTATTTATGTCGGGGTTCATGGCAGGGACCCTCTGAGGCCCTGGGAGAGAGAGTACTTAAGCAAGTAGTTGTGCAGCAATGCAACGATCGGTGCATTGGCGGATCTGTTGGTCTACTTAACACAGGAGTTACTGTGCAGCCTCTGACAATTAACCCTGCTCGACGAGTTTTCTATTCCTTGATTATAGGTAGGTCAACATCCAATTTCACCCATCTTATATAAGGCGCTTACTAGGCGCTTTCGATGCTCGACTATCGACCGCCATCCATCGTATATGCCTATAGCCATTCCTTGACCCAGTCTTGCTTCCTAAGTTCAAATACTGCCGGTGGGGGTTTAGGGAGCCTCCAGGTCCTACGTCGCTATAGCTAGGAAGCTATAGTAGCGCTTACGTTACATAAGTGCTTCACTATCCCAGTTCTCTATAGCCGCTGCTCGGTTTTTACCACCTATCTATTGAGATATAGGTTGATAGGGTACCTAGGCTTCGCTCTCTACATTACGAATTGGGGTCGCCTTCTAAGCTCCTGTTATAACAACCCTTACATAGAGTGCCAATATTGCTTGGAAGCTGTATATAAAGTTTTTTCGCAGCATTATCTTCGAGCGGAGTTGGTATATGCTAGGCTGTTGCTCCGTATAGTAGAACGGTTCTAATTGCCATCGTATATATCTCACAAGCTTGCGACAGATATACGCTATAGTCTTCGTAGCAAGTCTTGTAAGCGTAAGCGTCTAAGTCGCCATCTCTACGCCTATTCATAATAAGCTTTGAAGAATAGGTCACGGTCAAGCCAGGCCCTTAAGGAATCTAGCCCACTCGATAGAAGCGAGCTCTAGTCGCTCGACTCCTAGAATAGCAACCTTTCTCTATCTAGGCACAGCGTCATATAAAATGGATAAGTTCGCTCTTTATAGGCTCGAATTATTATCCCTTTCCTCGGTCCACTCCTTGCATACCCGGTAGGCACTCTCTAGCGTCCGGCAGCAAGCTGGTATATCGTGGCTAAAGGCTAATAGGTTGGTGTCAACTATATATCGACGGTTATCAGCCCTACATATGCTGCAAGGGCGCGGTATAGGGGGACTACAAAGAGATTAAAGAGGATTAGAGAGAGTAAGAACCCTCATAGTATCCCATATATAAGTATAATCCTCTGGGATCTCTTGCCATCAAAGACCAAGTAAGCTGTTTTCCATTCAAAGTAGCTGCGTAGGAGCAGTATAAGCTTTCTTTGAATCCTAGACTGTAGAGCATATATAACAGCTAGGTCTAGTTAACCTAGTCGAAGTCCCCCATTAGGTCTAGTTGCAGCAACGAGGTATAGACGCCACTGCCCTACGCTATATATATACCACGTCGGTTACTACCCTAGTCGCCACTTCTATTACCCGTCCCTAGAGAATGCCCATTTGCATTTAAGGAAGGATGTAATATATCTCTGCTTAGACGATACGTTCAGCTAGCGCTGCTTCGATCACCTTACTTACTGAGCTAAGCAGCGAGATAGGTCTATAGGCGCCAGCCCCCTTTTATTGCTCCATCGTCTTTCCAGGCTTCTTACATAGGACAACTACCAATGCTGCTCGAAAGCGGCGTAAAAAATGCTCTAGCGCGAAGTAGGCGTTTATAATCTTTGCAAGTACATTTGCTAGAGCTCCCTCTTTGTCATATGCCTTGAGGAAGTTATTTGACATTATATCCCCCTTAGCGGCCTTGTGTATATTCTATATATATAAATGAATTATAAGGATCACACAAGATTCTTGTTTGCCTAGATAAAACCGTCAAAAGTAACACCGTTCGCGAGCTCTGGAAAAGTCCTATCCGACTGCACCGTTTGCACGCCCGCGCAACCTGTTACGTAGCCGCAGCGGGGGTGGAAAGTAGGGCGGTTCGAGGTGCCGCAGACCTCGACGAGAAACTTTCGCCGACGCACGGACCAACAAGTCACCCGACCCACCCACAGTTGCCTAGACAACTTCCCCGCTAAGCCCCTGAACCCCTGAGTTCCCTAAGACCTTGCGCGAGACCGCTCACGCCTCCGACCAAAGGGGCAGGAAGATGATGAGCCCGGTCATGGCACTCAAAGGAACTGCTAAAGGCATAGGGCAAGACCTCCTTACAGCTGTTCGCAAATTCTATAACGCCGCCTAAAACCAAATAGGAACCATTTTACTTGCCAGCCTCCGTAAGGTAGTAGCCGAAGAACTAAAGGTAGCCGCCACTATAGCCTAGGATAAAATATCCTGGGCCGCGGTAGCCCCTTAAGAATCTAGCCCCACCTAGGCGTAAGCCGCTAGCCCAACATAGTACTAGCATGTATTAATAAGGAATTCTCATCAGAGGTAGAGAGGAATACCGGCCGACCTGGCTAGACGAACTCCATAGGAGACCGTCCAGGCGGTCAACCACGCGTCGATAAAAAAGGGGGCGATCGCAGCTCGGAAGCTCCCGAGCGGTGATACGATTGATACTTTTCAAGGTATAGCAACCAGAGACTGGCACTCAACCAACAATGGATAGATCAAGGAAGCCTTCGGACAATAAGCTAAGGAGAGTAAGAGAACCTTTGCTGTCCTAGTAAAGGGAATTTAGAAGCGAGACCTCTAGGGGACGACCGAGGATATATTCGGCAAGGCAAATGGCCTCTAAAAGGTCGACAAGGTCAAATTTAGGGTACCGAAGCACCAGGAGGTGACCCGGGCGATAGTCCTAGTGGCGCTTACCTCTCAGGAGGCCCGTAAGGCCTATGACGAGGGGGTGGTTTAGAGGGCCTAGCTACTTGACTGCGAGCCGTATTGGCCTGTACTAAGTCCAGTATAGTGCTTCAAATGCTAGAAATAGGGCTATATACAATACCACTGCAGATCAACAGCGCTATGCTCCCGGTGTAAGTCGAAGGCCCATAGAGAGGGCGGCAGGGATGGGGAGTCCTAATGCCAACTTACAAAGCGAGATCCCGCTCCGGTGTCCGGTTTACGGAGGAAGGCACCCGGCCTGGTCGAAAGAATGCCCTAAGAAGTCGAAGGTCCTAGCAAAGGCCAAGGAGGCATACCAGTTCCGACCGTGGACCTACGAAGCAGTCTCAACTGTACTACTACCGCTACCCTCGCCCTACTCAACTTCGATTTTACGAATAGAGAAGACAAAAACGACGGCTACCAAGTGGTTAGTAGGAAGAGGATAAGGGGGAGACCGATATAACAGCCGCAGCCCCATACCGGGCTGCCCGGGACCCTCAACAGACTAGGATTAGCTTCAAGCCGGATAGGGTATAGTTTATAAACCTGCCAAAACCGCTGCTAGCAACACTATACCACCTGATCAAGCTACCGAACTAGTCCTAGAGTCAACGCTGGCCACAGGTGCTACCTCTACAGCAACTGCTATATCTACACTAGATAGAGAGGATATAGTGATGGACTCCATCGCTATCCGAGAGCATGAAGTGTAAAATCCTACTCTGGAACATCGAAGGGAACAAGTAGGCTTTGGAAGTCCTGCTCGAGGAGGCCAGATACGACCTTCTCGCGGTGCATGAGCTATAGATCAACAGGCAGATAAAGTCAATATACTGCCCCCGGAGCAGCAAAAATCACCCTATGTTCAGATTCGAGGGCCGAGCAGCGCCCCACGAGTATATCAGACACTAGGAGGCTACAGGCCCATTGCTCTACTACCGAACTTAGGGAAGGTTATAGAGTCAATAGTGGCCGACAAAGTCACTTAAGCCGTGGAAACCAACGGCTTACTTCTAGATGAGCAGATGGGTAACAGGGTCACCGGTCAACAGAGCTAGCAATCCGGCTAGTAATAGCGCAGGCCTAGGAAGCGTAGATGTAGAAAGCTATAGCGTTGCTCCTCCAATTGGATACCATAGGGGCCTTCGACACGGTCAACCATATCCGGCTACTAGCTACCCTCCGAGAAATGCGCTTCCTAAGATAGCTGGTCCTCTGGACGAGGAATTGGCTGACCGACCGGGAGGCCATTCTTCACTTCGATGGTCAGGCAGCTCAACCGACGGCGATACGAGCAGGAGTCCCCTAGGGCTCCCCCCTTTTTTCCAGTCCTCTTTATTCTCTATATCGCCTCCCTGTATAAGCAGCTGAAAGAGGAGCACCCCTACTTAGCAGTTGTAGGGTTTACAGATAATACCAATTTCTTAGAGTTTAGCCGGGAGCCAGAGGCTAACGTTCGATAGCTAGAGGCTATATAGGAGACGTGTCTACGGTGGGCAGAGACCTGGGGGATGGCCTTTAGCCCGGAGAAAAGCGAGCTGATTCACTTCAATAAAGGGCGCAAATAATATGCTAACCAGCTAAACCTCGCGCAGCTAGGAGGAGGTACCAGCCTAGTGCGACCTATAACCTCGGCGAGATTCCTGGGAGTCTAGCTAGACTGGAAGCTCAATTGGAAGGCCTACCTAGGAGCGGTAGAACGGAAGTTGAAGACTCAGAGCTATATACTGTACTAATAAGAATCACAGCGGCAATGTAGGGCCTTAGGCTAGCTAAAGCGAGAGAGGTATACAAGTATCTCCGGTCAGCACTAGCTTATAGTACATCGTCCTTTCATATTCTACTAAGAAGAGCGGCGAACGAATGGCGAAGGGGATCACCAAAGCCTTAGGTAAAGCTCAAAACAAGAGCCTACGGACAGTAGCAGGAGCCTTTAAGTGTCTCAGCGATTGCGCCGTGTGTGCCGGGCCCACGGGTGGAACCCGGCATGTGGAAAGCACGGGCCCCTGTGGGTTAAATATTCTGTACCTCGCTGCCGCGAGATCTGTTCGTAACTCCTCGAGCTACGTCTTGACAATCAAGCCTGCCCGTACCTGACGGAATAGAGCTTAAACTGTAGTTTAGCCCGAATACAATTGTCATTGGATTGTCCGCCTGTCCCGCCGTGACATTAAGTCTACACCTATCCGAAATTTCGAAATGGAGATATAGGTGCCGCCATTAGACCTATACTCTAACAAGCGCCTGGCTGACTTTGAGGCCCGGCTTCAAACACATACTCTAGCCGACGGGCAAGGCGGAAAGAAGATAGCAGGGAGCATTATCCACACGGCCTACGACAGCATCCACCGAAGGTTCAACCGGAGTACAAACAACAAGGGCCAACCACGAGCTTTTGGGCCGCAGGAGCCTATGGCAGTAGAATAAGCCGGCAGCGTAATTGCATTCTGGACAGGGGATCGGCCAACACAGACAGGGTTATGCAGGAGGCTTGGAAGGAGAGGTGGCTGAAGGAAGGAGACGGCCGGGCAGCCACGAGGCCATCCGACGACTTCGACTACCAGCAGGAGACCCTGTTCAAAGACAAGACGCTAAGGAGGCACGAGGGTCTGAGCAAGGCGAAAAGTTCACTGCTGGTCCAAATCCGAACTGGGGCTATAAGGCCTAGGGGACTTCCCATTTAAAAAGGGTGTCCCGGAGGTCTTGACACCCAGCTGCGAATGTGGAGAAGGGCGAGAGACCGTCGAACATCTGGTGATGTGGTGTCTGGCGCCACCATTAGCTCGAAGATGGGAGAGGGCCCTGGTTCGAACGCGTAGGCTCTGTGGCATCTGCCGCAAGACTAGCCACAATGCAAGGACATGCCCAGAGACTGGAGAAATAGATAGCTCAAGCGATTCTGAGTAGTTCAATTGATCGCATCAGATTTTGGTGGACTTTGGGCAGTTGGTAGTGGTGTGGTCTAGAAAAGTGTCCCGGTCGATGGGGTGTCCCGCTCGATGATGGACCACGTTATAGCTATAGGGATTTAAGTATCAAATTCTATAATACATCGATACCTCCGCGCTTATAACCTCATTAAATGGAAAGCATTCTCTAAAAAGATACCTAAAAAGGTTTGACTAGATCATATCTCTAGAGCTGGGAAGTACTAAAGAGTTGTTGAGAGTTCTAAGTCCCAGTTTGATATAGCAATTTCCTTTACTGATCTGGTTTAGACACTCTTTTCAATAGGTATCTATCATAAGATTGTACTTTGAATTTAACTTCTTGGATATTCCATTTCTTCTCTAAGAAATTTAACAAGTGGTTCGTCAATACAAAAGAACTAACTAAAGGTGAATAATATGATCATAGTCTTGGAAAAAGCCTAGAGAGGTGGCTAGGGTGCGCGTATTATTATAGAGAGAGATGAAGGTACCCCTCGTAGAGGATAGGTAGTCCGTGCGCTTAGCTATTTTCTTACCCTACAGATGCGCATCTTATATTATCTTCTTCTCCATTTCCTCAGCTCTCGATTAGCAGAATTGAGTAGTATTTGCAGCGCCCTCTATGCCTCGCTTGTATATTACTCGTCTCTCAGATTCCACTTCGACAGCCAGGTTGCGGGGGGGCCGCCAAGGCTCCCCGCTCTCTCTAGTCCTTTTCATCTTTTATATAGCCTCGCTATATCAGGCCCTAAAAAAGTATCACCCATTGGTTAGCATAGCGGGCTTCGCCGTCGAGATGAATCTACTAGCCATTGGAAACCACTCAACAACTAGTATCTAGTAACTGAAAAACGCCTGGAAGGCCTACTTATAGTGGGCTAGAACCTGAGAATGGCATTCACATCTCAAAAGTGTAAGCAAATCTACTTCAATAAAGGCCGAAGGCAGTGGCAGGACCCTATAACTCTCGCCCACCTAGGAGGTGAGGGGACTTACAGATAGTTAACCAGTAAGCTCGGCCTAGTTTTTAGGAGTCTGGCTAGACTGGAAGCTATGTTGAAAAGCCCACTGCCAGGTAGTAGAACGGAAGCTGACCCAGGACTTTGCTCTATTGAGGATTGCAGCTAAGGCGTGGGGTCCAAGTCTCGCTCGGCCCGAGAGGTTTATGTAGTGGGGGTTCAAGAGTATCCGGCCACCCCACATCAGTTTAACGCGGTCGCGTCTCACATCCCTCTTTCCCAACTTTCGAACTACCATATTTCGACATCATGAAGCACAATTTGGCTGATTTTCGTTGCCAGCTTAACCGCCGGTCGTAGGAGGTTACAGGAGCTATTTCCAGGGGCACGTGCAGCCATTTGCACTCTCGTTGCAGCTGGCCAAAGCGAATATGCCGCCGTTCAGCTCTTTCCCGTCTCCTGCGACAATGTTGCCCATTATCTTAAGCACTGGAAAAAGTCACCAAACCTTTGAAGCCTAGCCTTGTACCGGCTGCCCTCCGGCCCTAACTCAATTCGCAACGAAAGCGCTTCTCAACGCAACTAGTAAGCAGGTCTCTTACTTAACGATCCGTCGTTATCTCCAAGTAAAAACCTTCGTAAATGGAAGTCCCATAAACGGATTCCTTTGATGAAAGACGTGGTAAAGGATAGGTATAACTTCGTACATAATTGGCTTGAAAACAACAGAGAGGTAGTTCAAGTGAGTGATATCAAACCTACCCCTACCTTTTTATCCCGCTGACCGACTTAGAAGATGTTCTCGGACTAATGTTCTTGCCAAAATAATACTAAAATACAACCGCCAGGCAATTCCATTTTTCCTCCGAGCAATACTGCAAGCGTTTCATCGACCTTAAGAACCATATAAGGCGAGTATCTAACTCATAATGTAGGGAATGATCTAGGTAGGGGGGAGGAGCAAGCTTATAATTATAGAACGTGATAAAGACTCTCTGAGGCAGGGATATACCGCAAGATCCTATTAGAAGGCCCTTGAAAAAGGTATTCCCCTTATTACGACGAGGCCCGGCATTTTCAAGAAGATAACGTTAAGATTCATGTCTGCCAATCGATGGAGGAGTGGCCTTTTAGCTCGGCGAATTTCGTGGATCAAATGGCCTGCATATAGCCTCGAGTTTAGATTCTATTGAGCACGTTTAGGCAGTTCTGAAGCGGAACCTACGGAAAATGTTCCTAGAGCTATGGACTCTGAAGCAAACGTCTTGGATTGAGAGGTTTAAAGAGTACGTGCGCAAGCGTGGGAGGCTATCCCATAGGCGTTAATCGATAAGCTGATCAACGGAATACCGAACTGACTGGCCACAGTTAGGAAAGCCAAGGGTTATACGGATGTGCCTTTCAAAAGTTTTGTCGCCTCGCTTATAGCATACCCGTTTATTTACATTTTTATCTCATCCGCCGCCCCTCTTTATATTCATTCCCACCCTGAAGTTCAATGATCTGTTGAATATGTACAGGAATACGTTCAATCCAAGCTTGAATCTGCCTCTGATCAAGCTCATCCCAAGCCTGTTGCCAAGCTCGAACGGCCTCTTGTCGATTCTTTGGAGCCCCTTTTCTTGTTGTCCTTCTCTTCATCCACGGCCAACATGGCTCGATTGCGTTGAGATCTGGAGAGTTAGCACACCACAACAGTCTCTGAATGTTATAAAGGCTATACACAACCCCTTGATATCGATGAGCATGAGCTGGAGCCTTGTCTTCCTGAACAAGTGTCCCTGGCCGTACTCTCTCACACTCTTTTGCGAAAGGAAAAAGTTTCGGGATCAGGATCGTTTTTTGATAACGGTACCAGTCAATCCCCCCTTTCCCATCACGCGAGAGTTTTCCCGTCTCTTTGCTCCATCGCCATTCTGGCTTCTTCCCAGGTAGATTTCGAAGAGAGAGTCGTTTCATGCCGTTTTGGAGTTCCCATTCCTTTTTCATCAAAGGTTCCAACTCTTCATTCAACCGTTCAATCTCTTCCTTCGCTTCCTTCTTCTCCTGTGCTGTTTCTGCCGCCAACAATGGCATGGACCTTTCTTATCATGTGTGAAACAGCCCCAAAACATAAACTCAGAATAACCTTTCCACCGTTCACGAATACAGCTTTTGACTAAAGCTTCATCAGCCTTCCTCCAAACTCGATAACCACCACGTCGGAAATTCAGAACAACTGAAGTTTCATCTGTCCAGATTACCCTTTTCCAGTCTTCAAGTGTCCAATGTTGATGTGCCAAACACCATGCAAGTCTCTCACGCTTCATTGTTTTCGTCAATCCAGGCTTCCTCGTCGGCTTCGTTTTGCGAAACCCATGGCGCTTGGATATCCGCAAGATTGTAGTTGCCGAGATATCCAGACCCATGTGACTGAGTTCGCCAGCGAGATCAGCGCACGTTTTCTCTCGCCCGTGCCGGTCGCGTTGTACCTTGGCGACAACAATCTCCACAGCTTCAGAAGTCTGTTTAGAAGGTCGGCCAGAACGGGGTGCATCTTCGAGCCATTCGTCTTTGAGGATTAGCGGCCTTTCGTTGGGATCGAATCCGCGTTCGATCGCACGTGCGTAGATCCGCTGCACTTGTCGAACAGAACAGCCAGTCTTTTCAGCGACATCGGCCGTCTTCATGCCCACAAGAGGGCTCTTCAAAGTTACAATAAGGGCTCGCGTCGCCAGGTCGGTATTTGGGGCCATAATGATGATGTTGATGGGAAAAGTGATAGGCGAGTGGAGAACAGATGCGGGTAAATTATTAGATGGATAAAGGCTATGCAACAAGCGGGGCGACAAAACTTTTGAAAGGCACATCCGTATACAAAACATTGATGCCCTGGGCCTGAACTTTTACCAGTGCCTATCGTTTCTCTGCCACGACTTTGCAGTGTTGAGATATCCTATGTTAAAGCTTAAGGTATATAATGTAGGTGGCTGGGAGAATATGGGGTGGCCGGATACTTTTGAATCCCTACTGTTAGAAATCCATTCGTAGCGCCATAGCCGATAGGGCCTCCAGTTGCCAGCAGCCGACGGCTCTAGGGGTAGCAACAAGCCAAGAGGCCTATAAGATAGACCCTACTAGGTGCTTAGAAACAGAGGCCTAGGTACCACCGCTGGACCTCTACCTCAGTAAACGGTTGGCTAATTTGAGGAACGGCTATGCAAGAAGTCCCTTAGATAGGGGCTGGGCCAGGGGAGGAATGGACCACTGCAGGGCACTTGATCGTAGAGGCTTGCAACAAGGTCTATAATAGGTTCTTCAGGAAGAAAAGGGGCCTAAGATAGAAGCCTAGACAAGGCCTACAAAGCCTAACGGCCTGTGACGGGCACCACCCAAGGTCTGGTCAGCTCGCACATACAAGATCGATATTGCTACAACGAGAGCAAGAGCTAAATGACAGGAATGGGCGTGCAACCAGACCTTAAGTACTGGAGCAGAGGCCTATGCGTTAGCATGACCCTAGACGTATGATCAGACCCCATGACGTATGCATAACCGCAAGCATATGACATAACCATGACAACAGGAACGGGGAATCCCGTGACACGGCCACTGAACAGGCCACTATTATAGTGAGCCAGTAGGCTAACCAGAGATGGAAGTAGGAGAAAAGAAGAACAAAAGACGTTGAACACTGATGAAGTGGTGAAACTGGCCTGGCAAGCCCGGTTGGAGCAACAGAAAGCTGGCTCACAAGGGGCTAATAGCAGGAGAATAGTTGACGAAGACCCTCCAATCCGTCTCTTTACTAATAAAGCCTTAAAGACGCACGAGGGCCTTACGGAGGCCCCGAGTACTCTCATTTTCCTGGCCCGTATAGGAGATATAGGCCTGTGTGACTACCTATTCAAGGTTAGAGTCCTAGAAATCCATCCCACCGACTGCGAGTATGGCGAAGGCAGCGAATAGTAGAGCACTTGGTGGTATAGTGCTTTGACATACCGCTTCAAGGCAGTGGGAGCAGCGGGAAATTTGGTCATATAGTGACCTACAGACCATGTTATAGGGGGTAGGTGCCCGGAGTATTAGGCTCGTTCAGAACGTCTTGGCTAGGTGATAGACTCTGGCCAGCTGCTGGCATATAGCGTAGCTAGAAGGCTAAGCAAGAAACAACAGAGGTCTAGAAGGCTATAGAAGCTGGCAAAAGGCCTCCGTTTATTTATAGTGAGTTGGATTCATATATAGTGGCTACGAGTGAAGGGCAGAGCTTTTTATCTAGCCAATACCGTACTATTTCTTTATATATTGCGGTATAGGGACCAGCGCGTCTATGGGCATATCGGTATAGGAAGTCATACAGTGACGTTCCAGAAGTCTGCGAGATTATATATCACTTAAACGCGCAATGCGACCGCGATCTTAACCATCTTCAATCTTCCAACTGGCAGAACTCTATACCACAATGATGATTTTGGATGAACTCGGGGCCAAATTAACGGCCGGTCGTAGATCTGGCCAGGAACTGTTGCCATTTGCATGTGCAGCTATTGCAGGGGCTGGTGTAGCCGGGGCAAGCCAGGCGGCCGTCGCCCGCGTGTTTGGGGTTAGCTGGGCCACAGTTAAGTCACCCTTCAACACTTGGAATCTTCAACCACCTTTACGTCTCTAAGCCTAGATCTGGCCGATCAAAGGTTCTTATACATCGGGAAAAACGATACATCATCCAGTTGGCTACACGGAAGCCCCAGCTTTCTATATAACTGTTGACTAATACCACAGATACCCGGACCTCGCGGTCAACGGTAGGCCGGGTTTTCTGCCAGCCTCGCATGCGCAAAGCGCGCATAGAAGCAAATCCTGTTGACGAAGGAGGTAGCAATGGCTAGATACCAATTTGCTTGCCTTTGGTTAGAGAATACCGAGGTATTAATCCGAGTAAGTAGCTCTAAAGTTAACCCTTAGTTCTACTAACCTACCTCTAGTCTACCTTCACCAATAAATCGTCTTACCAAAGCGATTCAAGCAGCCCGACGACTTGGGTCTTCCGGTTCTTCTCTCAAAATGGGAAAGGACTTTGTCAAATATATAGAGCTAACGTACTTGCATAACGAGTGGCGCAGCATAACGAGTGGCGCAGCATAACGAGTGGCGCACTTTTTCTTAGACTTCAGTCACCTTGTAAGTCAATTCAACCACAACACCTCAAATCAATTGAAACTACTCGGAATCGCTTTCCTCACGCGTCTCGCAACCCACTTGACAAGTTCGTACATTATGGCCGGGCTTCTTGCAGTTGCTGCAGAGCCGAACGTGCGGCTCGCCTGCATTCGTACGAGCACCACTCCCAGACGTTTCCTCGCAATCCTGACCACCAAGTCCCCGGTCTGCCATCAAAACCATCGCCTCTTGTAAACTAAGTGATCCTCCATCCTGCAAACGTGTTTTTTTTGGTCCTGCGTCGCTTGCTTTGCCGCTCATTTGCCGCACGAAGCTCCTTGTTCTCTGCTCGGAGCAACACCATCTCATGCGCCAGTTTCGAGATGCTCTTTGCCTGCAAGTCGATAATGTCGAAAATGTGGGTGGGAGAGCTGCCTTGATGGTTTTCGATCTTCCGTTTGAGAGTGCTGGAGCTCCGGGTCGCATCGTACGCAGTGGACGGGGTCTTTGGGACCCAAGACGAGGCTGTTCCAGGACGCGAGCTCGGAGGAGACGGGGTGATTGGCTTAGGGTCGAGGCGAGAGATCACCGATTCGGGGTCGAAAGGGACAAGGCCAGTTGCTCTAAAGCCTGCTCGTACGTTGCTCGCTGTGATAGACGCGTGGAATGCCTCTACAAACGCGGCGAAGAAGTCCTCCTTGGTGATGTGGGTGATTTGCATTCGCATCATCTGCTCGATTTGCTTGCCGTACGAACGCTTGAGTGGGCTGAAACACCCAACATCGAGAGGTTGGAGGAAGTGAGATGAATGGGAAGGCAGGCAGAGCGGAACAATGTTGTTGGCCTTGCAGTAATCTTCGAAGTCGATCGAGTGGTGGCTTTCGTGACCGTCGAGGATGAGCAGTCGATAGACTCCCTTCGTACGATGTTTGGTAGATTGGTCGAAATGTTTTAACCAATCAAGACCAATCTCATTTGTTGTCCAGCCATTTTCGCTTGTATGGACTCTCCATTCGGACTGGAATCGGCTGTTCTGGCACCAGGGGAGAAGGTGGTTTTTTCCCTTGACTACGAAGTACGGCGGCACGATCCAGCCATCCGCACACACAGCCTGGATCACAGTAACCCATTCCCGATTGCCAGGCTGCTTCGTACGAGGCCGGCCACGGCGTTCGGAGCTTGTCACGACCTTTGCGCTCGAGAGTATGCCCATCAGAAACCCAGTCTCGTCGAAGTTGTAGATGTCCTCCTCTTGGATCCCGTATTTGTCCATCATGTTCCGTACGAGCCGAAACCACGCCTTCACCACGTCAGGGTCTTCGCATTGGGCCCTCTGGTAATCGACTCGGCGTCGGAAACGCGTCGTAAGCTCGGGATGTCGTTTAACAAACCCGTTCGCCCATCGAACTCCAACCTCTGACGCGTCGCGATCCGTACGAAGGCGATTAGCCATTTCTCGAATGTCGGAGAGCCGGGGCTGGAATCCTCGCGCATCAAGGTCGAGTACCCTCTCAAGAAGGACTTTTTCTTCCAAGTCGGTCAATTTCCGAAGGTTGGCAGGTAATTCGCGTCGTGGTTGCTTTCCGGCGCGTCGGTGACGGAGCGAGGTTTCGGGTATCTCGTAGATTGTAGCAGCTTTTCGTACGGAAAGATTAGGGTCATTTTTAAGAGCTTCGAGCGCAAGGATCATACGACTTTCTTTTGGAAGAGATTCCATGTTGTGTTGTGGAAGAAATTTCGTGATGAAGTTAGGTGGTTGTTGGAGGAAGAAAGTGCGCCACTCGTTATGCTGCGCCACTCGTTATGCAAGTACGTTATAGCAAAGGCACTATTTCGATCATAGTTTAAGGGGGGGATCTAGAAAGGGGGAGGACTAATTTCGACGTTATAGAACGCGACTATAATCTACCGGCAAAAGGGGGATACACTTCTTGGAGCTATCAACATGCCATACAACAGGGCCTTCTCCCAGTTTACGATGGTATAAGACACTTTCAGCAGGATAATGCTCGGGTACAAACTTCAGCATCCTCAACCAAGTAGCTCCTAAACTCCGCAATTAAGGTCCTCAAAAACTAGCCTACTCACAGCCCAGATCTTACCCAATTGAGCATATATAAGCTCTTGTAAAACGAGATTTTGCAGTAATATCCATATATATAGTCCCTTAGGAAAACCAGCTGGATGTTGCTAAGTTTACTAGATATCTTCGGCGTTGTTGGTGGTCGATTGACCAAGCTCAGATTGATAGGGCTATCGACTCGATGCCTCAACGATTAACTTCGGTCAAGAAAGCCAGGGGTTGGTATATAGAATATTGATAGCTGGAACCAGAGTTTCAACCTGTATATATTTGTAATGCTAGAGATTAAGGTGGTGGAACGTTATCGCAGGCTAGGTGTCTTGGTCATGAAGTCAAAAATTGTGTGGCGGGGATGGTTGATGCGGGGTCTCGTAGACTTCTGGACCCCTACTGTACTAAGTTATTGAGTTATGAGAAATATAACTGTATTCCAATAGACCTACAATATAAAACCGTAGGTCCAGTACTTATATTGATATATCTAAGGAAGCTATTCATGATAAGATCGATTTATAGGACTATTCG